TATGTTCCTGATGGAAAAGGACACACAGGCATTAGCTTTGCTCATGACCCAAATTGAGCCATTTGAATACCCAGGATACATCCTCCAGCCTTCTTTCCTATGACTTACCTAAGTAAAGCCTCTTCCCTAAGTAAAGGAAGGCCTATGCTGTTGCTAGAGTTTCCTTTCCAGCCTGGTCCACCACCACCTCAGCCCCAAATAAACACAGAGACACTATATTAATTATTAAACTGTTGGCTGATGGCTAGGGCTTCTTACTGGCTATCTGTCTTAATTATTAACCCATTTCTATTAATCTAAGTATTTCCACTTGGTCTTATCTTACTGGAGAAGGCCTGGCACATCCTATACTCCCGATCTCTACATGACCCCTCTCTGCCTATCTTTTCCAGAATTCTCCTTGTCTCCTAATCCCACCTATCTTCTTGCCTCTATTGGCCAAACAGTGTTTTATTCATCAACCAATAAGAGGAACATATACAGAAGGACATCTCCCCATCACCACACACATGATTTCTCCAGCTTCCTTGAGTTTCATCAATACTATCTAAAATCATCATCTCCTCGAAGAAAGTGCTGCCTAGTCCTTGTGCCCAAACACAGACTGGAGCTAGAAAGCACACAGGAGGAGCTTCGGGCAGAGTCACTCATTTCTGTCTTTCTCTCTTTCAGGAGCCAAGCCAGCCCCAAAGACCATGAACTTGTCCTCTGAGAACTGCAACATATCTGACTGGCTGAGACTAGAGGCAACTGTGAAGGCCTCTGTGTACATGGTGGCTTTCACCATTGCCACATCCATCACCGTTGTCATTATTGCAATAGTGTCCCAGACTCTGCAGCTGAGGAAAGAGGTCCAATTGGTCCTCCTTTGCCACCATCTGCTATGTATCTCTTTCTACTGTGGTCTGGGGGTTGTCTTCCAAGGAATGCGGGCTTTGATGACCAACAGTCCCCTGATGCTGTGCTGGCTGGTATTTGGGGCACAGCTAAGTGTGGGAGAAGGGATCCTCCTTACTCTGGCCTTGATGGCACTCAACACTTACCTTGCCATTTGCTATCCCCTGAACTCTCCATCCATGGTAGACTGTGCCAAGTACAGGATTCTGGCTGGGACCTGGACCACTGTTATACTCAAGAATGTTGGCTTATTCCTCATAGAGGGCACTAACCCTACCCCAGCTTCTGTTTTCCAGTCTGCCCCACTCTGTCCTGTGATCTTGAATGGTACGCCTGCCAGAGTCATTGGCATGTTTTTCCTTGCCCTTCTTTTATCTGTCATTCTTGTGAGTTACTGTCTGATATACCGAGAAGGGAAGCGGGCTGGCCATTTTAACAGATCAAACATCAAGGCCAGGAGAACTGTCCTTGTTCATCTACTGCAGATAAGTTTACATGTGATACCCCCCCTGATATTCATTGGTTTGGGAAAACGATGTGGGGTGTTTTTCTTTGCTCTAAATCTGGTGTTTTTTGGTGTCTTTGCATTTGCACAGTGTTTCAACCCTCTGGTTTACGGGCTACGCAACAGGGAACTGCAGAGAAAGCTGTACTCTTGGCTGCACTGTCAGAAGAAGCAGCAGGGGGCTGGCTTAAACAAAAATGTAGTTCTTCGGAGGAACTCCAGACTTAATAGGCGTGCCAGTTTAGGCTGAGAACTTGCCTTGTGTTCAACCTAAAACTGTCACCTTGCTTTGATTTTGAAAGTACTGAGATTTCTCTGCTGCACCTCGGTGAGGTCAGCCAGTGCCTTTAACTCTAAATCCAGATGAACACTTTTGAAGGCCTGCTCTACTGTATCTGAGTGTGATTAATAAAAGAATCGCATAATAATGAAGTCACTGGAAAAGCTGGAGGAAACAGAAGTCAGGGACTCCACTGATTGGTGTCACATCAAGGTAGGCCAAGTAGCCCTGTGGTCTGGGCCCTCATGTCTTGACAACTTTGTCAGCCAGGAGGAAGAGCAACAAGATGGTGTCTACCTCCTCCCAGCTTCTATATGTAACATACTCTCCTATAATTGGTGGAACCTAACTGGTCATTGAGATGCTAAAAGAAAAGGAGTTTGGGAAATGTAGTTCTTAGTTTTACTGATTTGGCAGTATAGGAAGTGAAGACTGAATGAGCCAGTCTATGGGTACCTCTCTTACTACACTTAGTTTTATTTACAGATTATAATGATAACAGAAACAAAAGACACTATTGGGCGTTATGTTCCTCACACTATACAAGCCATTTTACACCATGTCAACCCTCACAACAAGTTTGTAATGTAGACATAATTACTATTGATTTACAAGTGAGAAAATAGAAGTTGAGAAAAGAGTTACATAAGCCTAAGGATTCTAAATCTTGGAGTTCTCATAACATTTTCTGCATGTGCTTTATGGCATAGGGTAATCACTTTTCTTAAAACATTAAAAAGAACTATTATTATTATGAGAGAGAAAGTGTGTGTGTGTGTGTGTGTGTGTGTGTGTGTGTGTGTGTAGGTCAGAGGACCATTGTTAGGACTTGGTTTTCTCCTCTTCTACTTTTATGTAGGTTACTTTATGTAGTCATCAGGCCTTTGAGGCAAATGCTTTACCTGCTGAGCCATCTTGCCAGCCTGACATTTTTTATTTTTGAGAGCTGAACCCAGTTGCTTGGGAAGATCAGGTCTTGACTCTCCACTTTGCTTTGGGTCTGGACACCAGCTATGGAAGAGACCCTCTTCCTTATCTGTCACTTTATCCATCACATTTCTCTCTTATCCATCAATGACTACGTTCTATGGTCCTGAGGCCATCCTTACTTTCAGATTCTAGGGCTTCTGTGTCATGTCTACACTCTTCCTTGGTTTCAAGTTCTCTTCCCTCCTCTATCTTCTCATCCTAGTTAGAGGGATGGAGTACTTGGACTTGCTAAGCAGGTGCTTTACCACTGAAATACACCTCAGTCCTCAGCTGCTTGTCTCTCTAGACTAAGCTTGCCCTTTTCCCCAGTCCTGATGCTAAGAAACAGAAGCATCACCATTTTTGCCAGGCCAGCCTCTGTATCTTATTTTCTTTGCCCCTCAGTGCCTAGCACAGTGCCTGGTAGACTGTAGGTGCTCAGGTAATGAAACAGAAACACTAACTGGGAAGAGATGCCTTTCTACAAACCAGTTTTTTCCTTCTTGGTTTTTCATGATAGGGTTTCTCTGTTTATCCCCTGCTGTCCTGGAACTCACGCTATAGACCAGGCTGGCCTCAAACTGGGAGATCTACCTGCCTCTGCATCCCGAGTGCTAGGATTAAAGTAAAGCACCACCATCACCCCACCCTTTCCACAAACTCTTACACCATGAAAGTCAGGCCCTTTACATTGACATATTAAACGTTTTGATAATAAAGAATCTTTTCAGGCTGGAGAAATGGCTCAGCAGTTAAGAGTACATATTGCTCTCACAGAGGAGTCATGGATTCCGTTTCCAGCACTCACACTAAGCAACTCATAAACTCTTATAACTCCAGATCTAGAGGACCGGGCACCCTCTTCTGGACTTCATGAGCACCTCACCCACAGGTGTACATATCCTCTCACAGACACACACGTGTCAACATAATTAAAAAAATAAAAATAGGTCAGCCTTGAAACCACACACACACAAACAACAAAACCAGATTCAGCGGGCTGTATCTATATGTATTTGTGTATACATTTAGATGTATGTATGTACGTGTATTAGTATTCTATTGTGAAGAAACACCATGACCATGGTGAGTCTTATAAAGGAAAGCATTTAATTGGGGCAGAGCATGGCAGAAAGCATAGTGGCATTCAGGCAGACATGGTGCTGGAGAAGGAGCTAAGAGTTCTACATCCAGATCCTCAAGCAACAGGAAGAGAAAAAGATGCTGTGCCTGGCTTGAGCACTTGAAACCCCAAAGCCCACCTTCTGTGATACATTTCCTCTAAGCCAAATAAACTCTCCCCCAAGTTGTTTTTTTTTTTTTTTTTTTTTTTTTTTTACTTTGTGTGTGTGTGTTGGTTTTTTGAGACAGGGTTTCTCTGTATTGTTTTGGAGCCTGTCCTTGAACTCATTCTGTAGACCAGGCTGACCTTGAATTCACAGAGATCTGCCTGCCTCTGCCTCCCGAGTGCTAGGATTAAAGGCATGGGCCACCAACACCTGCCTTGGTTTTTGGTCATGCTGTTTTATTTTTTATTGTAGCAATAGAAACTCTAAGACATCCCCATTTGCCCAGCTTCCAAGTCAATAGCTTATGATTTCTGTGTGTGGCTTCCTCAAGAGATGATATACAGAGAGCAAACTACTGGTTATTTCTCCTTCTTAAGATAATTGTATTCCTATTCATTTTACTTTTGTTTGCTTTTCCCTTCCTCCCTTTCTTCTTCCTCCTCCTCCTTCTTTTTGGAGCCTTAGCTGTCTTGGAACTCGCTCTGTAAACTAGGCTGGCCTCAACCTCAAACTCACAGATATTCTGCCTCTGCCTCCTCAGTGTTGGTATTAAAGGCATGGGCCACCACCACCCGGCTATTTTTTTTTTTTTTTTTGAGGTAAGATATCAGTATGTAGCCTTGGTTGGCCTGGAACTTGCTATGTAGATCAGGATGGGCTTAAGTTTATAGACACCCAATTGCCTTTGCTTACTGAATGCTGGAATTGAAGGTAGGTGCCACCATGCCCAGCCTCATTTGTAGGGTAATTTAAGTCTTAATAACATGGATCTGGATCAGAAAGATGTTTACCTAGGTGATTATAATCCAAGTTTAAGTCATGAGTGACAGGTTGTGACAAGAGCCAGGATCACTTTTAAGATGTGAAATTCTGAGCCAGGCATGGAGCCTCGCACCTTTAATCCCAGCGCCAGGAGGCAAAGGCAGGCCATTTCTGAGTTCAAGGACAGTCTGATCTACAGAGCTAGTTTTGAGGCAGCCAGAGCTACACAGAGAAACCCTCGAGAGAGAGAGAGAGAGAGAGAGAGAGAGAGAGAGAGAGAGAGAGAGAGAGAGAGAGAGAGAGAGAGAAAAGAGAGAGAGAGAGAGGAAAAACCTTTGCACCCCAAATTTAAGCTTGGGTAAAATACAGAAGGAGAGAAGGGAGGGAGTGGTGGTTAAAGTCACTTGCGATCAGATGAGATGAGAGCTCTTGTAATATTAATGATTAACTCTCGGATCACACATTGCACATATATGTAACGTTCATCTCTATCTGCCACTATCCCCCATCTATATATGTATGTTACGGACTAGCTACCAAGAGTTAAGGTGGCAAAGGCCTGAGAAGCCAGAGTTGGGATGCAGTTAGAAATGAGTGTGTGTAAGGTCAGATAATGAGCTGGAGACAGGTGGGTGTTGAAGTTACTGTTGCAGTGTTTGGCTGTAGGGACAGACAGGGTGAGCTATAGAGTTGAGTTCAGCTGTGGAACCCAAATTCAGGAGTAGGTCCAGATGAATGGGTGAGCTGATGCATTGAAGGGCAGGTCCAGATGGATCAATAGAAGGATGGTAGATGGCCAATTTGAGTAATCTCTGGAAGTAGCAGGGACCAAGCTGAACTGAAGCCCTTAGAACCTTTAGGAATTCTCCCCCTGTTGGTCAGTCGATGCACATACAAAGTGGTAGGATGATAGTTTGGTGGGAACCATCACCACCACAGGGCTTGGCATCCTCCTTATAGGACATAGATAAGGGGTCGCACGCTTTGCCCAGACTGGTGTGTGTGATCAATTCTTGGGTTTGGTTTTCTTGGTACGATTTGAGTTTGCCCATATGCTTCTATAGTCCCAGACCACTAATAAATCTATAGAGAGGTCCTCTTCTGTTCCGAGGCATTTGTCAATTGTCAGTTTGTGTTATATAGGTGGTGCCAAACAGATGGTGCTGTTCTCATATACATCCAGGTGCAGACTCATCCTACAGCAGCAAACAGAGTCAAAAGCTGCTTGTGAAAAGAAGTCTCTCAAGGAAAGACACATTCTGAAGGCAAAATCAATGAAAAAAAAAAAACAACCAAAAAAACAAAACCAACCAACCAAAACAACCAGCACACCCTTTTACACAATACAGAGTAACTTAGGCCTAGCCCTACCTCAACACTGGATCATATTGTCTTCATGGAGTATCCGAGGCTGTTGTGTATGGAGTTGTAAAGGTAAAGCCTTTATTACAGTGAAGATCAGAAACATAGGAAGTTTGCCATGGGAAGCTGTGGGCGTTGGGTAGAAATGGCCCAAGACAGACTACAGCCGATGTATACAATACAGCGGGGGAGACAGGGCTATCCAAGTCCATTGCAGCACAGACGATGTCATTGTCAGTCCCAGATGCCAAACATGGAACTGCAGGATTTTTGGTTTGTTTTTTGTGTGTCCTATTGGATTTCAGTCTTAATTTGGTGTGATATTGCTGTGTCCCTGGTCCTTCCTTTTGTAACGGGGAATGTCTGTTCTGTGCCACTGTCTGCTGGAAAGAAGTAAATTCCCTTTTGATTTAACAGGGGCTGACAGATCAGGGATCGCCCCACAGAGTCTCAGAAGAGACTTTGGATGCTTGGATAATGTTTAAACTGTTAGGAGGACGGGAGGTCCTAAAGTTGGGCTGAGAACATTTTGTATTATCAGATGACCATGTACCTATGGAGGCCTGGACAGGATGCTATTATTTGGTTATAAAATATCTGCCAAGGCTCATGCCGAAGACATTGAACACTGGACGTCTGGTTGGTAGTGATATTTTGAGAGGCTATGAAACATTTGGATGCTGGGACCTCACTGGAGGATGAGCCTTGAGGTTTATAGGCTGACCCTACTTCCACTGTCCTTCTGCTTCATGGACCAACAAGATGTGAACAAAAGTCCTCATATTCCTGCTACCATAGCTATGATTGGTTTCTACCACTACTCCTTCCCTGCCATGATGGGATGTCCGCTCCAACTGTGAGCCAGAATAACTCCTTCCTCCCTTAAGCTGCCTCTTATCAGGTATTCTGCCGTAGGGAGAGAAAGTAATACAAATATCAAATATTCAAATATCTACCACAGGGCTGGTAAAATAGCACAGTTCGAAAAGATGCTTGCTGTAAAAACCTAATGACCTCAGTTCAGTCCTCAGAATCCACTTAAAGGTAGATGGCAAGAAATGGCTCCATGATGCCTACAGGAACACTGTGGCATATGTGCCCCTCTCCAATCAAAAAAAGTTATCCACCACAGAAGAATGGCTAAACAAAACGAGGTCTAAGTATACAAGTAAACAATGGAATATTATGCAGCCTTTAAAGGGAAGGAAATTCTCAGGCTGGGTATGGCAGCACACCTCTTTATTTCCACTGAGGCACAGAGGAGGCAGAGGCAGGTGGATCTCTGTGAGCTGTAGGCTGGCCTGGGCTGCATAGTGAGGACCTGCCTGTCTTCAACATGTCAGATTCAGTCTTAAACCCTGTATGGTTAAATTTGCTTTATTGGTTCCAAAATGCCCCTGTAATTGGTCGTTTCTCATGCAATCCTTCAGCTTCCCCAAGTCACCTGAAGCATTACTGGAAACAAAGTCTAGAATGCATGTCTGAGCCAGCTACGGGATAGTTAACCTGGACCAGCTACCAGACCCAACATGTTAAATAAGAAATGAGATCACACAGGTCTCCTCCAGCCCAGCCCAGCCCAGCCCACAGGGTGCATCTCAGCCATTTCATTACACTGGCTGTGAGACTTTATACTTGCGGCTAACAGCAGAAGAGACCCTTTGCCACCTTAAGGAGCACAGCCATTTGGTTTGCTGTTCCTTGCTACTCTGAACTTTACAATGACCTTGCTTGCATTCTTGGTTGGCTCTCATGTTATGCATGTTTGATGACAGAGCCATTGAGAGCATCCCTGCTCCCTTAAAGGGCTTCAGGGATTCCTTCTTGCTTACTGCAGGATTCCTCCACCCCAGGGGAGAGCGCGAATGTAGTCCCCTGCTACCACAGATTATGCAGTTTCCCAAATTTGGGGAAATCAGCAGGGGTCAGCACAGCTGGAGTACAATGAATGGGTAAGCCTCATCCTGGGAAAACCACCTTCATGATCATGGTGTCTCCCTTGCCAGAATTTTGATACCTAGTTGCTCACATCTGGAGGAACCCACAGTGCTCTCTAGTGGTGGGGAGGTGCTATACAGTCTTGGGAGGCACTCCAGGGATTTCGACTTCTTATATAGACTAGCCAAGCTCAGAGAGTTGCACTATGCCACCTGTTCAAACTAGAAGGAATTTCTACTTTCTTGTGACCATCTGAGGACCAAACATGAGGCTGGCCTAGGGACTTGTCTATGAGAAGGGAAGTAGGCAGGTGATATGGTCAACCATTTTATGTCCTCTGCCATCTCTGCCTTCAGGAGAAGCCTGGCCTGTGGCATCAGTATTGGTGGTTTTGCTCTATCACCTAAACTGCTGGACCACTTTCCTTCCTGGATCCTTCTCCTCCTCCTCCAGACACACAGATTAGAGTTCCTCGGGTTTCCATCCTTGGCCACAGTCTGTCCACATGATCAGAGTCACTCTCCAGTTGCAGGTTTCCCATCGTGTCCTCAGCTTCAGGGTGCCTCATCTCTCCTCATCACTCAGGCATGTTCCAGCACTCAGCAGTGTCTCCTCTAGGGCTCTGTAGCTGCACTTCAAACCCATCCTGTTGAACTACAACCCACCTTCCTACTGTACCCTGTTCTTTCTTTGTGACTTCCATTTTATATAACATGCTCCATATATCACAAACCTGGGGCTCCATCCTGTTTCTATACTTTCTCTCATCCCTCAAATCCATCCCATCTCCAGTCCTATTGGCACTTATTTTAAGTTTATTTAAAAGGTTTTTTATTTTTTCCTGCTCCAGCAAGGTCCATCAAATACACCAAATATGTGTATTAGTATGTTGGTCACTTTTTTTTTCCTTTAAAAAAAGACCATAGATGAGGATGTCCTGAAGGTTGCCTTTTGGTGCCAGAAAGGGTCCTTAAAGCTGCCCTGGCATGGAAACATGGACCCATTTTTCTTCTCCTCAATGCAGGGGCTCATGAGTATTCCTCATTACTGTCAGGAAAGTGCTGAGCCCCCTCCCTGGAAGAACCAGGGAGCAAAGGAATCAAATGGCTAAAAACTCTTACATCCCTGTGATGGTTGATGCTGCCAACCTAACAGGCTCTGCAGTCACCTAGGAGACAAACCGCGTGGTACCTGTGAGGATTTATGTTGCTGTGTGAGGGTTTATGTTGATTAGTTTAATTAGGAGGACCCAGGCTAAAGGCAGGAGCCCCATTCTCTGGACTGGGATCTTGTACTATCCAAGAGAAAAAAGCTGGACTGGAACTGATCTTCTTGCTACTACCTTCCATGTGTCAGCATTTGTCTAATGATAGAGAGGCTACTGGGTAGGAGCTCCTTAGGTGCTCGGTGTTCCCAACTGAAAAAATCAGAGCCCAATGCCAAGAGCAAACTAAACGGGATATTTTAGCTATCTAAGGCCACCAGCTAGTCTCTCACTTAGGACTTTCTACCCTGACCTGTCCCGTGTGTTTCTCAATCTCACCCTCACCGCCTACCCTCACCTTCGCCTGTTGTCACCATGTCCTCACACACCTTCAGGCACTCTTGAATTCTTTGGTCACAAATATTGGTTGAAATCATCCTGTCTAAAATGTTTCTCTTAAAATATCTACCTCTTTTCTCCATACCTTTTTTTTTATGGACCTATGCATCATCTCCTAGGAGAGTAAGATGTGGCTATGGTATTGATTGTGGGGGTCAAGGGTGTGATGCCATGATGTGTTTGGTGTCAGTTTGACGAGGGATGGACTTATAATGGTTAATCTTCACTATCACTGGGGCTGGATTTGAAGTCACCTAGTAGACATCTCTGGGTGTATCTGTGTGGACTGTTTCTGGAAAGATTTAACTGAGAAGACCCCTGGACATGGTGGCACCATCCCATGGGTGAGGCACTGAACTGCATAAAGGGAAGATAATGAGAGAGTGTCAGCTACAGCAACAGGAAACATTACTGTTTAAGAAGTACAGTTGCCTATCACATAAAATGATTAGTTTCTTTCATACATGCCCTACGTTCAACATTTATTTATCTTGGCGTATGATTTGAGGGTGAAGTTTCTAGAAGCACGGGCAGCATGGTGGCAATGGCGTCTGGCTACGGCACTCATCTCATCCACCGTCAGGAAGCAGGCAGAGATGAATGCGTTTGGCATCAGAAGACAGAAGATGGCTGTGAGTCTACAGTCACCTGAATGATTATGTACAAATTTTTGCTTCATCAGATTCCATTAAAGTTAGAAAACAGTAAAGTCAAGGGAAAAATAAATCCAAGTTTGAGTTTAAGATTATAATGGGATGCTTTTCTGTATTCTATAATCATACTTGTGTTTTCAATTTTGATGCCTTAAAATAATTTCATCTTCCAGGTGCTGGTGGTGCAGCTAGCCTGGTCTACACAGTGAATTTCAGGACAGCCAAGGCTATATATAACACAGAAGCTCTGTCTTGAAAAAACCAAACTGAACCAAACCAAACCAACCAACCAAAAACAAAACAAAAAACAACCAAAAACTCTGCCCATCACTCAATCACAACTCTGAGGTCTATACTTAGTTATTCTCAGCTCAAAGGAGTCAACATTCAATGAGAAACCTAGCATTATGTTCAGCAGAGTAACAGGAAAGGGACAAAAGACAAGAAAAAGGAAAACTAGCAGTGGTAGTGGGAGATGGAAGATTGATTTTAATTATGATAAGCCAATCGAGGTACCTAAAGTAAGATGCTGTACACATAAAATCAGTTATATGATGAGAACGTTTGAGTAGCTCTACCACACTCACCTTTTTCATCTTGTAAGCTCTTGAAAGCCTGGGTAGAAACTTTTTCTGAAAGATAAAAGATCTAAGTGTGTGGTTAATCTGATTTGATCTTTCCAGCCTCCTCCTAAAGGTTTCTGCTGGATGTTCCACCATGTCTTGCAGACTCTGACCAATAAAATCGAGAAAGTCCTCCTTAGGACCCTCTCCCTTTCTCTGGAGCATCTTTCCTAAGTCTTGATGTAACAGGGCCCCCAGACCTTAGCACAACTGACTCCATGATGGAAGTTCCAGTTAGGCCATAAATTGTATGAGACAGTACCACCAGCCAAAATGAAAACATCCGTCAAAGCCCATTGTTCTGGGAAATCTCTAAATGTACTAATCTTGCTTTTGACTTCTGTGGTTCTGCTTCTGGCCAACTGGTCTTATTAAGTGAAGCATGTCAACCCAGGGCATGTTTTTGTGCTTAAAAGCTCACCCTGGGAAAGGCTTCGTGCTACACTGGGATCCCAAAATATCCAATGTAGTTGCCAGCTGGCTAATAAAGACTTCCTATTGGCTTAAACCCATGTCCCAAGAAGTCTTCTCTGGTGGCTATGAGTTTTCCCTTATAATCTCTCTGTTCCCATCTGAGGCATTCTAGCTTGACTTTCCACACCAGAACTAGCCTGTCAATACATACTTGTTGCATGCTTACTGGATGTCAGATACTCTGATTAATAGACTATACAAAGATAGCCAAGATATAAAACCCTAGGGGGATGGATAGAGAAGAAAGCTATTTGCCTGCATGCTCTCACTGTTGCTGGCAAGTTCATCTATTCTGTTTCTGAGATATTCCTTCACTGGTATTAGAACTGCTTCTTCAAGATTCCAACATAGATTGAAGACCTGAAAATTTCTTGAACTCCCCCAGGATTCCAGCACCAGACTTGGACTGCTGAGATATCATGGACTAAGCAACTACCAGATACTTGACTTTTCAGTTGGGAGACAGTGTTAGAATTCCTGGATCACAGCTTCTAAGCCATGCTAATAAATCACATATATAATAATAAGCATATTTAATATGCTATATTATGTTATTATATATTATATGTTATATTATATAATATATGCTATATAATATATTATAATATATTATATCATATAGTGTGTAATTCTATGTAATTATACATAATATATAATAACTATGTCCACACTCATATATATATATGTATATATACACACATACATATGTATTATATGTGCACACCTATAAAATGAGACAGAAGATGAAGTTACTGATTTTGACACTGAGTTGCTAGATAAATATGTACATTTATCTATCAGTTGGATATATATGCTCATCTATCAGTTCTATTCCTTCAGAGAACCCTGACTAATACAGATTGCTTGTCTAAATTTTGGATTTGAGTTGACTAGGATAAAATTAAAGCTCTGGACGGATGTTTATGCAGTACACACACCTCATGCCCTATGCCCACACAGCTACTTTAGTCGTGGCTCGTTTTGGATGCCCTTTTTCTGTGGACTGTGCCCACTTGTTTGAGAGCCAACTTCCTTCGGCTTCAGTGCTGAAGGCTCTCTGCAGGCACCATGGTCAGAATGGCTACTGCCACCTTGGGGTCCGGCTTCTACTCTTTGTTAGCACGGGTGTGATGCCTGGGACTGAGACTGTGAATGTGGGGTGCCTCTGTCCTGGGTGAGAAATTCACACTAGCATCAGGACTTTCCCCGTAACTCGACAATGGTGTGTCCAGTAAAGAGTGGAACAAGAAAGGGAGCACTACCACCCTGCACTGCAATACCTGGATCAGGAACTTCAGGGTTCTATTGCAGCTGCGCAGACTCAATCTCCAGTTCTTTGATTTTTCGTAGCCTCCCAGGATTTCAAATTCAGAGGGGGTGAACCAGTACCCATCCTTACTCTGTATGGACTTCACGGAGATCCCTGTAAGAACACAGTAGGCTGATTGTGAGTCTGCTGTGTCCCTAGAGCTCAGATTTGTGTCTTCCCACCACACGGGAGCTGGAGCCACCCAAGCTGTGCTCAGAGTCCATAGTGGAAGAGTAGGGTCTCCTCTCTGCCTTCAGGAGTCCCAGCTCAGCCCTGGAGTTCCCTAAAGTGCTTTGCTGAAGCCAGGCATGTTTATTTGATTTTCATACATGAAGAAAACGGCAGTCAGCACCAACAGACACCTTTTAAAACTACTTCAGGGTCTCCTAGAAAAGGACAACCTGATGTTGACTCTCAGGCTGGAAACAACCTCAGGAGACCCCAGGCAAGGTGGAGGTGGGGTCCTGAGTGCAGAGCTGAGCCTGCAGCTGGCTTCTGCAGCTGGGAGTTCTGTGATATCATTGTCTAACCAAGTGAATGAGACTGTTGAAAAGTTTGCCCATCCCTGCAGTTGTAGGTTGAAACCATTAAACATGAATGAAATATTATCCAGTGTAAACTTAGATTATATTAAAGAACTAATCATATGTTCAATATCATTATTATGAAAATGCAAAGCAAAATCACAACATTACGGTTTCATCCCACCAGGATGGCCATAATAATAAAACAACAAGAAATAACAGCTGTTGATGTAGGGAAGTTGGAGGCCTCCTGCATTGCTAATGGGAACATAAAACAGTTTAGTCACCACCAAAAACATTTTGGTGATTCCTTACTGAGTTAAACGTAAGTTTCCATGTGACCCAGCAGTTCTTCTCCTGTGTGTGTGCATATTAAACTAAGTGTGCATATTCATACATATATTGTACATGCATTCTCAAAAAGCCTTATTTATTACACCCAAAGGTAGAAACGATCCAAATCGATGGATGAATAAAGGAAATGTGATATAGCCAGTAATGGCTGGTTTTAAGTCAACTTTACACAAGCTAGAGTCATCAAGGGGAAGGGGTCTCAACTGAGGGAATGTCTTCATGAGATCCAGCTGTAAAGTATTTTCTTAATTAGTGATCAATGTGGGAGGACCATTGTGGGTGGTGTCTTCCATGGGCTGGTGGTTCTGTGTTGTATAAGAAAGCAGGCTGAGCAAGTCATGGAAAGCAAGCCAGTGTACAGCATCCCTCCATGGCCTGCATCAGCTTCTGTCTCCAGGTTCCTGCCCTGCTTGAGTTCCAGTTCTGACTTCCATTGTAACGAACATCGGTGTGAAATAAACCCCTTTGTCCACAACTTGTGTTTTGGTCATGGTGTTTCATCACAGCAATAGAAACTCTATCTAAGACATAGCCATACAATGGAATGTTATTTGCCAATTAAAAACACATATTACATAAACAATTGATGCTTGAAATCATGAGGCTAAGTGAAAGAAGGCAGTCACAAGTGGCACACATTATAGGAAAATGTATAGAGCAGTGATAGGTGGGTGATTGCATGGTAAGGTGAAGTGGGAATGAACATCAACTTAGTAATAGAAAGGGAGAAAAAAAAATGCTCTCATGGTAAGTGTTTCTGATGCACCAAAGAAGAAACCATACTCATCTGTAGACTCTAAGTGGTGAATTGTATGGCTGTTTTGTTTTGTTTTGTTTTGTATTTTCAAGACAGGGTTACTCTGCATACTGCATTGCATGATATGTGAATTATAATTAGTAAGCTGTTAAAAAATAAACACAGTGCAATCATTTCTATTAACTATTATCCATAGGCTCGTATTAAGAGAGATCTGAATACCAGGCAGTGGTGACGCACTCAGGAGGCAGAGACAAGTGGATCTCTGTGAGTTCAAGGCTAGACTGATCTACAAAGTGAGTTCTAGGACAGCTAGGGCTGTTATACATTGAAACCCTGTCTTGAAAAACCAAAACAAGTAGAGCGGTGGTGGTACAAGCTTTTAATTCCAGCACTTGGGAGGTAGAGGCAGGAGGGTCTCTGTGAGTTTGAGATCAGCCTAGCCTGTTTTACAGAGTGAGTTCCAGGACAGGCTCCAAAGCTATACAGAGAAATCCTGTCTCAAAAAGCAAAGCAAAACAAACAAACAAAACAAACAAACTAAAAACCCCACCCCCCAAAAAACAAAACCTAAAAAAAAACCCAAACAAACTAACAAATAAATAGAAGAGATCTGAGATGAAGTCCATCATAGAAGATAGTTCTGTGATTACCAAATATGTTATATTAATGATAAAAATTAATTCTCAAAATATATACCATTATTGCCCTATTTATTTAATTTTAAAAAACAGTTCTTAGTTTGTATTCATAATCATAAACTTAACTCTGCAATTCAGCTACACTTGGAGGGGAATGAGGAAAAGATGGAACCCAAAGAATTTCAGTGATAGCAGAGATTACAGGGCATTGCGAGCAGATGGGGTGGGGGATGCGCTCCTGAGCTACAATAAGAATGGTCTGGTGTGTAAGAAGCCCGCAAGTCAAAAGAATTAGAGTTGTCCAGAGCCAGAAATGGTGATCTTCTTGCTGGTCTTGCCACTCGTGGACCCCAAACGCTCCATGGCTTCCACAATGTTCATCCCTTCTTTCACCTTCCCAAAGACCACATGCTTGCCATCCAACAACTCAATCTTGGCGGATAAAAAACCGAGAATCATTTGTGTTTGGTCCAGCATTTGCCATGGACAAGATGCCAGGACCTCTATGCTTCATGATGAAGTTCTTCTCATCCTCAAATTTCTCTCCGTGGATGGACCTGCCACCAGTGCCGTTATGGCATGTGAAGTCACCACCCTGGCACATGAATCTGGGGATAATTCTGTGAAAGGAGCAACCCTTGTATCCAAAGCTTCTCTCCAGTGCTTAGAGCACGAAAGTTTTCTGTTGTCTTTGGAACTCTGTCTGCAAATAGCTCAAAGGAGACGCGGCCCAAGGGCTTGCCATTGGCCGTGACACGGTGGGGTTGACCATGGCTGCAGGAAGAAGCAATAGGGGACAGTGGTGTCTGCAAAGCAATAGGGGAGAGTGGGATGTCGCTCTAGGAGTTCTGAAACTCACTGTGTAGACCAGGCTAGCCTCAAACTCACCTTCCAAGTACTGGAATTAAGGGCTACACACTTTGTTTATTATTGTCTTTTTTAAAAGAGAAAATTCAGGCTCAGAAAGCCCCACCCTCCACCCCCTGTAAAACTGAGATCATCACATCTGGCAAAGCTGAATCTGGGACTTGGGTTCTCTGATTCTCTATCCTGTGATGGTCTCACCACGACAAGTGCCCTCCCCTAGTGCTAATGACCCAGGGATGTAAAGGCAGAGGCTGACAGGAAGGAAAATATACAATAGTTTCTATCTCTGGATGGAAGTCTCTCTGGCTCTCTGGGCATCTCATGGCTACACCCATGTTGATGTGAACATCTATTAGGTATGGTTTCTTCAAGTCCCAAAATAGCATGTTGGGATCCCTTCCTGTTTTCAAGCCCCACATCTCCAATTTCTTAATTGTTATTCACTACTCCTTGTTATTCCTTTCTGTAGTAGTTGCAAATTAAAAACCATGGAACCCACCTTGCTTGAATCTCCTTTTGTGCAACACTCCCTGCATGTGCCCACACGTCACAGGAAGCAAGTCAGCCTTGAGTTGTTTAATTTCATTCTTGCCCAGTCTTGGAGCTGAAAGAGAAGGTTTCTTTGTCTGTATAACTTTGAAGGTGTGCAGGCCTCTCTGGGCCATTCTTCTAAAGGCATTCTTCTAATGGCACTTGGGCAATTCTGATCTACAAACTTCTAGCTTTGTAGCCTTTACTTAAAGGTGATCATTGGACATGTAATGACAGACAGTCCACCTTGGTCAAATTTAGAAAAAAATCTAGGATGCTCTAGTAGAGAAATTTGAGATCAATAAAACTCATGAAATATACAGGTGCTGAAGTGGTTCTGATAGCTGCTTAGTAGCCATGTCATTTCATTGCAATCGGTAACCAGTCACAAGTCCATTGAGCACTGACTGAACAAGGGAGACGAGATGGTGGGTGTGCTGGATGGATAGTTTTATTTCAGCTTGACCAAAAGTCATCTGAGAGGAGGGATTGGGTTGTAGGCAAGCCTGAAAGGCATTTTCTTAATTAGTGATTGATGGGGGAGCCACAGCCATTGTGGGTGGTGCCATTGCTGGGCTGGTGGTCCTGGGTTCTATAAGAAAGTAGGCTGAGCAAGCCATGGGGAACAAGATGATAATCAGCATCCCTCTATGCACTCTTCATTAACTCCTACCTCCTGCCCTGTTTGAGTTCTTGTCCTGACTTCCTTTAATAATAAACAGTGATGTGGAAGCATAAGCCAAATAAATCATTTCCTGCCCAAGTTGCTCTTTGGTCACAGTGTTTTTTCACAGCAATAGAAATTAAGACAACAGGTAACTAGCAGACTTGGATAGAGATCATTTCTACTTTCTCTTTGTCTGCTTTGCTCCATCTCTCCCTTACAAAAGCATCTTCTGTCTGTAACTGAGAGAGAACCCCAGAAAGTTCTAGAGATATCTGAAAACTCTCATGTAGGGCAGAGTTACAGATCCATAGAAGTAGATATGAAAATTCTTCAAACATATTTCTGGGAGATGAGAAGCTAAGCTTGCCTGGCTTGTTATTAATACACAGAGTCCTTGTTGGAAGTGGGAGGAGGTGTTGTCCATGGTTCTGAGACTAAGTTTTCAAGATAGCTGATCAAGGTACAATGGACTGAGGATGGTTGACATAAATCACCCTCCTCTTTAGGAATGAAAATATTGAGGTAAGAGCCAAGGAATAGGCCAAGTCTGTGTAGTAATAGGAAGAGAAGGTTTGGACCCAGGTCTTTGCCCACGACTCTGATTTATTCCTACAGCCATTCCTCTTCCATTGCAGCTCTGGTGACAGGCTCAGCCAGTCCAGCAAATACAGAAACACAGAGTTCTTTTCTCCATAACTCTATGTAGTAATTCTTTCTGGGTGGGACTGCTGGATTACCTTTCATTGAACATGCTTAGGCCTCACATTTTGAAGAGAAAAAGGAAACATACTGATGTCTACTCTAGTCCTACTGCAGCATAGGTACAGGGAGATTTAGAGTTTAGATCAAGCTAATTCACAATACAGCCCCAATGTATTTTGTTTTCAAATTAAATAGCTGAGCAGGCAAGATTTGATTCTTGTTGCATCCAAAAACTATTTTGCCCATATAGTAACATGAAATTCATCACAAAACCCATAAATACAATCATGGTCAAAATATGATGTAAAGTTTAAAATAATTGTTATGGTCAGTCTTAAACTTTAAAAGCATAACTGATTTGTCAATACCCTGCTGTTTTAAGAGAAGTCTCAATTGCTGGGATACATTTAGTAAATGCCAAATACGGCCAGTTTCTTCAGAACAAAGGACATAGTTGCTGTGGGGAAAAAACTGGAAAGGCTCAGACAACCGTATTGACTTTGGTCCCTTGAGAACCAAAGATACACATCCTAAGGCAAAGTGCCAAACCACCCTTGTGACCACAGAACACATTAGTGGGATTGGATCAGGACAGCACAGGACCCTTACACCAGGTCCCAGAAGAAAAGATGCATTTATTTTAATGAGGCCAACCTGGTATCTGGCCCCTCCTCTTCCCTACTTTGGATGTGATGGAAGCATCCTATGGGAGAGAGTGCATCCTCTACTTCGAGCATCATTCCACAGCTAAGCCCATCAAACAAGACACTACACAAGCACCCAGTCATAGCGATTCTCCTCAACCTCCCCTACCTGGATGGGCCCATACCAGTTGCTGTTGAATAGAGGCAGAGCTGCAGGAGAACACTGAAGACTAGGTGGCTACAGGCCTGCTTTTCATGTCCTATTCTAGGACTTGCCCAGGCTGAAGGAGAGGAGGTGCTTTAGATTGGAGACAGGGTCTCGATGTCTCAAATACTGAACATCAGGTCAGAAAGGACACTCAGCTTCTGGTGTGGAATACTGTCACTGCTAAAATGGAACTGGAAAGCTACAGGCCTGCTCAAGACAAGAAAGAGCTCATTGGAAGGGAGGAGGGAAAGGACTATGAGAGAGTAGATTTGCTTTCTGTTTACAATTCAGTCTATATAGACATTTAATAAACAATGTGTAAGAGAAAAGCATTTCCATAAAAACCAGGTTCAACTCAAAGGGAAGGAAGAAATTAGGACAGATAAGATTGATGATATAAATACAGTTCACGACTGCTGCAAACAGCTTTGCTTTTAGGTTTTACTGCTCTCAAATTGACAAGTAAGCTTGAGTAGATTTTTTAAGGTTTTAGACTCCCCCAAACATTAGCAAAACTCTGTGTGCACCCAGGGGATGAAAGGAAAGATCTATGGAAGCCATCTTACTTACCCCTGCGCTTGACAGTCTTGGCAGAGCCTCCTGGTTTCTTTTTTGTTTTCCTTCTTTTGACAGCTGCCTGGCCACGAGCTCTGCTGTTATCTAGGAGAGACACAGGCAAATACAGAGTTGAGGCAAACTACAGCTGAGAATGGGTAGGAGCAAGGGAGGCACCCTGGTTACATCAGGGTACTTTCTCCATACACGGTGGTGAGAGCTCGTGGACAAGGAGCCGTGTCCAACCGACCAGTCAGGAGGCAGAGTTAAAGCCTGTGCAGGAGTCTGTTGTGTTGACACTTTAGAAAGAAATCTGTCTACACACAGAGACTTGAATGAAAATGTTTTCAAAATATGCACGTAAAAAAATGGATACAACCACCATTTCTCCTTTCTAAACAAAAATGTACGTATCAATCAACAGCACATCTGAGTCATTGTCAATAGTGTAAGATTCTTAGTTTGGTGAAATTAATATTGAGTGCAATTCCAAAGCCTACTCCATGGATCTGATGTAAAAGTGATAATCATTTGGAAAATGATGTCTAGCTTTTGTCTAGGAGGAAGGAATCCCTTAGACTATTACTAAAACCAGATGGCAACAGGGCTGTTTGTAAACATTTACACATTATATGAATAAGATTGTGTAAAACATCACCATGTGATTGAATTGTTCAAAAATGTTCTAGGATCGATTGATCTCTCTATCTCCTAACTAACCCAACTGGCCACTTTTTAATGCTCTCAGAAGAAATTATCAAAAGTCCCATGGTTACCTTAGTTAGGGTTACTATTGCTGTGATGACAAATCATAAGCAGGAAAACTTGGGGGAGGAAAGCATTTATTTGACTTATACTTCTATATCACTGTTTATCACTGAACAAAGTCAGGACAGGAACCTAAACAGGGCAATAATCTAGAGGCAGAAATTGATGCAGAGGCCATGGAAGGCTTGCTGGCTTGATCCCCACAGCTTGCTTAGCCTGCTTTCATATAGAACCCAGGACCAGCAGTCCTGGGATGTCACCACACAATGGGCTGGACCCTCTCCCATCAATCACTAATTATCACAATACCTTACAGCTGGCTCTTTTTGAGGCATTTTCTTAATTGAGATTCCTTCCTTTCAGATAACTCTAACTTGTGTCAAGTTAACACAAGTCTAGTAAGCCCAGTAACTTCAAACTACACAAGTTAACAATTATGTCAGTTAGACATCTGATGTGGGTTTTACCAGGCTGAAGTCCAGGAACTTACAGCCCTTCATCTGTTCTTAGAAGAGAACCCATTTACTTGCCTTTTCCAGGTTCTCAGGGTCACCCACGTTCCTTGGTCCCTTCTTACATCTTCAGACCCACCAGTATTGCATCCTTCTGACTATTCCTCCACAGTCACTTCCTCTCTCTGAATCTAAGAAAGGTTCCACTCTTCTTCAGACCCATAAAATCAGAGTGGCCACCCCTACACCAACAGTCAAAGACAATTCCCCCCATCAAGGTCCTATCTTAATCATATGTGTGGCATGCCTTTGTCATTAAGATAACAGGTTCCAAGGGCAAGGAGGAACTCAGGGGAGGTCACCACAGTCTACCCCATTGTCACACACAATAACAATAATAATTCGAGCAGTAGATAACTTATCAGTGACACGGAAAGCATATAAACTCTCATTTGTTTCCTTACTTCTCTTCCCCTGGGATTTTCCTACAGTAGTGTTGTTCCCAGTCTCCACGGTATCTAGAAAACAATAAATGGCAATGAGGGAAGAAATAATGAGTAGAAGTTACAATCTTAGAATCAATCATGCTACAAAGGCTTTGCTTACATCAGTGTTTGGATTGTCATTCCTTTCCTCCTTGTAGAAGTACCCAAGGTTACCAAACTGAGAAATAGGAATCCAAAAAGGGCCCTGGGCATTTTTGGCCCCACACTCAATGAGATGTTTTAAATCTTAGCACATTTTTCGCATAGACAAAATACAAGTCTTGGCTGGGTGGTGGTGATGGCGCCTGCCTTTAATCTCAGCACCCAGAAGGCAGAGACACATGGAATCTGTGAGTTCAAGACCAGTTGTGGTCTACAAAGAAACTCTGTCCCCCCAAAAAACAAACAAAACAAAACAAGCAAAAAAAAAAAAAAAAAAAAAAAAAAAAAAAAGCCCAACAAATGAATTTTATATGAAAATTTCTGGGTAAGCCCTAACAAATTATTTGACACACTTGAGGACTCCGGTTGGAAATATACTCGGGGTTGAGGATAGTTGGCCTGGAGTCTTTCCATGCTTCTGAAATATAGCCAGTCAGAATTTGAAATCCACCCAATTGCTGGCAGCCGCCCTCCAAATGCTTGGTTGATGGTCCCACAGCAGCCTAATGCTAAGCACTTCTGCTTGCAAAGCCTACAGCCCCTGGTGCTGCTCTCCAAGGCACCAGGTGAAATGAGCTGTGGCCTTTCCCCCTAGGAGCCATGTGCTCCTCCCACTCCCACCAGGGCCTCCTCTTAGCAAGCTTTCAGCTTCAGACAGGGAAATGATGATCATCTGAAGACTTGATGGGAGTGTCCTGCGGATATGACTTTCAGACCACTTGGGTTCCTCATCCACTGCCAAGAGACTCCGTCTCAATAGCAGCTCCTCCTCGGACTTGTTCTGCTGGGCTTTTATTTCTGAGTTTATTTTATTTAAAGATACATGTGTAATTAGATGGAAAGAAATTGCTATTCTGATTTGCAAGTACAGCATTAGAGCCAGCATTCTCTCTGAGTGCTTACTCTTCACTGATTCTCCCATTCTTCCTGAACATTAGAAGATAATGACTCCCCCACAAATAGATGGAAGCAAAGGTCTAACAAGTCCCCCAAGCTAAGCCAGCCTCAAAAGATAATGAAATGTGCATCCACCAGTTGGTGGCCAAACATGCATAGATTCTTGGTCCTACTCTATCTTTCTATCTTGGGACATTTACAAAGATACATGGTGGCTTTCCAGTCTGTGAAATAAGTCATTTTTCTCACTGTGTATATAATCTTGAGTCAACTACTGCCATGTAATCAATCTCATGATTCTTTCTAGACTCTGCTTCTCTCAAGAACCTTAGTAGTACTACTGGCACACACAGCACACCACTCACACTTACAAGCAAACTTAACGAAGCATCCTCTATTTGTCATGGGGTTGTTTTCTTAAAGCCAAACCCTTAACAGAACTTGCACTTCCTCCTTGTGCTCTCAGAATGATTCTGACTCTTACACATAATAAAGGACAGGACTTCAAGCCTGACACGGTGGTGCAAGCCTTTAATCACAGCAATTAGGAGATGAAGGCATGCGGACTTCTATGAGTTCCAGACCAGCCTGGTCTACATGGTAAGTTACAGGACAGCCAGAGCTACATAATAAGACCCTGTTTAAACTCTCTTGCCCTTGAAATAAAATAAATGGCAGGATTTCACTAATGATGATCCCAGTTTGCAGTGGGGGATGTCATACATTTGTCAGGTAGCTCTATAAAACAAGTCTCTAATGTTCTCATGTCCTTACCCATGGTGATTGTCACTGTAGACCATTCTCTGGGGAACACCCCCAGCAACCATGAGGCTGAGATCATTCCGAAAAAGGAACTGCCAGGTTAAGCGAACACAGACATCATTCAGTGGTCCTGAAATGTTTACCTGCACCTCTTTCTGTATAATCAGTCTGAGCCACCAGCCCTGACTAGGTGTGACACAAAGGCCCTCATCCCTGATGGGAGATGTCATTCTGTAAATACGTTTCTTTATTGGTTAGTGAATAAAACACTGTTGGCAAATAGGAAGGCAAGAGAGCTGAGAGTAGGAGACAAGGAGAATTCTGGGAGATGAGGTGGAGAGGAGTCAAGATGTAGGACTTGAGAGAAGTAAGGTGTCTGGACCCTCTCTCCGGTAAGATAAAACCACATGGAAACACTTAGATTGATAGAAAAGGGTTAATATTTAAGACAGAGCTAGCCAATAAGAAATGCTAGTAACTGGCCAACAGCTTTATATTTGATACAGCATCTCTGTGTGTTATTTGGGGTTGACGCGGCTGTGGGACCAGGCTGGCGGGAAAATACTTGTAACACATCCCTTCTCCAAAATGCCTCACTTGGCATTCTCTCTGTCTCTCCTGAAGGCTCGTGTCTTAGCACATTCATGGTCTGCTTTTGTTTGATGACCCAGTAATGTCACTTGTTTGTGAAGATCAGTGACTCATTCAGACATTTCTTTTCTATGGGGTGTCTTGAGCTCTCTGGTGGTAAGTAGTTTCCACTCAAGACCTCAGTCATGGTGAAGGAAGCAACACTGAAGGCAGGAGAAGCTCAGAATATCCTGTGGGAGACTGTCCCCTTCCCAGGCCCTGCTGATGTGCTCTTCAAGTACTCCTTGGGAAGCAATTGAGTTGGGCTTCCTTCATGATTTCTCCACTTTTTGGAGAAGAAAGTTAATCTAGAACTCTACTGAATGGATACATTTTTTTAAATGCAAGGAACATATTTTTTTTTAAATCATTGAACATGTCTACAAGTATCTGAGAACTTCCTCCTACCTAGAAAAGCTCAACATCAGTGTTGTCTTTCCTTCCCCCCCCCAAATAAAGTAAAGCCTTATGTTTTATGCAAAAAAATCAGTTCCTGGTTGGGCAATTATCCCTGGGTTACTTGGCTTATGTGTAAGTTCCTGACCACATGGGCCATGTATGGTTTCTTCACCTAGTAATCCTCTGTGCTTAGTATGTTATAGTCCCTCAGTAAAGTCATTGATATATGTCATATATCAATGAGAAATGAATGATTGATTGGATATGGGAATGAAATTTATCTTGAATTCCCAGAAATAGGTCAGAGCTATAGTTACCATCTCGGAAGATTTTTACAGTCTCATTTAAGTCTGGGTAGGCCTTCAGATGTGTTGGGCTGAAGATCACTTCCAGAAGGGACAGGCTAAAGTCCTTCTGCAGGTCGCAGAGGATGTCATACATCTCATTTCTCACTGCATCCGGGTTCTCACATTTTTTTCTAGAAATCTTAAAAATATTGAGTGGAAATTATGTTATAATGGATTCATGAATTAGAAGAGAGGCTTAGAGTGATTCCAACACCGTTTGATTGCTTCTGAAGTATCTGCATTTTGTGGATATCAGGTGATATCTTACATGTCCTCTCTAATGACGACCCGTGCTTGTCCAAGAGCATCTCTGATACTCACACACCATTGACAGGAAATAGTATTCTGAAAAGTAATCCAATGATGTGTCTGTAAGAGCCAAGCCAAGATGCTCCACGGTGGCCATAACAGGCCATGAGAGGCTGTCTGGGGACCAAACAGTAACTCCCCAGAGACTGACCTAGTCGGCAGGGCTCAAGGCAACCAAGTTAGCATCCTGGTCACAGGGCAAAGACTTTGCACAAAGAAGAGAAGGCTTGTCTTCATTGTGCCCAGGGGACCCCATCACTGACCTTTACTACATTCTAGGGCCTCAGCGGTGTCTGAGGAACAAGGAAACAGTTAGAGAAGCAAGCACAACTTCCGGTTCTAGCTTCACTTGATCCAACTGCCTGTGGCTTTCTTAACGTTCAGGCTCCAGAATTTGGAATAAGCAGGTTGTAAGGAAGCCCAGCTTGGACATGTCCACCCACACCCTAGTTTCAGATGTTACACTGCACATGTTAACCTGGGGTGCTCTGCCTTTTAGAGCTTTCCCACTTCTATCCATCCTCTGTCACCAGGTACCTCAGCCTTGGTTACACCAGAGATGGATATGAGCGTTCCCTGTGACGCCTGCTTCTCATGTCACCTCTGACTTCCAAGAAGGGAAGGTCCCTCCTCCCTGGAGGCCCTTCAGCCTGTTGGCATCATCCACAGGTTCAGCATAATACAATGTGGGGCAGGCCTACTGTCAGGGCTGAGTTCATTCTCCTCACTCACCTGGAACTTCTCCTCAGAGATGAAGTCACGGTCTCGCAGACTCATGAGGAAAGGAAATGGCTTTGTGATGGCGCTTGCGATTTCCACCTTATTTTCTTTGAAGCGCTTGAAGATGAGCTTATAGTCATATGACTCCTCTTCACATACACTGTCCTCAGTTTTTAACCTAAGGGATAGATTCCATGTAGAAGCATAAACTAGCTTACAAGAGGCTACCAATGGCTGGATAATTTCTGGCACAAGTGATGGTCTATGCAGAGCCAGTGTGTATAAAGTGTGTTGTGGGAAGACAGAAATAAAATTTTTATTTAGGGTAATTTTGGGGGTGTAATAGAAGAAACCAGGAACTTGGTTCTAACCAATGACCCAGCCTCTAAAACAAAACCACTCAATTAACTGGGCAGTCTTTACAGGTGTTGATATGATGCTGTAACGGCTAACTTTACATGTCATCAGGAAGGATAAGGTAAACATGTAAGTTGATGAATTCTGTGTAAGAAAGTTTGTATTCTATGATGTCAGTGATCTCTAATCAGTTAAGAACAAAAAAGCCACCTTCCTCAAGTGACAATATCTGTACCATATCTAGTCAACTGGTCCACCCTGCTGATTTCCTCCCAGCTTCCATGATTGTGTGTTACAGTGATATCTTGTTTTTACTTTAACAAATAAAGCTTGACTGAAGATTAGAGGGTTAGGGTTAGTCACTAGTTAACAATAGAGGTCTGGAGGTCTGTACAAACAGACAGGAAGTGATATGGCTGGTTGGAGATGAATATAAGGAGGGAGAGACAGTAACTTGGCCTTTTTTGGTCTGAGGGTTTTTTAGAGGCAAAAACTAGTGGCTGGATGCTCTGCTTCTCTGATCTTTCAACCTTCACCCCTTAATATCTGACTTTGGGTTTTTATTATTAAGACCTATTAGAATTTGTCTTACATCTAGCATCCAACTTTTGGGGCACAAATTTCATGAAAAAGCTGGTTGCCTGTGGCTTTGCAGCCACTGGCACAGGCTGGAGCTGCTAGGTTCTCCTCTTTTTCTCCTTAAGCCTGTAAGTAAGTTTGGGATTTTTTATGTTGCAGCCTTTCTGCATTTGGGCTCCAAATGCCATAGGAGTTAGCTCTCAACTTCTTTTGTCCCATTGGGTTGTGGTATTTCCCTGGACCCTCTCCTCTGGCTGCTGCCAAACTAGGTAGCTGCTTTGATAGCTGTTCAGGCTTCTACTGTTCTATGCAGCAGCAGTAAGTTTCACATTTCACCATCTGAATTTTAATTATGGGTAGATTTGGTGAGACAATTGGGAATTCTTAAAGGGAAGAATTAGTTAAAAAGACAGTTTTTCCCCCATATTAGAAAATGGGAATCACTATTACAATGGAGGGAGTTTGGTCTCTGTATGACAATACACTGGTCAGTTTGAAAATGGAACAATTAAGTGAGAGGGTAACTAATTTGGATGGGATTTATATAATGTCAATTATAAACATTATCAGTTTTACCATTTTTGTTTTATCACTAAAAATGATGGTTAATATGAGTGCTAAAATTCAAGTTTTAGAAAAATTTCTTAAAACAGATCATAGAGATATTCAGACCGGGACAGAGGAATTTAAAGGAGAACCAGCAGGGCACTGGTGGCACACACCTTTAATCCCAGTGCTAGGAAGGCAGAGGCAGGTGGATCTCTGTGAGTTTGAGGCCAGCCTGGTCTACAGAGTGAGTTCCAGGACAGGCTCCAAAGCCATACAGAGAAACCCTGTCTTGAAATAACAACAAATGTGTGTGTGTGTGTGTGTGTGTGTGTGTGTGTGTGTATTAAGGAAGAACCAATTTCTGGGTTGCATTATAAGGTTAGAGAGGAATAGCTTAAGGTTTTCAAAAAATCAACTTTAATTTATCCAGTCACCTTACAGGAACAACTGCCAAATGATAGATATCCCCAAGGCTGTGCAAGAGCTGAATAGACTCCTGTGGAAATGTTCAATTTAAGGAGATTCAAGGAAATGATAGTCTCATATGGCATGCATTCACCTTTTGTGAAACAGAAGAATGTTTCTGAGATATAATCAATATTGAATCTTATGACCATGATGATACTTGGAGAGGTGATTTCCAGAGGTGAAAAAAATTATAAAGTCAAGACCTATGCTAAGCAAGGTCACGTGAAAAGGGATTGTAAATAGGTGTTCCTAGAAACAATGTTTTTTTTTCTAAGCATAATCCAAACAGAACACCCCTCCCTTCTGGATTATGCAGAAGGTGTGGTAAGGGTAAGCATTGGGTGAATGAATGTAGATCAGCAAGGGACAGTTAAGATAATCCTTTGCTGTAGAGAAACACTTTGAGGGGCCTCTTACATGCAGGCCTCCATGCCAAATTCAGTTCAGTTGTTTCCTGTCATTGTGGAGGAAACTCCTTCCTAGAGCAATGCCTATTATTAAAAACAAACAGACAAACAAACAAACATACTGCTAGCCAGGCAGTGGTGGTACACACCTTTAATCCCAACACTCAAGAGGCAAAGACAGGCAGATCTCTGTGAGTTTGAGGTCAGCCTGGTCTTCTGAATGAGTTCTAGGACAGCCTCCAAAGCTACCATGTCTCAACCCATTCCCCCAAATAAAACAAAACAAAAACAAAAATCCCCAAAAAACATGCTGCTCCGAATGATAGAAAAGCTATGGAAGAGAGAACAACAACAACAACAAAAATTCAGGAGAAACCATAAAGCAATTATTTTGGAAAATTTCCATAATTGAACAAAGACAAAAATTAAAAATACAAATAAATGATATTGTCATTGAAGGTCTTATAGACACAGGCATGGTTGTTACAATAGTTGCATTCAATCTTGGCATTCAAATTGAGCTCTTCAGGAGGTAAAGCTTTTAGGGATTGGTGAAACAGAGCACAAGATGGCTAACATAGCAATGAACTTATGGAGATGTGGTTTGTTACAGCAATGAAATACTCAGATCAACATTCCTCCAATCTCAGAAACAAACCATAATTAATGAATGTTTCTGGGAAAAATATTAGAAGATGGCGCAAGAACAGGGCAACAGCTGCTGATCTTTCAAAGGCACCAAGAGCCCTTCTTTTAAAATTGTTGATGGACAACTTGTATGAGTTGAACAATAGCCTTTAACAACAGAGAAACTGCAGGCCTTAGAACAATTGGTACAGGAGCAGTTAAATGATCAGCATATTGAAGAATCAATCAGCCCCTGGAATTCTCCTGAATTTGTTATTAAATAGAACCTGGAAAATGGAGAATTGTACCAGATATAAGAGCTGTTAATAAGGTGTTCAGCCAATGGACCCTCTGCGGTCTGGAATTCCTTTGCCTTCTCTATTACCTAAAGGATGGCCTTTTATAGTTATTGATGTAAAAGATTGTTTCTTCACTATACCTTTACAAGAAAAAGACAGAGAAAAATCTGCCTTCACAATGCCTACTTATAATAATTCTCAGCCTGTTAAGAGATGTCAATGGAAGATTCTCCCACAGGGAAGCCCCACCCTGTGCCAATATTTTGTACAACAGCCATTGGAAATAGTATGTAAGCAGTTTCCTCAATCTATAGTTTACCATTACATGGATGACATCTTACTAGCTGATTCAAATGTAAATACATTAGAAAGAATGTTTGAAGAAATAAAGAAAATATTGCCTTGTTGGGGATTACCCATTACTCCTCCCAAAAAATACAAAAGAAGATTCTATTAATGATTTAGAATATAAAATAGGTCTCAAAAACATTAGACCCCCCCCCAAAGGTAAAAATTAGGAGAGATGGATTGTGGGCTCCTAATGACTTTCAAATATTGTTAGGAGACATTGCCAATCTATGGCCCACTACTGGGGTTAAAAAAAAAAAAAAAAAAAAAAAAAAAAAAAGATGTACTGGGTAATTTATTCAAAACTTTAAATGGTGACAAGGACTTAAATAGTCCAAGAGAAGCTGAAATTGAGAGAGAATTTGCTTTGGTGGAAAAGAAATTACAAGATGCTCATGTGGATTGTTTGGATCCAGATCTTGATTTCTTTCTAATTATTTTCCTCTCTACGCATTCCCATACAGGAATATTAATGCAGAAGGATGATATTATCTTAGAATGGATCTTTTTATTTTAAACCAGAAAAACTGAGTAACAAAATTAAAACCTTATGTGGAAAAAGTCTCTGACTTGATTCTAAAAGGAAAATTTAGACTTTTCAATTAATAGGAACAGACCCAAGAGAAATTGTAGTACCTTTTAATAATGATGAAATTGACAAATTAGGGGTAGAAAGTGAACCTTGGCAAAAAACTTGCAGTAATTTTTTTTTGGGGGGTAGAGATTAACAATTAGCAAGAGAATTCAATTTATAAAGAGAATTAACTGGATCTTTCCTTACATTGAACAGGGAACACCAATATCTGCAGTCCCTATATTCTATACTGATACAAGAATATCAGGAGAGGCAGATTACAAATCATAAAATTTAAGTAAAGTGGCTCAAAGCCCTTATGGTTTTCTCCAAAAGTCAGAACTATATGTTATTCACATGGTATTAATGAATTTTATGGAATCTCTTAGCATAGTTACTGATTTGAAATATGCAGAAAGTTGTTTTGCATATAGAAACTCCTGAATTTATACCATATGATACAGAATTGATGTTATTATTTATTCAGTTATAAGAACTAATTAGGAATAGCAATCATCCTATACAGGTCTGCCAGGCCCTATAGAAGAGGGTATTGAAGAAATTGACCAAATGTTGACAGAAATGTTCTGGAGGTCTCAGAATTTCATAAAAAGCACCATGTCAATAGCAAAGGCTTGAAAAAAAGACTTTTCCTTCACTTGGCAACAAGCCAAAAAATTATAAGGAAATGTCCTTCTTGTTCTTTATACAACCAAACTCCACTACCAGCAGGAAGTAACTTAAAGGAATGAAATCTGGCAGATAGATGTGTTTCATTACATAGAATTTGGAAATTAAAATATGTATACCACAGCATTGATTCCAGGATTTCAACAGACAACTGCTTTGAGTTCTGAAAAGGCTGATTTGGTAATTACATATTTGGTAGAAATTATGGCCATCATGGGTTTACCTGCACAAATTAAGAGTGACAGTGCTCCAGCATATGTCTCTAGTAAGATGAAACAGTTTTTTTTTTTTTTTTTTTTTTTTTGCTTATTACAAAAGGAAGTATATTACAGGTATACCACACAATCCTACAGGACAGGCAGTTATAGAAAGAGCAAATTGAACTCTAAAGGATATGCTAAATAAACAGGAAGGGCTAATAAAGATCCCAGAAATAGATTGAACAATGCTATTAACTTTGAATTTTCTAAATGCTAGTGGAAAGGAATGACAACTGCAGAGAGACTTTGGACAATAGGGGAAAAAATATGGAATTAAATCAGCTTGTATACTTTAAAGATGTGCTGACCTCAAAATGGAAACCAGGATATGTGTTACATTGGGGAAGGAGTTTTGTTTTTGTTTCCACCGGAGAAGAAAAGCTATGGATACCCTCAAAATTGATAAAGATTAGATTTGAATAAGAGAGACCTCTTAACTAGAAGAGCTGATAGCTCATCACACAGCATAGCTGTTCAGTCTAAACTAACCTACAAAACTAACAAATCCTTTTCATTTGATCATATCTAACTCGCCAAGAGGGAACCTCCCAAAAATTAGGGTTGGGGAAGAGCTTTGTTTTTGTATTTTCAGGAGAATGAAGGCATCCAGCTAAGGAATCTGAAGACCAGTAGACAAATGAGACTTGAAGGAAAAGGACAAATCATCAAAAAAAAAAAAAAAAAAAAAAAAAGTTCCCAGAAAAAAGAGCACATTGGCCTGTTGATACATCACCACATCCCCAATAGGACCACATTTCATAAATCTTCCCAAATGTTTGTTTCTGCTTTTCTCTGCAGACATAGAATGCAAGTGGTCTTTTTGTGGTCCAAGTTCAATTAAAAATTAAAGACGCTTTTGGAGTTGGAGTGTGGCTCTCTCCTTCTCTAAACCCAAGTATGCTTGTTTAAATAAAATCCAAAATCTCTGTCTCATGTCAGAAAAGCCACCTGATATGGGACAGAAGAAAAACAAAAATTAAGGGACTATTGTATTAACACTTGTGTGTATCTTTTTGCCATGATATTAATGGTCATATAGAGTACTAACTAATTCTAAAAAAAAATGCTTCATCTGGCTTCCTGTGCATGATTTCATTTTTGAGTCTCTATGAGGTAACTAGGAATTAAGTTTTTGTACTCTCAATGTAAAAAACAAATACTGATCCTTTAACCTTTTTGAGATCTGCTGCATGTGATATTTAAAATGTTTAAGTTTTTTGCAGTGAACCATGACTATACCTAACAGTGACTTTTAAAGCCTCAATAAGGAGGATGGACCTCACAATGACGATTCTACCAGGACTACGATAACACCACTAAGCTGAAAAACACCTCCTAAAGATTATCTTTGAACTACAAACTGCTCAGGATGATTTCAAGGTAAGGTGGCTAGCAGCTGATATGGTTCAGCCTCGCAGGCTACTCTAGCCAGGACTTTAGATAAGCCCTTCATTTTCCCATTAGGCAGCAACTGGACAATAAATGATACAGCTACCTCTCCCAGGACTTGACAATTAACCCATATTTTTTTCTTTTCTGGATCCCCTAGAGATGCCATCAACTCCAGATAGCAGGAAGTCAATTTAAGAACAGGACACCCACATTCCCAAGTGGTAGGCTGGGTGGATTTTGGTTGTTCAATGGGTCATTGTTTGTAAGGTGGTTGCTTACAAGTTGTTACTGGTAAATGGTCAGAATAAAAGCTGAACAAAGGAGATTAGATTCAGGGTTCTTGTCCTAAAAAGAAAAAAAGGTGGTGATACAGTTACGATAGGATAAAAGGGTAGATAATTGAATCTACCCTTTGAAATAAAAAAAGCAATACTTTACATTGATATGGATTTTTGTATATTGATACAAAGTTAAGGTTATTTTTGTTAGAACATACTGTACATACATATCTAATCTTATTCAAGGTATTGTACTTATACAGCTCATTTAATAATGTAATGCAAGTTATTATTACCAACTATTTAGGATAATAAGGAAATGCAGGTTAGCAATTAGTCATCTATTACAATAGAACTTTTAGTCATATTAGGTATGTTTTCAATGTCAAACAGAGATCTACAGAATATGGCGTTTAAGATGTTTTAATTTCTTTCTTTTTTTTTTTTTTTTTAAAATGACAATGAGACATGTCTGCTTCTGGTAGCACCATTCTACTTTGGAGAAGATGATGGGCATTGAAGAAATTCCACATGGAGTTTACTTTCTTTGTTTCAAAAGTAAGCCACTGGGCAAGAAAAGTACTTTTGCTTGGAGTGCTGACAGAATGCTGTCCAAACTGGACAAATAGGACACAAAAGGAAGCAAGGGCCAAACTTTGCCAAGACAAAGCAGGACAGCCCTTCAAAATTCCTGCTTCACTATAAGTCTGTCAGATATTCTAGGCCTATAGGCCAAAGATGGACGCCTCAACATTGCAGAGGATCTTTGGGTGACTGTCCAGGCAGCCAGATGTTTCTGTCATTTCTCACATTTTTTGGAAGTCACTTTCTTGAACTTCCTGCTTACTCAATAATATTATTTCCTTCCAGAGTTGTGGGGAACCCCAGAGCAAAGTTAGCATCTTAACAGCCATCCATCCTACTACTCCCTTAGATACTAACACACTGGTAATTTTCCATTCTCCTATGGCTGTTCCCTTGTTAAACATGATGCAGTCTGACCCTGAGAGAGTCCCAGCTTCAGTCTTATCGTATAGCAAGTTATCTTATAGCAGGACTCCAGCATTCTGCTTGGAAGGATATTCTGCCTCCCTCATATCCTCCCTTTGGCCCATTCCCTCATTTCTCCACAACTTAAACCCTGTTATTATATTCATTAAAAGAGACTTGATCAGAATACTGTCTTGTCTCCATCTCTTGAGTCTCTTGTTTCTTAATTCTCCCTCCCTCCCTCAGGGTCCTGGTCAAATGACCCCGCTGGCTGGGGGCACAGGGTCTCTGATGGAGTGGAAGACTTAATAGTTACAGTTTTCCTTGTTACCAGACTCAGAAAAGAAATTCACTAAATTAGCTGGGTGGTGGTGGTGCACAACTTTAATCCCAGTACTCGGGAGGTCTGGAGGTCTGTACAGACAGGAAGTAATATGGCTGGGAGAAGACATTAGCTCAGCTTCTTTTGGCCTGAGGATTTTGTAGAGGTAAAAACTTAGTGGCTGTCTCTTTCAGCGTTTACCCTCTAATATCTGACTCTGGGTTTTTATTATTAAGACCAATTAGAACTCATGCTACATTGCATAATTATACACACTACTGGTTCTGTTTCTCTGTAGAACTCTAGTATATGCTTCACAAAAGAAAAAGGTATACACAAAAGAGTTTTTGAAAAATGAGATATTATGTATTCTAACAATGAAAGGCAAGTGCCATTGGCTAACGGCAAAGGCTTAAGGAAATACATTTCATCTGTAACTTCTGGTGAAGGAGTTGGCATTCGGTGGCACAAAACGGCTTCTATGCTGGTAAAGAGACGCATTAGAGATAGTCATAAAATATCTAACACAGTGACTTGGGCAAAAGAATGGCAGTTTCTTCTCAGGCAAAAGATAAGTGAAACTTGGCTGTGGTGGTGCATGCCTTTAATACCAGTAATTGGGATGCAGAGGCAGGTGGTTCTCTGTGAGTTCAAGGACAGCCTGGTCCACAGAGCAAGTTCCAGGACAGCTAGAGCTACTCAGAGAAACCCTGTCTCTAAACACCAAAGGGGTGTGGGGAAGGAGGAAAATATTAAATGACTCATTCAGAGTTTACACCTTCAGGCTTTTGAGATTTCCCTCTGGAGAATCTTCAAGTCCATCTCATTATATATGCTCCTCCCCCACGGTAGCAATGAAAATAATTTTGGATTTTAATTTTCTAAAATTATACTTTTTGCAGTTTTTTTGTTCATTTTTTAAAATTAATGTTTTACATTCCAATCCCAGTTCCCCCTCGCTGTCTCCCTCCACTCCCCTCCTCCTCCCATCTGCTCCATGGAGAGGGTAGGGCCTCCCCTAGGAAGTCTACTAAGTCTGTCCCATCATCTAGTTGAGGCAGGAGCAAGGCGCCTCTCCACCCCCACACAGGTGTCTAGGCTGAGCAAGGTCTCTCTCCATATAGAACGGGCTCCACTAAGTCAGTTTGTGCATTAGATGTTGGACCCACTGCCAGTGGCCTCATATAGTGTCCCAGCCACACCGCTGTCACCTATATTAAGGGAGTCTAGTTGGGTCTTATGCAGGTTTCCCATTTGTCAGGCCTGAGTCAGTGATCTCTCATTAGCTCAGACCAGCTGATTGTGTGGGTTTCCCCATCATGGTCAGCTCCTCAGAGTCCACTCCTCCCTTACTAATATTGTACTCCAGGAGCTTGGCCCATTGGCTAGTTGTGGATTTCCTTTGTAGAGTTTTTTATAGTGGCGATTAGGGAAACCTGAGAGAGGCTGAAAGATCAGAGGCCACTCCAGCTGGGGCTCCCAAGGACAAAGGAAATCCACACAGTATGAGCCCAGCTATTGTGACAGGGGCAAGGAAATGAAATGAGGTGCACTGGGTAACCACAGGACTCCAACAGCTAGCCTGTGGCAGTGAAAACTGCTTATCCAGGTTCTTAATTCCCTGTGATCTCATTGTCTCAAGTATCCATGGCCCTGTGGCCCCAGCCTGGGAGGCTCTAGCAACACAAAAACATCGATCCATCTTAGCAGCTTAGCGCACACGCGCGCGCGCACACACACACACACACACACACACACACACACACACACACACACACACACACACGAGAGGAGAAAGGACTTACCTGCTGCTGGATCCCTTGTCCTTTCCTGCCATCACCTCCACAGCCCCAAGCATGCCCTGAACTTGGTTTAAGAGTGCACCACCTCTGGGGCTCTGGGAAGCTCAGAGGAAACTCCCTGAGGGCCCTCCAAACACACGGAAAGAGAAAGTGAAATTGCTCAGCTGTGATGTGGCTGCACTCACTCACTATCTGGTCCGTCCCACCCCTCCGTCTCCATCTAGTCTCTGCCCCAGAGGGGAGGAGCAAAGACAGCCCAAGTCCCTAGAAACCTGGGACCCCTGGTTCACTCCAAGGAAAGGTGGATGAGTCTGTTTCAGCTCAGGGCTCAGAGTCCTCTGGGGAGAGCTGGCTGTGAAGTACTGGAAGGAAGTGGCTGGGGTGGTGCCTGGTAGGACAAGGGGGAGTAGGTTGTCCACAATCTCTCTGACTGTGGCTGTCCCAGAATCCCAGTGAGCCAGAGCTCAAGGAGGTGGACCTGATACTTGAGCCCCAGACTAGGAAAAGTCAGTAAGTGTGGCTTCCTAAAGTGTTGGAGTTTCTGAATATAACAGAAGTCTGCCTTCTTCAACCAAGGGCAGTGAGAATCCAGGCAGAACAGGTTGAGCAAGTGTCCTTGACAGAGGCAACAAAGGGTTCCAGTGGTTTCACCGAGGTCTTGAGAACAGACTTTTTATTTTATTTATTTATTTTAAAAAATTTCATACGTATCATTTCCACCCCACCCTCTCTCACCTTTACCTCTTGTGTTCCCTGGTTTCCTTCTCAAATCCATTACCTTTCCTAATTGCTGTTACACACACACACACACACACACACACACACACACACACACAGAGGCGAGCCTACTGAGTCCACTTAGTGCTGCTTCTATGGATATGTGTTTAGGACTGACCTCTGACTTTCAGAGGACAAAGGAGGGGGCTGGTCCCTGGAGAAGACTGATTCTCCCTCCTTCCCTCTTTTGAGCAGCCCTCAACTGCCACAGTCCTCCATCTAGGGTGGAGCCTTGTGAGGTATCCCCAATCCACATTAGTCTGACAACTGGGATTGTCATTATGTTGGTCTTGTAGGTGACCATGTTGTTGAGATCTCACAGGCAGCTTCCCTGTCACAATTAGAAGACATGGCAGGAGCCCTGGAGTCCTGGCCCTCTGGCTCTCACAATCCCTCCATCTCTTCTTTGGCATTGGTGTAGGGGTCATGCTGTGAATGTGTAGCTGGGGCTGGGCAACCCCAAGTCAGTTAGAACAGCAGTCTTCTGTAGGATGGGGAGAAGTTTGGAGCTGTGATTATTTGCCAAAGACAATACAATCCCAGAGGACAGGTACATGTATTATACACCCCTTCTTCACTCACACCCCCCATTCTGAAAACGAAACAATTAGCATGAAGTTAAAAGGTAAAGAGGCTCGGACCAAGCACAGGTGAGGGCCTTGAAGCAGGAGCAGGCAGTGTTTTTGTGGAACATGAAGGGTTAATCCCAGTGCCTGCACTCATGGAAGGTGCACCATAGGCTGAGTGCAAATGCAGAGAGCAGAGACTTCTGTCCCTTTTGTCCCTTCTGACCTCTTTCTTTCCAAGGAGGAACCCTCATGTGATTTAGACAGATCCCAGGACTCCGCTGAGGACACAAGGAAGCCAGTGACCTATGTACCAACATGGTGCTGCGAACATACGGGCCCTCCCTCCTCCTCTTACTCTCTCCCTCTCTCTCCTTCCTTCCTTGAAGAGTTTGCTAGAAGGAGGGCTGCCTCTCTTGGTACCAGGGTTCTCTGCTCATGGCCTTTGTGGGTCATGGTGGCACACACAAACCTGACATAGACATTACCCAGCATGCCCTAGTGTCCTTTCTCTTTGTCTCTGGGCAGCAGGCAGGCCAGACCCTCCCGGAGCTGGCTTCCCTGAGCTGCTGGCTGCTTCAGCTCATGAGCATGTTTGATGTTCTGAGGCTGACCCACAGTGAGAGTGGGACTTCAGAGATGTTCCTGCCCTTTTCAAGCAAACCCTGCTTTATCACACTGTGTTCTGACCCAGAGATCCACAGCTGGGAATTTCGGTTCCTGTCTCCCACTGTTCTGTGCTCAGTACAGCAGTGGTCTGTGATAAACAAGAGGGTTTTCTGTAAAGAATAGGGCAGTTTTGAGGGGGCGTAGGAAATGGCCTATAGCTTCCCTGTGGCAGTGATTATATTTAGTAAAGTTCATCAGCTGATCCCTTTAGATGAAAGCATTTTACGTCTCTATAAAGCTGTGCTAAAAATACATAACTTTAAAAGGCTCTTATATAGATCACTTGCATGTGAATTACCAGGTAAGCTTTTACTGTTATTACTGTATGTTTGAGTATGTGAGGCTTAGCATAAACATTTTCAACTTTACTCACATATGTCTGGTGTAATAATTTTTACTGCTTTAAGGTTTATTTATTTTTTTTTTTTTTAGGGATCGTGGTATTTCCTGGTATAGTTCTTTAAAGAGCTAAGGGAAATCCTTGCTGGATGATCAGGAAGTGTGTGCCAGATTTATTGGAAGGGTTTCAGAAAATAAAGTGTGACATTTTCCTAAAACAGTCTTCCCCTCATTAACATGGTGTCCTCTGTATCTTATTGCTGTGTTAGAGTGTGGTGAGTCATCATGCTGGCCTTTTTCAGATTGGTGCACATAAGACGTGAGTATGGGGTGTGCACAGGCGCGTGCGCATACACACACACACACACGCACATGCACACACGCACACACACCCGGAATTAACTTGGACTTGCCTTGTTCCCCTCCTCCCTGGGTCCTGTCTCTGGACAGCCTGTGTCAAGCCTGCTGCCCTGATTATACTTGGCTGGAATGTGACTCTTGATGCCTGCCTAGGAAGTGCAGAGGGGCTCTCTCCTGTGTGGACTAGCCTTGCTTCAAATCTAAAGCCACAGAGCCCACATGGATGTCCTGAGAGGGGGTTCTTGTGGGGGAGCTCAATACATTTGGGAAATATTAGACAAGCTTACACAGAACTCTCGAGTGAAGACTAAAACCCTTAGTTCAGGCTCATTTGGGATCTTCAAAGGGCTGTGCCATCTTTACCCTGGCTGGGGTGGGGACGGAGAGGATCACCTGACTACCTTTGATTCCCCTTCCTCGTGTTAGTGTGTTAGTGTGTGTGTGTGTGTGTGTGTGTGTGTGTGTGTGTACATATATGCAGCACCCTGGAGGCCAGAGGGCAGTGTAGGATCACAGAATTCGAGTTGCAGATGATGTGAGGTCTCTCACTCCCTAGGCAGTTTTTAGGAACCAAACCCAGACCCCCCCAATACATCACTCTCTCAATCCATATCCTGCTCTTTGACTTTTTAAGACGCACATCTCACCCAGTCCAGTTGGTGCTGCCCATGAGCTCAGGGCTGTGGGGCCATCTGCTTGAACAGGACAACCTACTAGTGGCCACACCCCCAAAGAGAAAAACAACTCTTCTTCCCCTCAGGGCTCATCAACTGGCAATGGCTTGCCCACTGCTGAGTCTCATTGGATGACACAGAGAGAACCCTGGTTCATCTGTATCCCAGGGCCAGTCCCCTCACACACAGTCTCCGCTCAGTCTCCGCGTCTGAGCCCCCATCTGTTTAATGGGCGACCCTTGCCTTTTTCCTTGTGAACGATACAGTCCCTGCTGTTCTTGACCTGCCTGTGACTTCTCCAGCCACCCCATCCCACCTCCACTCTTCACCCTCATCCACGCCCTTGGTCCACAGGTCACTCACTCGGTGTGCTCACATCTTCCCCGGGCATTCACCTTCTCAGGTGTAACCATAATCTTGTCCTTGTACCCGCCCCCTTCCTGGAAGTTCTGGAAATGTCCAGGGGCTGGTCTTTGGGTCACTAATTAGATACACCCTGTTGATTTCCTCCATGGATGCTGTCATGTCAGGAAACCACTTTTTTAAAAAAATGGTTTCTAGTTGATTGCTTACACTTTACTAATGAGGGGCTATAAGTCAGCTGCTACAGTTTCCTAAGTGCTAGGACTGCACGGGTTGGGTACCAACCTGACCTCCCCACCTTCTTCTTATATAGGCACAATCCTAAGAGATGAGGATCCCACCTTCACAGCCTCGTTATCCTCAATTACCTCCAAATACCATAAGTTGGTGGTTCTCAGTCTTCCTAATGCTGCAACCCTGTAATACAGTTCCTCATGTTGTAGTGACTCCCAACCACAAAATTATTTTCATTGCTCCTTCATAACTGTAATTTCGCTGCTGTTATGAATTGTAATGTAAATATCTGATATTTCTGATGGTTTTAGGTAACCCCTGAGAAAGGGTTGTTTGACCCTCAAAGGGGTCACGACACACACAGGCTGAGAAACATAGTCATAAGTGGATTAAGCATCTCTCTTACTAACTCATAATAGAGATTCAGTTTCAACATTTGTCTTGGTAGGGAACATTAAGACCATAGCAATGCCTACGGAATTTTATATGTATGTGTTTTAAAAGTTTACCCCATACGGGTACCAATATATTTTACAGTATCAGTGGAATTTGGTAGCAACTGCACACCAAGCATCCTGAATCCCAGTGTCTTGCCATCAGCATGAAAAAGAATGGTTTATATTATAAGTGACACTGAGAGTTCTTTGCTTTGAACTTTGAAGGAAACTGGCCAAGGTTCAGGTCAGTCTCCCAGGCAAGGAGACACAGTATCGCCTCTGCTGGGAGGTCTCATCTGAAAGGAGCTCACAGAGGAGACCAAGGTGGAGGACTCTGACCTGGAGACATGTTTGTGGCTGACAGGTGATTACCATGTACCCTGGATCCCCGGGATGAAGGCACTGTAGACAAAGCCCATTTGGATCACTGTCCATGCTGTAAGCAATAAGCATGTGGCATTGAGCAACACTTGGCATCATATTTGCTTCTTGCACTAAAGCCTTCTCTTCTGGCACCTTTAGTTTGTACTCATCCTCATCTCAAGACCATTTTCTAAGGTGCATAGACACCACAGCTTTGCCTTTAATTGCCAGGATCCAGGTAGGTTTCCATTGCATATCAGCTGTCAACAGAGGCATCATGAGTATGTACCCCAGTGCTGGACCAGCCATGATGAGTTGCCTTGACTGACTCAGGGGCTCAGGTCAGACACCAAGAGTCCGTGACACAGCAGCTGAGCATGCGTCAGGAGTTCATCTGCTAGTCACCTTTGTGGTTACTGCTAGAGGTGCAGAGCAAAAGTCCTTTCTGAAAGAAAGAATGTTGACAAGTGAGATTATTCTGGAGGCTGCTCTTCCGTGAGCATCCATGCTCACCCCTTTTAGGAAATGCCTGTACTTGGACATCAGACTAGGAAACCAACAGTGTGGGGGCAGAAATGAGCTTCTTCCCCTAAGGGTTAGGGCCTAACTGCTTTCTCTTTTAAATCCCTTAGTGATAAAATAATTTTCCCCTTTAATTAAGCCCAAGACCCAAGCTCTCCCCTTAGTCCTCTCCCACTTTCTCTTTCCATTCTTTCCCTCCAGGTAAAATCTTTACACATCCATCCATTCCTGAAATGTTTGAAGTTTCTTAAAAAAAAAAAAAAAAAAAAAAAAAGCTTTATTATGGGGGTGAGCACATGCGACAGAGCACTCACGGAGGTCAGGGGCAATGTTGTGCATTCAGTCTCTCCTTTCATATTTACTTGGGTTCTGGGGATTGAACTCAGGTTGCAAGGCTTGCACAGAAGGCACGCATATTTACCCACTATTCTTGATGCCCCCCCCCCATGATAATGGTTTGAGTATTACTGGGAAGCTCTGCCCAAGAATCACAACTCATGCCTTCTGAAATTGTTACAGGCTAGAGAGAGAGAGAGAGAGCCACAAAGGTGTGTGTGTGAACCTGCCACAGTTGAGGTGGATGAATATGTCTCACAGGGTGCACATGAACTAGGTCTTCTGTAAAGGCTTAGCAGATGGGGACACAGGGAATTCTTTGCCTGCGGTTAATTTCTTGCCAATGCAGGGCGAAAGGGCCAAGCTTTGTTTCTTTCACTGGCTCTGGTTTCAGGGTCAGGGTGGCTCTGACTGGCTGGTGGTCTTTGGTTGGCTCTGGTTTCAACCTACCTCCCTACCTACCTAAACCCACTAGGCCAAGGTTCTCAAATCTCACTTGAGCACAAAAAACTTGGCCTGCATTGAAATTCTCTGCCCATTTTGCTTGTGCTGATGGTCTTCATCTTGTGCACCCGTGTTTCTAACTTGGTCATTTAACAACTTTTTCTGTTTGAACATCGAGCGCTTTGTAAGTCATGCTGTTGAGTTACAATGGGAATTTGTCCACAGTTTTTGCTAATGAACTTCCTGCTCACTCTTTCAGGATTTGAACCCACTACCCTTGGCCATTATAATACCTGCTCCAGGAATCTTAATGTCCTCCCCTTGCACCGTACAACATTCTTCCAGTCTTTTGACTTGGGCCTTTCTCCTTCAATTAAAAATTCCTTTGGTGTGAGCCAATCCCCTGCCTCATTCTGAATGCATTTTTCTGAGGGTCCTGGAAGAAAAAGACAGCCCATTGCAGGCCCCACCTGGATCCTCAGTGAATTTACACAGACCTTTGAGTCTCCTCATTGTGGCTTTCCACCTTTGCAGGTCAAGAGATTTGTTAGTGGTAGAAGCAGAGGCAGGGAAATCTGGGCTCTTCTTTCAGATTCAGGGGACCACAGACACTACAGGACATGAGGGGATGGGGCAGAATCTGCATTGTTCTGTGACTCATAGCAAGGACACAGGTGTCCCTCTTACAGGGCCAATAGATGACTCATGTGGTTTCCAGACATACCTATGGAAACGTCTGGGAACTCTTTCCTGGAAAGCCTTTTTGTTTTTGTTTTTCCCTTGCAGCCTGGCCAACAGGGTCTGTTCCCTGATGAGCTGCACACAGGACACTCCCTTCCCATCCAGCCCACTGGGCCTCCAGGCAGCAGAGCATCAGAAGAGCCAGGCACTCACCTTGCTTCATTTTCGCCTTGAACAAAATCCCTTTGGCCTTACCGCAGGTCACAGGAAGTGTAGGAGAGAGAAGGTCCACAGCGTCATCTTTGGGCTTTCCTGGAAGTGTGACAACGGACAGACTTGGGTGAGAGAGATGGCCAGCACTGACAGTGTTGCCCATCACATCACCTGCTGCCACTTTGCACTTTATAGGGTCCCTGTTTCTTCCTCTGCAAACTGAAAAACAATAACTAACTAACAAACAAACAAACAAACAAAAAACCCAACTCTGGGTGATTCTAGACGAATCTGCAGACTGCACCTGGGGAGTTCTGGCAGCTCGGAACCTCAGAACAGGTTTCTCAGGTTCAGGCTCCAGGGAAATAATTGTGAAAGAGTTTAAAAATAGCTGTCGATGGTTCCTGCTTCCTTCCCCATTCAGCCTTGCTCAGGGAGAGTTCATGTAGGGTTGTCTCAAGTGCAGTAAATGTCTGTGTTGAGTTAGAGGCTAAGCGTAAGATAACAGCATTGGGCTCAGCTCTCTCTCTCCTAACATACTAACAGAGTAAAAGAAAAAAAAAAAAAATGTCTACTTCCCTTTCCCATTATTGGGCAAAGGAAAGAATGATGTTGACACGAACATGCTAATTACCATTAATTACCTTGGAGAGGTGGATCCTGGAGTCACACTGTGGGAGGAGGGAACTGAGGGCATGGATATCCCAAAGGGCCCCAAAGGATGTTCAGCTTAGGAGGAAACAGGCTGGCATCCAGGCTAGCATGTGGATAAAGGTGTGGAGAGGCCTGCCCACCCCCTGTCTCTGGGCTCCTCTCAAATATGGTACAGTAAATGAGAATCTGGAGTCAGAGGCAGACCTGGTCAGAGGCAGAATCTTGGCTCTGCAGTTTCCTGCAAGGACCACTGATGTTGCAGTAGTGTTATCCAATTTGAGTGGGAGATTGAAGCAGTCAGGTCTTCATTTGAGAGAGAAGCAGAGTTACAGGTAACATTGAATTACCATTATAATCCCCTCCCCCGGGGGAGAGGGGCGGCGCAGGTAAGCACAATGTGGGGATCTTCCACAGTTCTCTATCTCCATGGAAACATCTTTGCTAATTCCTTGTGGTAAGTATAGCTCTAAAGCAGACAGATGTCCTGGATATATATGCCTACAGCAGATGAAGGGTCAGTGGGGGGTTTGAGGGTGCTGTGAGCATCAAGCTAACATGCAGGGTCAGGCCATAAGCATCACACTTTCACCTGTTGTAGGTACCCTTGTACTTCAAATGTGATGAACCCTTAGACCCAAGGACTTCTAACGCCATGTACCCTACCCCTAAGGGCAGTTCGCTGGTGACTTCTCAGTGGTGCCTAGTTTGGCTTAGCCTCCTTTGCCTAAGGGAAGGCCTGTGTGGCCCTCAGCATCAGCTGGCCCCATTCTAAGGGAGCTAGCTATAGCAGCTGATTTAGAGCCTCATTAGTGTGAGCAAACAGCCAGGAGCCTGCAAATAAGCAATTAAAGAGAAAAACAATTTCCTGAAGAATAGAACCTCTGTGGAGGGAGCCTGATAGGGAAGGGGAGTAGTGGGCTGACAAATAAAAACCTAATTAGCGACCCCAAGACCAGCTTCTGGATACTTCCAGAACACAAGGAGAAACACAAAGGTAATGGTTACACCTGAGAAGATAGGATGCCCAGGGAAGATATGCACACTTCACAACCTGTGGACCCAAGGGCCTGGGTGAGGGCGAGGGGTGGCTGCAGAAGTCACAGGCAGATCAAGCACATCAGGAATTGCATCCTTCATCCTCACAAGCTGAAGGCAAGGGTAGCCCATTTAACAGATGGGGCGGAGGTTCAGAGGTAAGGAGACTGTGCATCAGTGACAGTGTGTGAGGGAGCTGGCCCTGGGATGCAGATGTGCCAGAGAGTCTTTGCTTTGTCCCCGACATGCCTCAGCAGGAGCGGCTGGAAGTTGATGGGGTGCCCGTGGCTATTATTAGGTTGCCCATGCTCCGGTGGCTGGTCCCACATCCAGCAACTGGACCAGTGTGCACTGAAGATGGGAGGGAGATTGCCGGGCCTGGAGGGCAGGGAAAGCTGTAGGAGGGAACAGGAGGTGGGCACGATCAAAGCACATCGTTCGCTTACATGATGACGTTTTAAAAGAATAAATAAAAGCATTTTTTTTTAAGTCAAAGTGACTCAGCAGTGCTCCTAATAGCGCAAGCACAAGCACTCAGGCCAACTCAGAATTGGCCCAGGGTGGAGGGAGGCTGAGCTGAGGGACAGTGCTCAGCATGATCTGGGTTCCTGCTCCCTCAAGGGGTTTATAAAAGGGCATTTGGGATTGTTCACTTGCTTTTTCACTGTAAAGAACAAAACATTTAGAAGGACCTACGTGGATTTTTAGCTCATTTGACTCTTTTAACTTTTAATTGAGTCCAATCATGACGACCAAATGACCACATAAAGGGCAAATACTTTGTCAATGTACCTACTTGTCCAGGCCTCTGCATAAGAAATAATCTACTGTAGGCTCAGTACAAGGATATTCCAGCAGAGGGCAGCATAGACCCAGATATGGGCATTCTCATTGGTGTCGATTCCTTTGTGTTCTGATTTGTTAACTAAGTATAAACAGAGGCACGGAGGAGCAGGAAGCAAGGCTGATTCACCCCCTCCCCCGACCTCACGTGTCACTCACACAATAAACTGGAGGTACACCGACGACCAGTGACAACTCTGAAAGAGCCAAAGAGCTACAGGGCTTCCTGGGGATATGTCATCTGGGAGACCTGTGCCCCTGACCCTGGACAGATAATGGAGGCGATATTTATTTAAAATAATTCCTCCGAGTGTGGAGCAGACAGGGGGCAGGAAGACGGGATTTATTTTGGGTGTGTGTGAGGGAGGAGGCCCTTGGGAAGGAGGAAGGAGGGAAAGAGGAGGAGGAGGAAGGGGGAAGCACATAGCGCTCCACCGCCCCGCTCCTCAGGGAATAATCCACAGCTTGTTTTATGAAAGGGCAATTGCAGGGCTGACTAAGGAAAACTAACCCGAAGGACTGGAATTTGCAAAGCAGCGAGGCGCTGGCTGCTCCTGGGAGCTGGGAGAGTGCGGGTGCCCCAGGAAGGTATAGAACATAAAAGAGAATCGCCAGTGATTTGAACAACCTGGGTCTGAGTAAAAGAATTAAAAAAAAAAAAAAAAAAAAAAGGAGGGTGGGCAAAGGGAGAGAGAGAGAATGGGGAGGAGGGGCAGAAGAATCCAGAACTCTGTAGGGGATCGTTTTTTTTTTTTTTTTTTTTTTTTTTTTAGACAAGCAGCAGCTGTGTGGTGGGGCCTGGCAATCCAAGTTTGATCTACAAGGAGGGAACCGCTTCCACAAAAGTCATTCTCTTTCCTTCACACGCACACACGTTTGGCGCACGAGTCCTTTCACAACCAGGCAGGGCTGTGCATGCACAGTGTTCTGTTTGTATGTGCGTGCTCACTTTGTGTTTCTAAAATATTTAATCTCTGTGTAGTGTTTTGCCTGCATGTGTAGCTGTATACTGTGATCATGCTTGGTGCTCTTGGAAGCCAGAAGAGGCCATTGGATCCCCTGGAATTGGAGTTAAAGATGGTTGTGAACTATCATGTGGGTGCTGGGAATCAAACCCAGGTCTTCCGGAAGAGCATCCTGTTCTCTTAATCCCTGAGCTGTCTCTTCAGAGGGAGATTGGATTTCTAGGAACAACCATGACTCCTGGCTGGGCATTTTCAGGGTTTTTTTTTGTTTTGTTTTGTTTTTTTAGCATTCAGGGTAAGCAATATTGTCAAACACAGATTCTCAGTGGTGGTGATATTGCCCCCACTGGGGTAAAAATGGCTTCTTTCATGAAGGAGGGGGAAATGATGCTATAACACACACACACACACACACACACACACACACACACACACACAGTCTATGCATGGTTATACATAAGTGATGCTAAGCTATCATGGGAAGGTTGTGGTGAGGGTATATACCTACAGGGCTCCTTAGGACAGTGAAAGCCTGGCTTAGAGAGGGCAGCTCTGACTGTGGCTGCTGCTGGCTGCATCCCTACCGAGTGAGGTTCTTGATGGTAAGCTGGACATCCTCCGAGGCCTGCTTCTTGCATTTGTTTTTGAAGCCCCATGGCTGATCTCTAGAAAAGAAGAAGGAAGAGGAGGAGGAGAAGAAAGATAGGCAGACTTCCTTGCCTGTGGAAGCTCCTGACCCTGGAAGGACCTTCAGAGCCGAGGACATACATCAACAGGTCACCTCCTCACCCGTGGGTGGGAAGTAAATATAAAATACTTCTTTTCTATTTGGAAATGCCAGTTGTCCCAAGAAGAATGTGTATGTACTTGTGTTGCTAGCTCACTACGTAGTTCAGCACTTCCCAAATGTCCGAGACATGATAAAATCTTATATGAGCAGAAGATCCACTGGCGATGTAAAAAGGGAGCCAGGTGTGGTAGCATACACCTTCAGTCCTGGTACTTGGTAGGCAGAGGCAGGTGTATCTCTCTGAGTTTGAGGCCAGGTTGGTCTACATGGTGAGTTCTAGGCCAGCTCTCCCAGGCTGGCTTCAAAGAGCTTAACCTCAAAGACATCCACCTGTCTTCATTTCCCAAGCACTGGGATTAAAGGCATGGGCTGCCACACTCAGCTGGTATAATATTTTATTGTAACAGAACTACAGTGACAAAGATATGGAATCAGCGTCTACCCTACTGCTAACCACTAAGAGTGACTGCGCTGGGGCTGCTTAAGAGCTCTTACAGAGGACTGGAGTTCAAGTCCCAGCACCTGTGTGGCTTGCAACCCTCTACAACTCTAGCTGCGGCATCAGATGGTTCTGGTCTTCACATGTACCTGTGTGCATGTGTATATACCCCTTCACCCTCATAATTAAAAATAAAATATATCTTGAAGAAACTATGAGTTTATGTAAGTTTATATAGTGTTAGAGATGTATGCCCAAAGACAGCCAAAGACAGTTTTTGCTTCAGAAATACTTTTTGTTGTTGTTTGTTTTCCCAGACAAAGAGTTCTGTCTTGGAACTCTCTTTGTAGACCAGGCTGGCCTTGAACTCAGAGGTTCCTCTCCCTCTGTCTCCCCTAGTGTTGAGATTAAAGGTGTGTACCACCATTGCCTGGCTCAGAAATATATTTTTATATAGAGTTATATGATCAAACAACTTATTTCACTCTAAATAAAGATTTTTAAAATTATTGGTTTTAGCTATGAATAATGTACAAATAGGTAGACACAAACAACACAGACACAGACCTTTGGAAATTCTTAGTAATCTTTAAGTTGTAAAATTTGAAGGGTTGAGACCCTCTGACTTAGGTCTCTGCTGAGGTGACCCGTGGCTATGACGTTTCTTTAACGAAAATTCCTCGGCCACAGTAGATCATTGCCTCTTTGCCCTTCTCACACCCCATCCTCATTCTCTGAACTTCTCTCTCCTAATATTGAGTTCATGTATCTCCCCACCCCTATGCCAGCTCTAAGAGACCCTGCCATACTGAGCCTTTCCAATGGCAGGTCCTACCCTCAGCCTTACCCCGTGATCTGGATGTCTGAGCACATTCAGTCCTTGCCTTCTGAGTCCTGGTCACCACCTTCAAGTTCCTGGTTGAGGAAGTCCTGGTCTTCAGAGTCCTCTCACCTACCACTTTGAGCTTCTCTTGGACTCCGTGTCCAGATGAGGCCACCCCTGGGCCAAGAGAGACTCGTAAATGGAGGTCCCCAGTGTTAGTATTCAGGGCATCAGTACTGGCCTGTCCTTGGGGTTCTGACAGGATTCGCCCTCAGCTGCAGCCACTAAGAGCACCACCTGTGTAAATTCACTATGTTCCCTTTTAAAAGGGCCCTGCCCACCTCCAATCCCCCCCTTCTCTGCCTGTCTCTCTGTCTCCCCACCTCTCTCTGCCTCTCTCTTCTCTCCTGCTGCTTCTGTCTCCAGAGACCAGTCTCCCTTCTCCCCTCCCCCTTCCCATTCACTTTCCCCCAATGAAAAGCCCTTCCACCCAAGCTCTGTCCCATGGCATCTTTCTCTGACTTGTCGTTTTTTAAAATGACAACACCCAGTGAACCTTTCCTTCTTTCACAGACTTCCCTTCCCATCCCATCCTCCCTCCCAGACCTCTGTACCCACATGTCTCACTTTGCTTTTATTGCTTGTTCTAGAAGAATTAAACAGAGAAATATGGGAGGACTTTTTTGGGGGGGGTGCTTTCTGTTTCTAAGACTCCTGAACCATGAGGTGGACCCATCAGAGCTGAATGGCAAAGCCTGGGGATTCTTCAGATGGGGAGGGAGGACCTTCCATGTAGTACCCATGTGCAGAACAGACACCACCCAAAAGGCACCAGGCACCTCTTGTGGGTAAGGTGTACAGAAGGGACAGGTGTAGTGCCTGCCATGAAGGCAGCTCCCAGGAGTGTGGCTGGGGCCCTGAGGCTCTGCAGTGTCAGGGCTGGTGACCAGTGGGCTTCATCGAGGAGGAGGACACAGTACTTTTCATTGCTAGGACTTTGGAAGCTGATGCCCACAAGGACAGCCACAGTCCACTGGCACAAGGGTACCTCTTCAGTGTTCTATTCTTCTGGGGTTTGTCCCTGTGGTGCTTTGAAAGAAAACGCTCCCCAAAGAGAGTGACACTAGTAGGAGGTTTGGCTTTGTTGGAGTAAGTATGGACATGTTGGAGAGGAAGTGTGTCACTGTGGGGGTAAGCTTTGAGGTTTCATATATGCTCAGGCCATGCCTGCTGTCTCAGACCACTTTCTGCTACCTGCACAGCAAAATGTAGGGCTCCCAGCTCCTTCTCCAGCACCATGTCTGCCTGCAGGCTACTGTGTTGTGCCATGATGCTAAGCCACCCCACTTAAATGTTTTTCCTTTATAAGAGTTGCCATGGTCATGGTGTCTCTTCACAGCAATAGACACCCCAAGACACTGCCCCTCAGGGCTGGGACCCAGGCTCTTTTCCATTCCAAGTAACTGAGTTGTTTACTCTCCCTTTGGTTCGGTTGTCATCCTCGTGAATATAAAGAGGAACCCTGGCACTCTCCATCCTTCACCTTGAATTGTAACCTGCCATCAGAACAGAAGGATTCCAGCATGTTCTAGTTTACCAGCTACTCAGTGGAAAAACTGGTGTGGTGAAATTTAAAACCAGATCACCACACTCCCCAGACAGAGCTCAGTGAGTTCTGAGCAAACTCCACCCTTCTCCGCCAGATCTACAGCCCCTCAGGGGCCTCCAACGGCCCTCCCCATCTCACCTTGAGGGGGTCTTTTCTTCCGATGTCTTCTTTTGGGAGATGACGAGGTGCATCTTTTGTTTTTCTTTGCTAAGAAGAAAGGACACAAAGTCTTTTGTAGTCACAAATAGATCCATCAATGTTTTATTTTAAAAAATTAAATTATTTTTTTCATTAATTGTGTGTGCGTGTGTATGTGTGTATTTATGTGCATGTGTGTACATGTGTACTTATGTATGTGTGTGTGCCTGTGTGTGTGTGTGTGTGTGTGTATGTGCGTATGTCTTAACCTTGAACATCTTTCCATGCTCACCCCTATCCTTTCAAAGGGTTAGCTGGAAAGGAGAGATCGGAGCAAACTTCAAGGACAAGTGTTAAAATGAGAGATCTTGGATCCATTATTGGGGAATTAAGCTAGACTCAAATATGGATGGCTTTGGGGCAGGAGGAGACAAGAATCTGTGAAGAAAAAAATCACCAGATGTGAGGAGATAAAGGCTTAAGAAGTTGGAGTACTGGGTGGGTTGCCTGCTACCCATGATGCCTTGAAGGCACCAAGCACGATGACAGAGGGTGGAGAAAATTAGGCTTAGGAGGCTTCCAGGCAGCAATGGGGAATCCAATGGATGACAGTGCCAGAGAGGTCACAGTGTTTACTACTATCACTACTATTGTTATTACACTACTATTATTACGTTTATTGGCGGTGGGTGGTCACATGTACCATGGTACACATGTGGAGGTCAGGAGACAACTTGAATGAGTTGGTTTGGTTTCCCTACCTTATGGGCTTCAGGGATCAAGTTCAGATCATCAGGCTTGGTGGCAGGCACCTCTAGCCAGTGAGGCTTTGCGCCGAGCCAGTAACAATGCACGTTTTAATTGAATGGTGACACCTCAGAAAAGGAGCTGGGAGAGCCAAGAGTGAGATAGGGAATAGGTGGCCAGGAGGACATCCAACCTGCTTACCACCATGGGGTGTAAGTGAAGGGTGGCAGAAGTTGCCTGAATGTGACTTTACCGGGAAGCAGTGTCCTCCTGGGAGACCAACTGTGGTTAAAGAGGTTAGTGGACAGACACTGCAAGCAGCTATGGGATAGGAGTCTTGTGATTCTGAGGGATGCTTGGTTCAAATGTCTAAGTGGCTGCTTGTCACCTGTCATTTTCATAAGCCCTTAGAGGAAGGGGGAATGAAGAGAGGAGGCAGAAAGACAGCAATGGCAGAAACTGGTTGCACCATAGGTGCTAGGATATGGTACAGCTGGACACACAGACAGCATCTCAGGGGCAGGAGGTCTATACCTTTCTTCTTGGCAGGTGTGCTGGGTGCTTCCTGGGGCATCTCCAGGTCATTTGGTGCAGGGGGCTCATCTTTTACTGCTGGCAAAAGAAAAAGAACCCATCTCAGAGCTCAGAATGGATGGAAGAGGAAATTCGGAGGGAAATCAGTAGAACTTGAATGGTAGGGAGTGAAGGCAGGGATCTGATAGCCTTCATCTGACCTTGTTATTTTTAAATTTTTTCCTGTATGGATGTTTTGCCTGCATATGTGTCTAGTGCCAGCAAAAGCCAGAAGAGGTATCAGACGCCCTTGGGGCTGGAGTTACAGAATGTTACAAGCTACTAGGTACTTTGAATTAAACTCAGGTCCTCTGGAAGAGCAGCCCATAATCTTAGCCACTCAGCCACCTCTCCAGCCCTGGCCACCTTTTTGTTGTTACCTGTGCATCTGCAAACAGCAAATATGTTTTGAAATTCTGCCAACTTTGATGCAATAAGAAAAACAAAGGGACTTAAAACCATTAGAGATAAAGGTCCATCTCCTTAAGGCTGTCTGCTGTTTACATAACACTATGAAAATTGTCTTAAATTCTGGCCTCTTTAAAGTCAGGTAACTAAGGCACACTGTAAATTGTCTACAGACTTTTGAAGTAATTTCTTTCTTTTCATATCTTTTTAATAACATATATTCTTAGTATTCCATTCTATGTAGAATTGACCAGCAACAAAGGACTGTTTCCACAATCAGGGTGACAAGGCTAGCCACACTAGTTACATCACCCACCACTGGGGACACATGGGATTTTTCTTTGTCTGTCTGACATTTTGTTAGCGCCATTTTGAGCTTACATATTGCAGTGACTTCATCACAGCAACAAGGTCACATAGTCTAGCCCTGCCTTGTCCTCTTCTCTCCTGGAGGCTACCACAGTCCCCTGTGGCTGAGGAATATTCTCTGTTTGCTGACACCTTATGCATTTTAGAGTCTATCAGGTATGACCTCTGTGATTGGTTCCTCCAAGTCTACCTTTCCAGTCCTGACTCCTTGCCTCCTCCTACAATTCTCCCTCCCTTCAGGAGTACAGGTCTACTGTCTCCCCAATCATCCAAGGAGAGGTAAGTTTAGGTTATCTAAATCAAAACTACTAGGAGTTAAGTCAGCCTTAACCAGCATTACCTTGCACAGAGACAGGCTGTCCTCCCGAGTCTTCTTTCTCTTTAGCCTTGGGTGTTAAGTTGTATTTGATCACTGGAGGAGGAAGGGAGATCTTGGGTTACCAGATTTAGATCTCAAGGAGGAGGGTAGATAGTGTAAATGACCAGAAAAGAATGTACACTAAGGCCAAAGGAAGATTACCTGGCACGGGGCCTGAGGGGCTGTGGGGCATCTCTGAAGAGTCATCTTTGTCATTTCTCCAGGGATCCTTGGAGGACTCTGAGCAAAGGGAAGAAAAAGAATTGAGGCTTTCAGGATGAGCAAGTAGGGACCAGAGTAGTAAAGAGAACAAATGTGATTCTAACTACACAGTAAGGAATGCAAGGGGCCTGGGTAAAATAGGGTAGAGAAGGAACAGCAGTCACTCTTAATTAGAAACTCATTAATTTAATAGCAGTATTTTTTCTTTTTGAAAAAGTGGAAGATGAAATCTTCTGTTGTCTTTAGCTTTCTGATTATGTTAAATGTATTTGAGGGGCATGCATCAGAGGAGTGGAGGAAATGTCACTGAGTTCAAACAGGACTCCTTTATTCTCAGTCCTGGAGATATAATACTATATCGTTGACAATATCAATAACACATCCTGCTGTAGTTTATGTAATTAAACTTCATTACAATACTAATGATGGTTTGGGGATGGCAAGTGTCATAAGTCTGGAAGCTAAATTAGGTTCAATAGACCTTTAACATTTTTATAATATTTTCTAATAATTTTAATAACATATATCTTGGAATCTAATTCATCTAAGAATAAATAAAGAGGGTTGGGGGTGTAGGTCAGTGTTTGTCCAGCATGCAAGAAACCCTGGGATGTACTCTTAACACACTATGAAATAAAAGAGAATGAATAAGGTTGAAACTCGAAGGCTTCTGTAGTCAGGGGAGAATCACCACTGTAAGTGGTGTCGATTCACAGCAGGGAGTGGGGTTCTATATACTACAGACCACTGTAAGTGAATAACAAACTATGTGTCGATTTACAGCAGGGAGTGGGGTTCTATATACTACAGACCACTGTAAGTGAATAACAAACTATGTGTCGATTCACAACAGGGAATGGGGTTCTATATACTATGGACTGAACCTGGGAGTCTTGCATCTATAAGGGGAGTGATCCTCCAGCAAGCTATACCCCTAGACACACAACATTTTTGAAGGTTTCCTTTGCAGTGTGAGTCTGTGGAAAGCTCACCCCCCTTCTTCTCTCCCCATCCATTGCCATGCCCATCTTCTCATGCCTATCTGTTTCTCTTGAGGTTTCAACCACAGCCTTCCATTTGGCATGTGTATACTCCCCCTCCACAGCCCAGTTAGTGTTACTTTGCACAGTGTCAGGGGACATGCTGGACATCCTTTCCGAGTCTTCTTCCTTATCAGGTGTAGCTGTTAAGTTGTAGCAGGCAGCTGAAGGAGGAAGGAAAACCATGGATTACAGGATTGGCTATAAGGAGGAGAGTGAATGGCCTAAAGTAGCAGTCTCAACCTGTGGATTTCCATCCCTTTGGCAATCCTTCATCTCCAAAGACATTTACAATTCATAACAGTAGCAAAATGACAGGTATGAAGTAGCAATGAAAATAGTTTTATGATGGAGCATCATCACAACGTGAAGAATTGTATTAAAGGGTAATAGTATTAGGAAGGTTAATTGCTCTAAGAGCTCAGGGAAGGCCTAGTACCAAGGCCAAGGGCAGAAGTTGGGGTGCCCAGGTGTAGGAAGAAGGTGGTTCTAGGACTGAGCCTTCCCTGCCACTGGTAGGTGGGTGCATAGAAAGGGACAGATGAACAGAAGGCAGCAATTTGGGGTTCTAAGTGGCAGGGAGCAAGCATTCCTACGGAGGATTACAAGTTGAAGGAGAAAGATCTGTTTCTTGCCTGGAGTAGTCTTTCCTTCCTGAATGAAGCCAGGGGGAGGCACAGCTGGGTGAGAAGGGCTGGTCTGCTCATCCAGGATCTCAGTGATTTTCTGTGAGGCTGCTCGGGGCTCACAGACTTTTGGTGCAGAGGGCAGATGACTTGGTGGAGATGGTTGGGGTGGGGGCAGTGACAGCAGAGCCTGGAAGGAGCACCCTTCTGCTGGGTCAGTTGGGGCTTTGTGGAGGGCCTGAGCAGTTCTTTCATTCTCTCCATAGGCTGTAATAACTGGAATTAACAAAGGAGCACACATCGTGACCCTGGGGATTCAGAAGGCACCTGGCAAATAGGATTGCCTAGTGTATCTTTCCCCACAGCACAGGAGGCAGAGTTACTGATTTTCCCCAGGTGCGAGAACCCTAATGCACCCACAGGTCAGTGCAGCACTCAATCCCCATCAGAGAAGCTTCTCCTTGCAGGTGCTGTGAATTAACACAGAGCTCACCATCTGGACAACATTCAGAGTGGGAGATGTGTTAGTTAGGGTTTCTATTCCTGCAACATGACACCATGACCAAAAAACAAGCTGGGGAGGGAAGGGTTTATTTGGCTTATACTTCAACATCGCTGTTCACTAAAGGAAGTCAGGACAGGAACTCAAATGGGGCAGGATCCCAGAGACAAGGGCTATTGTGAGTGTAATTTACCTTTACACAGGAAAAGCAGGCAGTGGAATGCATATTCCCACACTGGAGACAAACCCAAGCTTTCACTGTGGCAGGACTGCACATGTAAACAGTATTGGAGAAACCACATTACCGTTTTTGAAGCGTCTGTAAATTGTCACTAGGCTGGGATATTCGCAGAGGTTGACGTGGCTGAACAGTGTCAATAGCACCGATAGGTCGAAAGTTCGCTCTAGACTGGTGAGAACATTGTGCACCACTTTGGATAGAGGGACCAGATTTTGACAGGCTTGCAGAGATTCCTTCAAAGAGTGGAGCAAGGATTGGTGTGAGCAATTCTTTGTTGAGCTGAGGGCTCTGTATTTGTGGTTTTCTATGTTGTAAGAGAGCTACTTTTGGGCTGCTAAGGATGGCTAAGTGAGTGGAGGAGTTGACCATGAAGCCTGATGCCATGAGTTTGATTCCCAGGATCCATAGGGTGGAAGGAGAGAACAGATTCTATGAGCTGCCCTTTGACCTTCATCTGCCCATCATGCACTTACCCACCTCTACCCCCAATCAAATAAATGGTTGTAATTAAAAAAAGAAAAAGTAAGAAGCCAGGCTTGGTGACACATGCCTTTAATCCCAGTAGACAGGTAGTCAGATCTCCAGTGTTTAATATTTGAGGCCAGCCTGGTCTACAAAGTGTGGTTCAGAACAGCCAGGGCTACACAGAGAAACCCTTTCTCACAAAACAAAACAAGACAACAAAATTTAAGAAGTCTTTTTTTTTTAATTTAAGAGGAAATTTAATATGAAATGGAGAATTAAATTCTCAAACAGAAGACATAGGAGGAGAGGATTAATTGCAAAATTCTTCCAGCGAGTGTCTTTCAGGCTTGGTGAGCTAGTCCTTAGACACAGTGATGGGGCAAATTAGAGTGCTGCCCAGTGGGGCCTGCCCCGGTGGGAGCACTGTCTAGGTAGAAGCTTTGGCCAGATGGAGGAGGAGGACGTCCAGCCCTGAACAGAAACTCAGTAGAGCCCATCACTGAGAACAGGGCCATAAAGGAAAACATGGGAGTCTCAGAAGGATGAGTGGGTACCCTCCTGAGCAACATAGTGTGGGATATCTTGTGATGAAGGGAGCTGAAGCTGCCCCAAGGCTTGGGAACTGCTGCTGTAATTTTCCTGATGCAAGATGATGTGTCAGGTAAAGGCATCTGCTGCCAAGCCTGATAACCTGAGTTCAATCCCTGGGACCCACAAGGCAGAAAGAGAGAACCAGCTCCCACAAGTTATCCCAAGGCACATGTGTACAACAACACACTCTCATTCACATACCCACACCACAAAAACATATAATTATTTTTAGCATGACCTGTGAGCCCCATGTTCTTATGCATTAGGATAATGCCTGTGATGGGCTGAGCAGCATCTTAATGCCAAACAATACATCCTTTGGAGCTTGAGAGTGTGAACTTATTTGGAAAAAGGGTCTTTGAAGATGTAACTGAGGATGCTGATACTATCCGGATTAGCTCAGTCCCTAAACACAGGTGTCCTCATCAGAGGAAGGCAGAGAAGACAAAAGAGAGAAGATGACGCAGAGAATGGAAGAGACTGCAGTGAAGTATTAGTCTAAGAACCCCAAAAGTTGCCAGCTGCCACCAGAAACTAAACAGAGACAAGAAATGGATCCATTTCTGAGCTTCTAGAAAAAACCAACTTATCATTTGGGGCCTTCTGGTCTCCAACTTCTGAATTCTGGTTTGTGGTCCTTTGCTATGGTAACACCTACATATACCACAGCCCCATGGCACCCTTTCTCCTAGACAGCTCCCTGCTGCAATAATGATCACAGTCAAGTTGGGCCTTTCATGTTCTAGAAGCCCTGGACAGTTGTGGTCCTAGATGTAAACAGTAGAGCATACTTATGGAGGAATGGACTGCCTTGTGGAAGGTCCACAGGCCTCACCTTGTACATTTTCTCAGTGATGATGGAGTTGTCCCGGAGGGCTTCAAAGAAGGGGAACGGCTTGTTGATGGCATAGGCAATGTCCAGCTTTGTGTATATGAAGTGCTGGAGAAGGGCCTTTTGCAAGGCCTTGCTGACAGTGAACATCCTAGGGAAAGAAGCAGGCTGAGGAAACAGAGGCAAAGGCTACCAGGAACATGGGGGGTTGCTCTAGCTGCAATGGGTACTTGAAGGTAGACATCCTAGTCCTCAAGCATCCCTTAGCAACCTGCAAACCCAAGTCTGGCTTAAATATCTGTGGATACAGCAAACAAAGGCCCCAGCAACCACAGGGGCGGAGGGAAGGACAATAGCAAACTACCATCCTGAAAGGGATTTTGAAAATATCCATATTCACCAAATGGTTCCTATGACCAGTGTTCTTTCTGAGGGTTTCATAGGTAGTAACTTACTGAGTTCACAGAGTGTTGCAGGATTGGTCACTGTCATTGCAACTATGAGAACTCCAATGCAGACAGAGGTGGGGTAACACTCATGCTAGATTATATAATGTGGAAGGGGCAGAGTAGGTATCAACTCCGACTTCCTGGTTACTGGTTTGCAGTTGAATGAGTGCTTGACTACACCAAGCAGTGTTGGAGCAGACCACCCACATTTAGACACTGAGAAATCACACATTTTGTCACAAACAGGCAACACAAAAATAAAATCAGGAAGGACGTGAAAAATAGGATTGGTCAAAGTGACATCACCATTTGGACTTATGAACACATTTCATTCTTCAGGACAGACCTGTGCCTTTCCCCATCTCTCCCAGTGCGTGAGAAAACAACCGGCCAGTTATAACTGTAGAAAACTTCCAGGTGACAGTCTTGGCAAAGTGTTGTGACAGGTGCCATGCTCTAGGGGGCGCTTTTGTTGTTGTTTGGCAGTACTGGAGATTGAGCCCTTGGGCATCTTTGATAAGTGCCCTATTAAAGCTTTCTTTTCTTTTCTTTTCTTTTTTTTTTTTTTTAAGCACAAAGCACACAAGGATTCTTTCCCCCTTTCATCTTTTGTTAAATAAAATATTAAACTGTAATGAGTGTGTATTTCTAGGAATTTATTCCCAGTGGCAAATTAAGCAGTCCTGTTCATTTCTGCTAATTTCCAAATTCCTTAACCTTGGCAGGAGAAAATTTGAAGAAAGAAGGAGGAGGAGGAGAAGGAGGAGGAGAACCCACAGCAGTTTGTTTGTGTCGTCAGCAGGCTTCAGTAAAGTCATGGGGGTGGGCGAAGAGACCAAAATGGACACAATCTCTGGGCTCTGTTTAAGATGACTTACTATATAAAAGCATACAGAATAAGACAGTGACAGCATTCACATTCACCATCTGCCACGGTTTCCAAAGGGTGAACACTAGGCCCCAGAGGGGGTAAGTAACCAAGCCCAGGGAAACCAATGGCACGGCAGAGTCCGATGCTGATATTTTGTTTCTCACTGTGCAAGATGCTGTGTCTCAAGCCTGGCAAAATGACTAACAATCTCTGTGAGTTTGAGACCAACCTGGTCTACATATTAAATTTCAGGACAGAGATGCATAGTGAAACTCTGTCTTGAAGTAAAAACGGGAAGAAAAAAAAATACTGTATCTCACAGATACCTGCATTTGGGTTTTTATTATGTTAAGGGGTCTTACAAATAAATTAGGGAAAGGTAAACACCCAGTAGGAAAGACAAAGCCCAAACATGAGAAATCAATAAAATAAACTGCATGTACAAAAAAAAAACAATGCATTAAGTGGGAGTAGCCAGAAAAGTAGGAACGACTTGACAGTGCATATTCATACCAAAGTGATCTACAGAGAAAAGTAGCAATAATACCTGATAATGGTAGAAAGGTAAACCAGCTCAAGTGTTCCGTGCCTCATTTGGTAATCAGTGTTATGAGCCCTAAAATACAAATCCCCTTGAATTTTCATGCACAGGAATGTATTTCAAGGAAACGAACATAAATTTGCCAAACAAACGAACGAACAAAAACCTCGTGACATGCTACAGAGAAGTAAGGACGCCCCTCACTTTCTCTTTCTCATTAGCTTCAAAATTAGGCAGATTCCTGGTAGATGATGAAGGCACTGCCCACCATAGGCAAATGCAGGGTTTAACCTCGGGAGCACGCACAGGACACTATCCCCAACAGCCTTTAACTTTCAGAAAAGGAACTGTGTATAGTTTCCACTGCACTCCCCTCCATGCCCCTTATCCACCTCCTAGGCACCGTCCTTTGCCGAGAGCGAGCCTGGGGACCCTAAGGTCCAGCAGATAAAAGCCGATCCCCAAGAATGAAGAGTCCAGCGCTGCAGAGCCCAAGAGCAGAACGCACCTGTCACCCAGGCAATTGATCATCTAAGGAGATCCTGGACCCTGCTGGGATACGCCTTCTGTGTCCAGTCTGGAAGTCCTAGTGCCCTGGTCACGTCGCGTCAGATTTCCAGAAAAGAAAACCGAAAGTGATCTCCGCACACAGAGCAGGAAGCTGGGCAGCTCCCAGCGCGCCACTTCTGCTCTCCTCCCATGGTGGGGCTGTTAGTAGTTTGGGTTGCAGAGGCGCTGCTGTGAATCCAAATCCTACTGGAGTGGAGTGACAGGCGGGGGAGGCTAAGGACCGACACTGGGGAGCCTAGGAAGGGGATTTCCACTGTCCTTCTCTGCCCATCTCTATTTCCCTAGTGGCCCCATGCTAACTTTTTTTTTTTTTTTTTGAGGACTGAAATGTTCTCAAACTGGATTGTGGTGAAGGTTATACTGAATAAGTTTGCTAGCAATTGTCAAATTAAAAAAGCCACAGCTGACATGTTTGGCATGCCTAGAATTGGTCAGGGGAAACTATAGGAGAAAATTGAAATAAAAGACAAGCAAGTGAACCCCACCCTACCCCATCCCCCGCAGGTGAAGCCTGTCAGACAGTTGCTGCACAGCCCTTCAAAGATCCAAATGAGCCGGAACTGAGAGTTCTGTGTAACCCTGTCTAATATTTCCCAAAAGTATTGACCCACGAAGAACTCCCTCACGGGACACCCAAGAGAATTCTGTGGCTGTAGATTTGAATCAAGGATAGCCCACACAGGAGAGAGCCCCTCTGCACTTCCTAAGGAGCTACCAATAGTAACCTTCCAGCCATGTACAGTCAGAGCAGCAGGCTTGACCCAGACTATCCCAGGGATGGGGACTGTGGGAGGAGGGTGTGTGTGCGCCCATGAGCATGCTTGTGTGCCAGAAAAGCCCCTCACCCCCAAGGCACCTTTAAAGCAGGAAAAACTATTAAATCAGACAGATGTGAATCAGGACAAAAGATGTTATTCTATGACAAACATACTCAAGGATACAGTAATCATGGCAAAACCTCACCTGTTAATTCACACCAACTGAGAGCCCAGTAAGATTTTATTTTAGCACGGTTTTATAGATATGTAAAATGCATTCATCTAAAGTGATGACTTTAGTGAATTCCACCAAATAACATCATGCCACAATGAAGACATGAGCCACCCCTACCCCAAGGGGGAAAAAAATCCCCCTATTCCTGGCAAAGAAAACCCCTCCCGCATTCCAGTTCTGGGTAACCACAGATCAGCGGTTACCCAGCTAAGTTTGACTGGTATGAAAATGTCATATATATATATAGACTCATGAAATGTACTTTTTGGCCTGCAGTTGGTTTCCTTTGCTCACCACTTGGAACCTGGCGCTTCTGGCAAGGACTTTTTCTCTTTAGCAGAGCTCTGAGCCTTGAACTCTGCGCAGGCCCTCAGCCCCATCACCTTGCCTTTGATGATCTAGTTTGCGTGTATGTCCAGTCCTATGCTTGTTTGTCTTATTTGCATTTTTACTCCTGTTTCATTACCTTCCCACTTCAAACTAGTTTTCTAACTTACAGAATGCGGGGTAGGTGTAAGTGGAAAGGTTATGCAGAATAAATGTAGTGCATCCATATAGCCCTAGCTAGAAACCCCTTCCTCATCCTACAAGAAATCTTTTGTTCTTAAGACCTCGGTGAAACCACTGGAACCCTTTGTTGCCTACGTCAAGGACACTTGCTCAACCTGTTCTGCCTGGATTCTCACTGCCCTCGGTTGAAGGAGGCAGGCTTCTGTTATATTCAGAAGCTCCAACACTTTAGGAAGCCACACTTGCTGACTTTTCCTAGTCTGGGGCTCAAGTATCAGGTCCACCTCCTTGAGCTCTGGCTCACTGGGATTCTGGGACAGCCACAGTCAGAGAGATTGTGGACAACCTACTCCCCCTTGTCCTACCAGGCACCACCCCAGCCACTTCCTTCCAGTACTTCACAGCCAGCTCTCCCCAGAGGACTCTGAGCCCTGAGCTGAAACAGACTCATCCACCTTTCCTTGGAGTGAACCAGGGGTCCCAGGTTTCTAGGGACTTGGGCTCTCTTTGCTCCTCCCCTCTGGGGCAGAGATTGGGTGGGGGCAGGATGTGTGTGCGGGGTGGGGGTGGGGGACAGGGGAGGATGAAGGAACAACACACTAATAGTGAGTGAGTGCAGCCACATCACAGCTGAGCAATTTCACTTTCTATTTCCTTCTGTTTAGAGGGCCCTCTAGGAGTTCTCTCTGCCCTGAGTCAAGTTCAGGGCACCTTCAGGACTGTATAGAGAGGATGGCAGGAAAGGACAAGGGATCCAGCAGCAGGTAAGTCCATTCTCCTCTCGGCCTGTGTGTGTGTGTGTGTGTGTGTGTGTGTGTGTGTGTGTGTGTCTGTGTGTGTGTGTGTGTCTGCTAAGCTGCTAAGATCGATGTTTTTATGAGTTGCTAGGGCCTCCCAGGCTGGGGCCACAAGGCCATGGGTACTTGAGACAATGAGATCACAGGGAATTAAGAACCTGGATAAGCAGTTTTCACTGCCACAGGCTAGCTGTTGGAGTCCTGTGGTTACCCAGTGCACCTCATTTCATTTCCTTGCCCCTGTCACATAGCTGGGCTAACACTGTGTCGACTTCCTGGGAGCTCCTGTAGGAACAGCTGGTTCATTGGGACTCTGACCTCCCATCTCTCCCTCATTATCATTTTAAAAGACAACACTGCCCCCACCCCAAAAAAAGACCATTTAGAAGAAATTCAAACCTGATTCTGTCTGTCACCAACCTTTTCTCAGTCTGTAGTTGGGGACAGTTGAGCTGGGAGTCCATTTGTGTGGTTTAGGTCAGCTCAGGAGTTTGATCACTCAAATGAAGGAAGTGAGAGGTGGTGAAGACCAATGACTAATGGGGAGCGGGTGGGGAGTGGGTGTTGCCTTTAGCCTTCCTTCCTTCCTTTCTTTCTTTCTTTCTTTCTTTCTTTCTTTCTTTCTTTCTTTCTTTCTTTCTCCCTTTCTTTCTTTCTCCCTTCTTTCCTTCCTTCCTTCCTTTCTCCCCCCCCCCATCTGTGCTGGTTACAGAGCTGATTAGAAATAGTTCAAAATCCCTCCCACACACACAAACACACACACACAAACAGTGGGAAGATGCCCAGTGGTTAAGAGTCCATGATACTTTACTAGTGGGCATGAGTTGGGTCCCCAGCATCCATCCTGGGGCTTCCAACTGCCTCTGACCCAACTCTAGGAGATCAGACATCCCCTTATGTCCTCCACAGACACTGCACTTACATGTAGTAAACACACACTGAGACAGACCCATACACATACAATTAAAAAGGAAAACAGAACAATTAAGCCAGAAGTGTATGGAGCTAATCAATCTCTAATGGAGACTCAGTCAAGGCTACTTCTGGTCCTGAAGAAGTCCTAAGAAAGTATCATTTCTCCAGTGAAATTTGGTCAAATCCATTAGTGATACCAACAATTTGATGTCTCTTTTGAGACTGGGATGGCATTAATTAGAAGCTCAATTTCTTTAATACAAGCCTGTTCACATGATCTGTTTTTCAGAGAGTGAGTTTTGGTAGCTTTTGATTTTTTAAAACATTTAGTCATTTTTGTTGCTGTTATTATCAAATCTGCAAATCTAGGGATGGTTGTTTTATTTAGTCTTTGCTGTCCTTTCAATGTAAGAGGAATTTATAGCTTGTGTCTTTTTGTTTATTTTTCTTTGTTAGCCTGAATAGAGATATAATAATAAAAAAGATTAAGATAACAACTTGGCTGCTCTTTCCAAAGGAGTAGTTTTTGGTATGATATATAATCATACCTCTTTGGTATAAGTATAATGCCAACTCATTTTAATTTTATGGGTTCTACTTGAATTTTTATTGCATCATTTGTTTTAATTGGAAGGAAATTGCTTTTCTTATTTTTCCTGATTCTTCAGAAGATTTTCATATAGGCCTCTCAGCTTTTGATATACACATTTAATGCTATACATTTCCTAGCTACTGCCTTTGTTGCATCTCAGTTTTAATTTTTTTTTTTATATTTCAAGGTTTTATAGTGCAGGAGAAAGAGCCACAGTTTTACCTGTCTACACCCATAGTTTTTTTTTTTTTTTAATTATGTTCATTTATTTTTTGTGTGCAGGTGCCACCCAGGCATGTTGAGGTCAGAGAACAACTTTTCTGGAGTTGGTTCTCTTCTTCCAGCATGTGGGTCTTGAGGACCAAATGCAGGTCCTCTCTCAGTATTAGTGCAGGGCCGCTATACACCAGCCCCCAAAGTGGCTCTCTTTTATTTACCACACTAGCCACAGTTTTCAAATGTATTCTGTTTTAACTGTTATATTTAGACCATTCACATTTAGACTGATTATGAACACAGGGTAACATCAACCATGTTTGTAAATATTTTCATTTCATTTTTTTGGTCTTCCTTTTTTTTTTTTAATGCCTTTTGGTTTTAGTCAACAAACATTTTATGATTCTCTTTTCTTTTTTGAATTTCAAAGGACAATTTATTAAGTATAACTCATAATGAAGTTATTTCTTAGGAAGTTGGTAATATCATTAGAAAAACAAGCAATAATTAGTTAAACAGTTACAACAATGCAAGATGTGTTATTCGAGAAAGAGCTATATGCTACAGGTTTCACTATAGCATGTTATGATAAATCAGAATTTATGACCCTTCCAGAGGAAGACGGGGAATATAGAAAGCATGCAATAAAAACAGACTCTTAAATACACCATGATTAGACATGACAGCAGCCAATATTAAATTATTCTGCAGTTTTTCATCAATAAGTGGTTTAAGTAACTTGAGATGTCATTTATATGGCGTTGGCAGCATTTGTCCATTTCGCTGAGTATTCACAAACACTGAAAGATGAGTTTCTTTGACAGGCAAAGAATACTGTGATATGAAAATGTGGAAGGGAAGACGTGCCTGTAAGACAAAGAGGAGTTAGTATAGTTATGTTTGTTGAGTGTATACAAGGATTGAAGAAGAGGATGCATATATATATATATGATTCTTTTCTCATGAATTTCTTACTTTTTTTTCTTTTGTCTTGTTTTGTGTTTGTTTTTTGGAGACTGAAGAAATTTTGTATCTTATGTCTATTTGTTTCTGCTAAACTGTTTTTTTTTTTCTCATTATTTTGTGGCATTTTTAGCTTAGTTTTGACATCTTGGCACTCTTGGGTTTCTGATTAATCTGCTATATTTCTCTAGGTGAGTTACAATATCAAATGTGAAACTTCACTATTTGAATTTACAGAATTTACTGTTTGAAATAATGCAGCTCTAATTCCAGTTTTTGAATAAGTTCACTTATGAGGAGCTGAGTTCAGATCCCCAGAACTCATAAAAGCTTGATGCCATGGTGTGTGTCTTTAACTCCAGAATTAAGGGAACAGACACAGTTGGATCCCAGGAGCTCGCTGGCCAGCTAATCTGGCCGAATTAATGATATTTAGATTCAGTGAGAGACCTTGTCTCAAAAAATAAGGCGAAAGCAATTGGACCCCTCACCCCCACCCCCACTGGGCACATACACACATGAAAACACCCCCCAAACCTCCTTAAGTTTAAGATATGAATTATTGTATAGTTTTGTCATGTTATTACATGTGGAATACAGATTCTTTTTAAAAACACAAATGTTTCTCAAGGTTTTGGTAACATAAACTTTGATATCTTTTGTGTTTGTTTGTTGTGTATCCCTGACTAGTCTGGAGTTTACTATGTAGACCAGACTGCCTTTGAATTCATGGTGATCCTCCTGCCTCCCTCTCCAAAGTGCTGGGATTAAAGGTGTCTGTAACCACACCCCTTCCCCCCCCTAAAAATTATGGAGAATATCCAAAGCTAGCATTTTGGGTTAAATCTAATGAGATTTACCATTAATTATAAATTAAAGCTTCAGACATTCAGAATATTTATCCTTAAAAGTAGTAGCAATGAACTTATCACTATCACAAGAAACATATTTTTAGAGAAAATAACAATATCTTCTAAAATAAAAATAAAGGGAAGGATGTAATCTTGCTTTATCTTCTTGCAAATGCCCTTATTCTCCTGCTTAGGCAAAGTCACCAGACTCCCCTGTTTACTTCTGTGTTTAATCTGCTGCGATGCCACAGCTCAGGGAACCTCCGAGAATCCCTCTGAACACCTTTGGGAGGAGGAAAGAGATAGAGGCCAATCTCAGAATTAGTATGAGAATAGTTTGTCCTCAGTGACAACTGAAAAAGTCTTGTGCAGTGTCAGGGTCCCTCAGGCTACACCCTGAGAGCCACCATTCTCAATTATTTAGCATTTAGGTGACATTTTAAGTGGAAAAAAAAAAAAAGTGACGGTACCAGTTAATGTGCTAGTGTGGATGGGAGGAGCAGAAATGATGTAAATACAGTATTCATGTATGAGATTTTCAAAAAAGATTATGAAATTCTAAAGTAAGCAAAAAGCAAAAAAGAAAAATGAGCCCTATTTTAATTTTTTAGTTTTATTTTTAATTAACTATTTAGGCTAGCATACAAAATGATGGGTCTTATCATGGTGTCTTCATACATATGTATCATATTTTTACTCATCTCCTCCCTCACTTTCAGGAGTTGGTTCTCTCCTTCTACCCTGTGGGTTCCAGGATTGAACTTGCATCATTATACTAGAAGGCAAGCACATTTATTTATGCACTGAACCATCCCACCAGCCCTCCTGCCATTTATTTTGTTGTAGAAATTTGCTGGTACTGATTTATTTTCATTTTTTGAGACAGGGTCTTGCTACATAGCCCAGGCCAGTCTTGAAGTCACTAGGTAAGGGCTAACAAAATGCTTCAGTGGGTAAAGATGCTTCCCGGGCAAGCCAGGCAACCTGAGTTTGATGCCTGGGAAGTCTGGGAAGTGTCCTCTCACCTCTACATGTGCTAATACTATAACAGTACTAATACTAAATAAAGTTAAAAGCTCCAGGCTGCCCTGACTAGAGCTTCCAGGTTGCCATGACTACAGACAGGTGTACTAAGCCCAACTTTCTTGCTTCTGTCATTGCACTATATGCCATAATTTGTTTCCATCTGTGTGCCAGAATGGAGTCAATAACATGAACAAACAACTCCCATGTCTCCTTGGGCTTCTGGGCCTTCCTTTCCTAAAAGATGCTCTCCCTGCACTCTGTCTCTGGGTAGGGAGCAGTGGCCACCTGAGATGTCAGTCAGGCCTGGCAGTGGAGGACAGCATGGTTAAAAAGTGCTGGTTCTGGGCTGCTAGAGAGACCCCATCACTGCAAGGAGATGGGGGATGGGAGAGAAGAAGGCTTATGGAGCAATGGAGGATGAGCTGCACTGTGTGTGTGTGTGTGTGTGTGTGTGTGTGTGTGTGTGTGTGTGTGTTTTCACAGCCCTGAATCAAGTACTTACCAATTTTGCCTTCACACATAAACTGGAAGAAGAGGGTATTTTGTTTGTTTGTTTATCTGTTATTGTTGTTTTGTTTTTCCTTTTACCCAGAAGTCTGTAGATTTTGTTCCAGTTTCATTTCTGTTGCTGTGATAACATGTGATAACATACCCTGACATAAAGTGACTTGAGCGAGAAAGAACTTATTAGCTCACAGGTCCATGTTAGAGTCCATCATTGCAGGGAAGTCTAGGACTTGAAGGAGGTAGTCATATCCACAGTCAGGAGCAGGGAGAAGTGAATGCAAGAGTGCCTGTCAGTGCTCAACTTGTTCCCTACACTTAATGCTGCCGAGGATCCCCTACCTAGGAATTGGTGCCTCCCACAGTGGGCTGGATCTTACCATATTCATGAAGCATAATGAAGACAACCCTGGACAGATGTACCCATAGACCACCTTAATCTAGACAGTCCTACAAGACTCACTCAATCCCAGATTATTTTAGAGTATGTCAGGTTAACAATTAAAACTAATCATGTTGGCCGTGGTGGAGCATGATTTGAATCCCAGCACTCAGGAGAGGCAGGTGGATCACTGAGGCTAGCCTGGTCTATATAGCAAGGTCCAGACAAGCCAGACTTACAGGCTGTCTCAAACAAATAAAACCCAAAGCATCACAACTTGCACCACGATTTTAGATGTTTAAAGTTTCAATTTTACTTCAAAAGTTTTCTTTTAGAGGACCATCCATCATGCCAGAAATTATTCAGCCATTGGTAGCATCTTATAAGCTAGTTTATGCTTCTATATGGAATCTGTCCCCTAGGTCAACCACTGAAGATGAGAGCAAAGAGGAGTCAGCTGAGTATGGGCTCATTTTCAAGCGCTTCAAAAAAAATAAGGTGGAAATCGCAAGCGCCATCACAAAGCCATTTCCTTTCCTCATGAGTCTGCGAGACCATGACTTCATCTCTGAGGAGAAGTTCCAGGTGAGTGAGGAGAATGAACTCAGCCCTGACAGTAGGCCTGCCCCACATTGTATTATGCTGAGCCTGTGGATGATGCCAACAGGCTGAAGGGCCTCCAGGGAGGAGGGACCTTCCCTTCTTGGAAGTCAGAGGTGACATGAGAAGCAGGCGTCACAGGGAACGCTCATATCCATCTCTGGTGTAACCAAGGCTGAGGTACCTGGTGACAGAGGATGGATAGAAGTGGGAAAGCTCTAAAAGGCAGAGCACCCCAGGTTAACATGTGCAGTGTAACATCTGAAACTAGGGTGTGGGTGGACATGTCCAAGCTGGGCTTCCTTACAACCTGCTTATTCCAAATTCTGGAGCCTGAGCGTTAAGAAAGCCACAGGCAGTTGGATCAAGTGAAGCTAGAACCGGAAGTCGTGCTTGCTTCTCTCCTAACTGTTCCTTGTTCCTCAGGCACCGCTGAGGCCCTAGAATGTAGTAAAGGTCAGTGATGGGGTCCCCTGGGCACAATGAAGACAAGCCTTCTCTTCTTTGTGCGAAGTCTTTGCCTTGTGGCCAGGATGCTAACTTGGTTGCCTTGAGCCCTGCCGACTAGGTCAGTCTCTGGGGAGTTACTGTTTGGTCCCCAGACAGCCTCTCATGGCCTGTTACAGCCACCGTGGAGCATCTTGGCTTGGCTCTTACAGACACATCATTGGATTACTTTCCAGAATACTATTTCCTGTCAATGGTGTGTGAGTATCAGAGATGCTCTTGGACAAGCACGGGTCGTCATTAGAGAGGACATGTAAGATATCACCTGATATCCACAAAATGCAGATACTTCAGAAGCAATCAAACGGTGTTGGAATCACTCTAAGCCTCTCTTCTAATTCATGAATCCATTATAACATAATTTCCACTCAATATTTTTAAGATTTCTAGAAAAAAATGTGAGAACCCGGATGCAGTGAGAAATGAGGTGTATGACATCCTCTGCGACCTGCAGAAGGACTTTAGCCTGTCCCTTCTGGAAGTGATCTTCAGCCCAACACATCTGAAGGCCTACCCAGACTTAAATGAGACTGTAAAAATCTTCCGAGATGGTAACTATAGCTCTAACCTACTTCTGGGAATTCAAGACAATTTCATTCATTAACTTAATCACTCATTCTTTTTTTCCGTGATAGCTGACATATAACTTATTGAGGGACTATGACATGCTAAGCATAGGGGTAATGTAGGAAATCAGGAGCTCACACATAGGCCAAGTAACACAGAAGTGAATGTTTAGCCCACACCCGAGTTTCATGCTATAAAACACACTACGAATGGTGAGCTTTCTTAAGAGGAGCAGGTTCTCTTAAACTTGCAGACATGTCCAACAGTCAAAATATGTCCTTCGTATCAGAAAATGTATCATTCGGTGGAGTCCTATATCAACTTCCTTCTCTGAAGAATAGAAAAATTACAAGGGAAGCCCAGCATGGGCCCAGGTACCAGGGAGGACAGCTTGTGTCAACTTAGAGTATGAAAAGAGAGTGGGCTTTTAGAACCAAGGGGCTGGCTCCCTGAAGTCAGCAGGTCCTGGGTAGAGCAGCCTCTGTAGCTCCCACTGGTCCTCTGTGGTCTCACCCTTCCTGCTTTCGTCCCTCTAAAGCCTCTCTCTTCCAGAAGGAACACCAGCATCAGACTTCTTGTGAACAATGTTTCTGTATTTCTTGGTCTTTTCCTTTTCCCTCATGTCCTCTGGGGTCTTGTCTCTCCATCTGTATCACTGTATGACTTGGTCACCTTGAAGTGCAGGGTTGGTATTTCCCTCCTCACTTGCCACCCGAGGGTCATTGGCTGTCTCTTCCTGTGTCGCCTTTCAGAGCGTAGTTTTTCATTTCACTCCACCCATCTTGCCTGGAGAAGCACTGCATCCTTTTCAGGTCTGTATTTCTCTGTAACCAATGTCTTAACTTCCCTCTCCCCCTCCCTCCTCCCTTCCTCTCCCTCCCTTCCTCTCTCTAAAACTTACTTATACAGAAGTCCCTTGCCTTTCCTGCCATAGCCATGTCGCTTATAAATGTTTTCTACCTTTGCTTTAACTTAAAATTGGCTTTCACTTTCCTCTGACAATTTTGAGGAGATACAAACCGTGATTGCTATGCTGCCTGCTCCCCCCGCCACTGCCTGCCGTCTCTAACTTCCCAGGGTACCAGAAGGAATAGGAGGTTGCACAGAAACTCCAGAGTCCAGTGTGCACCTGGACAGAGCACCCTGAGATGCAGTTTAGCTCACAGTTGAGATCCCTAATTGCTTTTTTTCCCCCGCTTTCTCGCTGGTTCATGTCTCCTTCTATTACCCGCTCTGCATGGAAACAGCAGCCCAGCTGAGGTTCATCACCCACAGAAGCCTGTTGAGCAGGCTAGTTACAGCTTGCTAAAACCTTCTTTTTATATTGAGTGGTTACTCAAGGAGTTTCTGCAAATCGATTCATTTATCTCCACAAGCTTGAAAACAGAGGGACAAATTCTGCTTCATTCCATGTTATATGTTAAGGAAATGCATAGACATGTGTAACTTTGTCAGGCCAAAGTCAAGCAGGAGCAAAAGCTAGCCTTCCCATCACCCTCCCTATGGAGGGGAGGGGGAATAGGATGGAAGGGTGTGAGGGAGGGAGGGAGAGGGAACTGGGATCGATATGTAAAGTAAGAAAAAAGTTATAAAAATTAAAAAAAAAATAAAAGCAGGACACACTGTGGTGATGATGTCTGAGGTTGGCAGAAGTTCGGGGTGGCCAGGAGCACTGAACAGTGTTCTCATGGGAGACCTCAGGGACATGAGGAGTGTGATGAGCCTGATACAAAGGAAAAACAGAGAGAGATAATAGATTGGAGCCTGTTCCATGGAGATGAGATCTCTAGCGTCAAAGGAAGCTCAGAGGTACAACTAGGATGAGCTAAAGAACATTGAGATCAACAAAGCAGAAAAGGACTGAGGCATGTGGGATGCCTTCTGTTGTAGAAGAACTGCATTGGGGTCCAAAAGATGAGAAGAAATTGCCAGGGATGAGCAGAGAGAAAAGAGATAGAGCACAGCTCTGAGTGGGTGGGGGTGAGCATTTCAGACAAGGTGAAGTAATTCACCTGTGTGCTGAGGGCCAGCATTCAGTAAAAGTGCATGGAGATCTTTGCCTCATCACTGTCTGATTCAGTCATTGTCATGTTTCTCTTCAGTTTCCAACAATCACAGGACTCTCCATAGGATAAATGGAAGACACACTGAAGAGAGGCCCGGACTGCCAGAAGTTGTTAGAGAAGGTGATTATGTTCTTAGATTACAAATTACCTCACTGAATCAGTATTCTTGTCTTTACCCTTCTCTCCTCATCACACACACACACACACACACACACACACACACACACACACACACACACACATTTTTGTTCAGCTTGTGGTTGTTGACCCCAGTGGGAGACAAGAAGGGAAGGAGTTGAATCTCTTAACAGAAGAGCTCCTGGGTAATTAAAGGATGCAAAGTCATAAAAACGAAGATTAGAGGCAGGGATAGGAGATTCCTAGCAGACTTGAGTTTATCTAAATCAACCTGGCTTTGCATATAGTCATGTGTCACTCAATAATGGCAATGAATTTCTGAGAAACGTGCTTTGAGGTGAGTTCTTTATTTCGTTGACACACTGTAGAGTGCCCTGCCACTAATGATCCCAGTTATCAGGTCACTGCCCATATCAGCCTATGTGATGTCTATCTTATATGTGATCCATCCTGGGCTGAAATGTCATCAGGTGTCACATGAATGTATTCTCAGAATGGAGTTTGATAAGAAAGTGAAAATTTTAAACATGCTTGCTGGAGGTCACATAGGAACAACAAAATGTGGCATTAAGTGAAATGCAGCGGAAGGGGGTATAAAAATAAATAGATGATTGGACAAGAGGTAAAACCTTGTATATAGAGAAAAAGACAGAAATGGAAAGATATTGGAAACAATCAGCAAGAGAAAGTCAAATCAATAAGCTCCATAAACAGACGCATGGTATAGAGACAGCAGTGTGGGAAGATGGTGTTGGAGACGGGAAAAGGAGATGGGGCCAGGTAGGTTGCTCAAAGAGATTTGTAAATCTTGGAGGTGCAAGCATGCTCACTTTAAGGCAGCAACTTGACACTCTGTCAGAGTCCAACCCATTTACATCAGGATGTATTCAGGTCATTACCAAACTATCTTTCATGGTTTTCCTTTCTTCAATGTCCCAGATACCCTCTTTACAAATGGTTGGAGGAAGAAAATCATAAGTACAGAATGTGATACAAATTCAGTGACCTATTTTCTAAGTAGCTTTATCTCTCAGTCATCACAGAGAAGAACCTCCATTCCTTTTACCTCCTTCCCTGTTCAGCAATCTGTCATCCATGAATCCACTCACTTATGTACCAATACAACCATCTAGCCACTCATCTACTGCCAGTCTATTCATTCATCTATCCACCCGTCTATTGACTCACCCACATACATCCATTCACCTCCCTATCTATCTATCTATCTATCTATCTATCTATCTATCTATCTATCTATCTATCCATCCATCCTTCTAACCATCCATTCTTTTCTTCTACCCCTCCCCACAGATGGCCAGATTATGTTCAGCTTTTGAATTGCTTTCAGGAGACATAAGTGATATAGAAGTCTGATTTCAGACTGGTTAAGATTTTGCTGAGTACAGACCATACACCAAGAGAGGGAATTTGAGAACTCTGGATGGAGCCATCAAATCTTGAGCTCTGAGTGGCTGCCAGTTTTATCTACATAGACATGGAACCCTAACATCACCATGTGGAGGACACTGCTGAGGAGGACTGGTCACCTTTAGCTACTTTCCCTTTGGTTGGGCTAGTATAGACACGATGAGTACAGCTGAAACTGAGACTTTGGAAGAGGACTTGGAGAGGGAATCTACTCCTTTGTCTACAGTGAACAAAGACTTCATGACTTGAAAGGATGATGAAACAGAATATACAGAAAGGGCAGGAATGAAATGTTTGCATTCAAATTTAATTTGGAAAAAAAAAAATCAGAAACAGCAAGCTAACTAGAGAAAACAGACTAAGCTAGAGAAATGAGAACAATGTGGCGGGGCGGGAGCGGGAGTTAGTCTCAGTGATAAAACTAGAGTTTAAAATGTGAAGAAAATTATGTAAAGGGGAGTGTGTGAGAGTCACCATCCCTACATACAGAGAAAAGACAGAGGAGAATGGATTAAAAAAATAGTAGAAGGCATTTGCTGCCAAGCTCGATGACCTGAGTTCTATCTCCAGGACTCACATGAAGGAGAGAGAGCTGATTCCTACTAGTTGTCTTGTGACCTCCATGTATGTGTCACATTATATGAGGCACTCCTGTAGTGAGATAGTTCTGTGACACTGACCACGCCCATTGGGGGGTGGAGCCATGGGCGGATACACTCCCCTATTCCAAAATAAGCATGACAGTGACACTAACAACAACAAAATTTTAATTCAGTTGAGAGCAAAAATTATCCTCAAGGAAGAGAGAAAAAGGGACTGAGTTACCAGCCAAAACCAACTTCTGGCTTAAGGTGAATTCATTAGTTGTGAGTTTTCAGATTGGGTTGTCCCCAGTTTTTAAAGTAATTTGGAAAACATGCAAGGGTGACCAGTCTCTCCCAGGCATTCTTATCTATCTGCTCGGGTCTCTAAGTTAATGATCCCCAAACACAAACCTGCAGACTTGCCTGTCAACCTCCTCATCTGCATGCCTGAATGTCTTCCTGCAGCTGCCTCAGAGACTTCTCTATCCAGATGTTTTTCAAGAACATCAGTGTGAGACGCTTGCAAAATTGCATGTGATATCTGTCTTGACAGCAAGCCTGCCTCCTCGGTCTCTGTCTTGGCATGGGACACTGTTTCTCCATTCTCAAGCAGGGTTGTTACTGACTGCCCCTTCCCAGTGTAAATCAGTCTTCCATGCATCACCCCTGTCCACTTTCTCCTTTTCCAACAGAAACACCAAATCAGATCTCTCGTTCTTATTTTAGGTATTGAGTGTTTTGCCTGCATCTGTCTGTCTGTCTGTCTGTCTGTCTGTCTGTCTTCTGTCTATCTATCTATCTATCTATCTATCTATCTATCTATACCACATACTTGATTTGTGTCCAAAGAGGTCAGAGGAGGGTGTTGAATCCCTTGGTCCCGAAATTGCAGTCAGTTGTGAGCTTCCATGTGGCACAGGGAATCGAATTTGAGTCTCCTGGAAGAGCAGCAGACCCTCTTAACCACGCAATCCTCATCTTTCCAGCCCCGCCCCCTCCACCACATCAGGTTTCTTGTTTCACCTTAGCACCACAGAAACAACTGTTTCTGTCTTGTTCCATCAAATTCATCATCTCCAATTCAACCAGACAATCAGACTTGAGGTGGGCACACCTTACTCTCTCTCCCCTTCAGTCCAACAACTTCCTGCTATTGTGAGGATTGAGTCCATCTTCCTCCCTAAAGTTTCTGACTTCCTGTCTGCCTCTTTTGTTCTTCAAGAAAATAGTTTATATAAAAGTTCCTTAGTTCCTTTGATTCTCTGGTCCTTCTTGGATCCTTTATCTTTTGTGTGAGACAGGCAGAAATATTTGTGACTCCTGTTTGGAATAACCTGATTCTTATGGGTAGAATATGTGGATTCTTAATTTTTTATTTTTTAAATTAACTTTTATTTAAATTAAAAACAATCTTATTTTACATGCCAATCCCCAGTTCCCTCTCCCTCCTGTCTTCCCATTCCCCCCACCCTCCCTCCTTGGGATTCCCCCCAATCCCACCCTCCTTTCACTTCTGGGGGTGGTGGTGGGTTCTTTATTCATGTTGAACTAGCAGTCACTGGGAAAAGACAGGGTGTTGCTCTTCTCACTGTGTTACAAGATAGCTTGTACTCCTGACTCCAACTGAGCTAACTGAGCTCCCTCTGCATAACTTGTTGTATCTTTGTTTCCCTTCAGCACGCTGTAGTCCCAGAAATACCCCAATGACTGGTGAACAGGCGGAGGGGATGCATAGCCTCTCACAATGCAACGGAGATGGTCAGCTAGTGAACCTGTGAGAGAAAGTCCCTTCCCCCACTTATCCTGTTCTTTATATCCTCAGAGAGAAGAAACCATAGAGGCAGCAACAAGGGTCTGAGAGAAAAGGGGGAAATAAAATGTGCAGAGAGGGAACCGATGGGTGGCCAACGTTCTGACTCTGGTGGCAGAGAAGGAGTCATGTCAGCCTCCCCTTCAGAGTCCCAAAACAGAAGAAGCATTCATTCTAGGAGACACTAAGCCAGTTTGACCTTCTTGGCTATCTCAGATGGCTTCTCCTGCTGTGATTTTCCTTGGCCATGTGAGTCCACCAGGCCTTTCATTCTTTTCTACAGAGGGAAGTAGTTCTCATGAACGAATGTTAGATGGACAAGAGCCCCAGGATGACTTATCCTCATCACCGCTGAGACCACAAGCAGGTGAGCAAGGGGTGTGCTGTGTGGTCTTCAGGGGTTCTTGGGGCTGAATTCTGAGCTGGTTTTCCTGCTGTGTTTGCTCTCCGCACATCATGATGTTCAGGCCCTGGCTAATGTTCTTCATATTTGCCCATGGCATTCTGGGGGGATTCAAGTAGGAAAAAAGTGTTACTTGTAGTTAGGTGCTCACATATCACTTTAGGAGGAATGTGCTGGGCCAGACAATACTTGTTGCCTTTGTCTTTTCAAAACCACTTAGCCCATCGAATATTGAACCCATAGGACAATTTCTTGCTCTCATCTCTCAGTCTCCATGGAAATCAAGAAGCTTATAATTTCTATGCAGGTTGATCATTTTGTGTTTTTCATAAACTTGCTAAAATGCTCAAAGAGGGCTGGAGAGATGGCTCCACTGTCAAAGGCTAGGCTCACCAAAAATATGAAGCACTCAATGAGGAAATAGTGGATCATCTGGTGGATGTATTTTAATGAAACCCAAAGCTATATGATCAATATATTTCATGTTATTTGGATTATATACTCTTCCTACACTCTTTGATACATGTGTCATCCCTTTATTCTTAAAGCTCTTAAGACTTTGCTCGGGGGGGGGGGGATCATTACAGTTTTAGCTCTCTAGAAACATAAGAGTGAATAAGTTGCTGGCATGTTACAGAACTTGACAAAGACAAGGAGCTAAGAGGTCCAGTTTCTGGATGGTTCTACCTGGAATCAAGATTTGATGATGGTTAGGTTCCTATGATCTGAACCCAAAGTGCAAGTTCAAGGGTCTTTGGCTAATCAGGGGAGCCTGCTAGGGTTTAGTGGAAAGAGGCTCTAGTTAGCAAACAGGGATGCTTAGGGAGAGGAGAAGAAAAACCATTGCAGAGAATTAGAAAGTGTGTGGATATATTACATGAGATAGGGGAGACCCAGAAGAATCGAGCTAGGAAATATGAACACAATGGCAATACAAAATGTAGTGCATACTGCAGAGATGAAGACAGATGATGAAGAAGACAGTAAACGCCAGGGAGAGACAGTGAGACTACCATGATTAGGCGAGGCACTTTGGGGAAGGGATGGGGCCTTTGTCTACGTCACACCTAGTCGGGCTGCTGGCTCAGACCGATTACACAAAGACAGGTGCGGGCAACACATTTCAGGACCTCTGAATGACGTCTGTGTTTGCTTAGCCTGGCAGTTCCTTTTTTCTAAGTGATCTCAGCCTCATGGTTTGTCAAAGAAAGCCATGTTTCCCAGAGAATGGTCTGCAGTGACAGCTACTGGTGGGAACATGAGAACACTGGAGACTTTCTCCCTTGTTTTATAAAGTTACCTGACAAACATGTGAAGTCCCTCCATCGTGAAGTGGATGGAGTGAGATCCTGCCGTTTATTAGGTGCAAGAGGTAGAGTCATTATGAGAGTGCCAGGAGGAAGTGTAAGTTCCTCCTTTGACTCTGAGGGAAGGACCCCATGCTAAGTGGAAAAAGGATGCTTGGTTATAAGGGTGAACAGTGTGTTGCCCTGTGTGGAGCACTGGGCTTCCTGAGAGAAACAGAGGCTAAAAAGGGATGTGTGATTGTTTCCATGACAGTATTTGACTCGAAACTACATACACAATGAGAGAAATGTCTTATTACATAGACTGACAAGTCACCATGTGTCTTTGTGAATGTCCCAAGATAGAGTAGGACCAAGAATCTTTGCACAGTTTGGCCACCGACTGGTGGATCCACACTTATTATCTTTTGAGATCTACTTGGCTTGGGGACTTGTTAGACCTTTGTTTCCATCTGTTGGGGGAGGTGTCATTATCTTCCAATATTCAGAAAGAATGGGAGAACCAGAGGCAGACACAAGATAAAGACTTTAAAAGTTGATGAGACAAAATAAAGCAAGAATAAACAGAGAGAATATTTGCTAAATGCTATACCTACGAATCAAGATAGCAATTTATATTTATTTATTTTACATAATAAGCACAGTTTCTCCTCCCTCCTCTCCTTCCATCCCATCCCCCACTTCCCTTCTTCACCCCCCCCCACTCTTCCTCTATCTCCATAGAAGGGGTAAGGCCTCCCATGGGAGTCAATAAAGCATTACATACCAAGTCAAGGCAGGACCTGCCCCCCCTCCCCCTGCATCAAGGCTGGATGAGGCATCCCACCACAAGGAATAGGTTCTAAAGAGCCAGCTCACACAGGCACAGGTCCTGGTCCCACTGCCAGTGGCCCCACAAAAGACCAAGCTACACAATGGTCACCCAAATGCAGAGGGCCTAGGTCAGTTCCATGTCAGCTCCCTAGCTATCTGTCCAGAGTCTGTGAGCTTCCCCAAGCTCAGGTCAGCTGTCTCTGTGAGTTTCCCCAACATGATCTTGAAGGCTCTTAGAAAGCAACTTCTTTATACTGAATTACACGTGCATCTTTGACTAACATAGCTCAGAAATAAGAGCATAATGAAACAAGTTGCTGTTGAGACTGAGTCTCTTGGCAGTGGTTTGGGAACACCATCTGAGTTGTGCACAAGAGGTCTAGAATTTGCACCTGCAGGGCACTACCAGCAAGTCTTCAGATGACCTGGTGGGATACTTAGAAGCTAGAGACCATCACTCTCAAGCCTGAAGCTGACACTTGCTAAGTGAAGGCCCTGATGGGAGTGGGAGGAGACACTGTGCTCAAAGCACATGGCTCCTAGGCTACAGCTTGTTTCACCTGGAGCCTTGAGAAGCAGGTACCAGCTTGCAGAAGTGCTTAGCACAGGCTGCTATGGGGCCATCAGCCAAGCATCTGGAGAGTGACTGCTGCCGATTGGCTGGGTTTCAAATTTGAATCACTGCTCTGACTGGCTAGATTTCAGAAACATGTTTAGCGATTAGGCAGTCATTGGCTAATTTGGGACAGGTTCGAAACTCACAAAACTAGCGAAAGTCATCCTTTTCTGTTTTCAAAGAAAAGTTTTTTTTTTTTTTTCTTCATTATGGAAGATAAGAACCTTAAACATTTCCTTACAGCTACATGCAGCAAATTAAAGGTGGGAAAATGGAAAATAATGTACCTGGTGAAAAGACAAGAGTTCTAATTGTCCTTGGGTGTGATTGTTAGAACAGCTTCTGTTCGTTTCTTTGCTTCCCCAGAAAATACTTCATCTGCCGTTCAGTTCAGAATCTAGCTAGCTCGCCGTGCCGTCAGAGAGCAGTGGGGGCTCTCATTTGTCTCTGTTTCAGGATCCACCGACAGCCATTTTTTGGTTAGAATTGCTATCCAGAGTGCTAGACCACCAAGTGGACAATGAAAGGGGCTAGAAGAGCGTGCTTCTGGCCTGCTGTTCCACGACAGACAAAGGCTATCCAGGAAAATTAGTTGGCACCATGTCTGTAACTGAAACATAAAGAAAGCATGTACGGGTACAGCCCAGAGGCAGACTGCTTGCCTAGCACAAGTGGGGCTCTGAGTTTGGTCCCCAGTATTGCGAAATTAAATAACAAACAAACCAACACCCACAATTTTGATCCAGGAGCAGAACAATCCACGAATGACAGCAAGATGTGTTCCTGTGTCCTGTGTTCCCCAGCACGCAAACCAGAAGACCAAGAAGCAAGGATGGGAAACAGCCAAGCAAGTAATTAATAAATAAGGCTGAGCAAGGGTCATGGGTTAGGTTATGGCTCAGGGAATACTACAGCCTCCAGCTTGTGGTCCAGTCCATCCCTAGTTCTTTGCATTTGCCCAATGGGAGCTGGAGAGAAGCAAGAACCCTTTACAGAGCCACGTTTAAGAGGATGGAGTTGGTTGCTTTCATGTGGATGAAGTAGAAGAAATTCACTCTTAAAACTGGTTCCTATCTATGTCTGAGATCCATATATGAGTGAGTACATACTGTGTTTGTCCTTTTGTGACTGGGTTACCTCACTCAGGATGGTTCCTTCTAGTTCCATCCATTTCCCTTCAAATTTCAGGATTCCATTATGTTTTTCCGCTGAGTAGTACTCCATTATGTAAATGTACTATATTTTCTCCATCCATTCTTCATTTGAGGGGCATCTAGGTTGCTTTCTGGTTCTGGCTATTATAAATAATGCTGCTATGAACATAGTTAAACAGATGTCCTTGTTGTATGAATGTGCATCTTTTGGGTATATGTATAAGAGTGGAATTACTGGATCTTGAGGTAGACTAATTCCCATTTTCCTGGGGAATCGCCATACTGAAAAGCTAGGAAACAAGGATGACCCTAAGAGAGACATACATGTTCCCCCGGAGAAGGGAGATATCCAGAGCAAATTGGGAGCATGGAGAGAGGGGAGAGGGAATTAGGAGAAAGAGAAGGGGAGAGGTGGGCATGAGGGAATAGGAAGATTGAGACAGGGAAAGAATAGAGGAGAACAAGAAAAGAGATACCATAATAGAGGGAGTCATAGATTTAAGGAGAAATCTGGCACTAGGGAAATGTCTAGAGATCTACAAGGATGAACCAAACTAACAATCTAAGCAATAGTGGCGAGGCTACCTTGATAATGAGATTGATGACTACCTTATATGTCACCCTAGAGCCTTCATATAGTAGCTGATGGAAGCAGAAGCAGACAACCACAGCTAAGCACTGAGCTGAACTCCTGGAATCCAGTTGCAGAGAGGGAGGAGTGATGAGCAAAGGGGTCAAGATCAGGCTGGAGAAACTCACAGAATCAGCTGACCTGAACAAGCGAGTGCTCATGCACCCTAGTCTGATAGCTGAGAAACCAGCATAGGACCAACCCAGACCTCCAGAATGTGGATGTTACTTAGGAGGACTGGGCAGTCTATGAGGCCTCTAGTAATGGATCAGTATTTATCCTTAGTATACAAATAGACTTCTGGAGCCCATCCCACATAGAGGGATACTTTCTCAGCCTAGACACATGGGGGATTGCCTAGGCCCTGCCCTAAATGATATGACAGACTTTGAAGACTCCCCATGGAAGGCCTCACCCTCCCTGGGAGCAGAAAGGGGATGGATGGGATGGGGCTTAGTGGGGTGGGGCAGAGGAGGATGGAAGGGTGAGGGAACTGTGATTGACATGTAAAATAAGCTTGTTTCAAGTTTAAACAAACAAACAAAAAACAACTGGTACCTATCTTGTTTACTACCTTGATGTACTGAACGGTACCTATTGTTCCCTGCCACCCAAGACAGCAGGTGAATGTCTGCAGCCAGATAATGCAGTTGTTTTGTCGTGGCCTAAGGAAGGAGTGTGAACGTGCTTCTGGTGAGGAGGAAAGAGTTTAGGCAAACTGTTTTCAATCCACTGTGGATTTCAACCAGAGTCCTCCAGAGTGTCACATAATTAATTAGGGCTTGGCCAGAAAATATCCTACAAAATTGTTATTTTATCCATGCAAAAATGAGTTAAGATTTAAAATGTCCCCTGGGGGGGCAAAAATGCCCAGGGCCCTCCCTGGACTCCTAGTTCTCAGTTTGGCAGCCTTAGGTACCTCTACAAGGAGGAAAGGAATAATAGTCCAAACCCCTAGGCAAGCAAGGCCTTTATAGAGTGATTGGTCCTAAGATTGTAACTTGTACTTGTTATTTCTTCCCTCATTGCTATTTATTGTTTTCTAGATACCGTGGAGACTGGGAACAACACTACTGTAGGAAAATCCCAGGGGAAGAGAAGTAAGGAAACGAATGAGAGTTTATATGCTTTCCATGTCACTGATAAGTTATCTACTGCTCGAATTATTATTGTTATTGTGTGTGACAATGGGGTAGACTGTGGTGACCTCCCCTGAGTTCCTCCTTGCCCTTGGAACCTGTTATATTAATGACAAAGACATGCCACACATATGGTTAAGGTAGGACCTTGATGGGGAGCATTGTCTTTGACTGTTGGTGTAGGGGTGGCCACTCTGATTTTATGGGTCTGAAGAAAAGTGGAACCTTTCTTAGATGCAGAGAGAGGAAGTGGAGAGCTCTCTGGAGAAAAACATACACTCATTCAGCTTATACTGGCTTGAGTATTTGAATATATGGCCATTAACTAGGGTTTAATGTCTTTTGCAGTTCTTATTTAAGATAAAATGTAAAGTGGAAGACAAATCCTAAGCACACCCTTTGGTGAACCCTGCTAATTGCATTATTTTTACAATAAAAACCTTATGGGGACACGGAACATGAGCATACGCCTGTGAAGGGTCTCTATGCCTTTTCTGCTCCTTACCCATCAAGGCAGCCACTTATTGTTCAAGGATGACTTAATTTAGGTTGATTTTTAAGTGCTTTGTAGACAAGATTTCCTAGCATGTTCTTTACTGTGAGGTTTCTCTCCCTTCACAGAGTGACTCTGCAATTTACTCACTGTGAGGGACACAGTGCCAGTTGGCATCTTCTTATTGCTAAGGAGTAAATACGTTGTCTGAATAGCCCAGATTCATTTGCATGTTCTCCAAATGCTGGGTTCTTCAACGTTTCCAGCTTGAGATGCTATGAAGATGCTCTTAGGAGCATCCTTGTAGGAGTCTTCTTGAGGCCCTGTGCTTTCATATTCTTAAAGACGCTTCTAGGGGTGACATTTGGTACATAGGGTAGGTGTCTTCTTTTCATCTGCCAAAATCTACAAGGACTGTGATTTGCAGAGGCCTGGTGTATGGTGCACACACTGGTCCTGGTGGCAAATATGACCTTTTTCCTGTGGCATTTGACAAAGTTTATAAAATATAATTCCTGATTATTGCTAACAGCTCACTAAAATGTAGCTCTGTGTGTTTCCAGAAGGGAGGTATGAGAATGCCTCACTTTCCCCACAGGCCCTAAGAAAACATGTCCCTAGAAAAGAAGTGTTTATAATAGTTGGACACCTGAACAGAACATCCTATTTTTAAAGATTTATTTATTTGTTTATTATGTATAGTATTCTGTCTGCATAAATCCCTGCAGGCCAGAAGAGGGCACCAGATCTCACTACAGATGGTTGTGAGCCACCATGTGGTTGCTGGGAATTTGACTCAGGACCTCTGGAAGACCAGCCAGTGCTCTTAACCCCTGAGCAATCTATCTCTCCAGCCCTGAACAGCACAGTCTTTAGTCACCATGGAGGTAGGCAGTGCCTCCAGCATGGCCTGGGAATATCCAGCTCCTTGCTTCATGTTTAGTCCTTGATTGAGGAAGGGTTACAGACTGTGGGGTGACCATCCTATCCACTCTCTGCCTATTACCTTGACTGAGTGATGTCAACTCAGGATTCTCAGTTGGGGATAGTACACCAAAGTGAGGGTCTGGCAATTCTGAAAGAATGTCATGCATGCACAGGCACGTGCATGGCTGCACTCACACATACACACACACACACACACACACACACACACACACACACTCACACACACACACACACACATACACACACACGAACATGCATATACACACATCCTATATACCAACACACCCATGGGTTAATAAATAATAATAACAATCCATCACTGTCATCCTTAGACCAACTTTCCATTCCCCCAGAGCTATGGTCACGTGAATTTGGATAATTCAAGAGAAAGCAAAATTATAACGCAGAGATCCTACTGGGCTTCCTTAAAGTTCCCAGGCCCCATCCCAGCTAGTCCTGTACTAGATTAAACATGTGAGAAGTTTCATGCTACACTTTAAGAGAACAGGGATTTTAAAAAAATTATATATATATTTTTTTCTTTTTTTTTAAATTTTCATATAGATCCCAGTTCCCTCTCTCTCCCTTCCTCCCATACCCACCCCAAACCCCCTCCCCACTCCTCAGGCAGGGTGATGCCTTCCAGTAGAGATTATCAAAATCTGTTAAGTCATTTGGAGCAGGGTCTAGGCCTTCCCTCCTGCCTCTAGGCTAAGGTGCTCCCAAAATCCTTTTGTGCACTAGGGATATATCCTGGTTCCACTGTCAGAGGTCCCTTAGACTGCTCAGGCCTTCTAACTGAGACCCATGTTCAGGAAGGTCTGAGTCAGTCCCATGCTGGATTCCCAGCTATCAGTCTGGGGGGGGGGTATGAGCTCCCCTTTGTTCAGGTTAGCTGTTTCTGTGGGTTTCTGTACCCTGGTCTCGCCCCCATTTTCTTATCATTCCTCTCTCTCTGCAACTGGATTCCAGGAGTTCAGCTCTGTGTTCAGCTGTGGGTGTCTGCCCAAACAGGGATTTTTTTGAAATAATGTATTTTTATTTTATGTGCATTGATTGGTGTTTTGCCTTTTTTAAATGTTCATGTGAAGGTTTCAGATCTTGGAGTTACAGGAAGTTGTTAGCTGCTACATGGGTGCGGGAGATGGAACCAGGGTCCTCTGGAAGACCGGTCAGTGCTCTTAGCCACTGAGCAGTCTCCCCAGCCCCAAGAACAGAGATTTTGTTTTTAAAGAAAAAGTCTTCACGTGGAAGTTGAGAGCGTTCTTCAACTTCCAGTGTAGCATGGTCTCTGAATTTTACGGTAGATACATGCCCTAACACTTATCCTTCAATCAATTTAAGCCATGAGCAGGGGTCAACTTTCCATTATTCAAAGGTGTTCAAAGAAGGCACTTTCCTCTAGCCTCCAAGGTCATAGCCCAAGACACCGGAATAACTGAAATTTAACTCTGCCATCAACTTTCACAGGACTAAACTGGTTGTTAAGAATTTTGCCTCATTTCTAGGATCTGAAGTTTGAAAACAGTATCTGAATACGGCTGCCATATAAGGCTTCTTATGTTACATTCATATCTCTGAACGATTAATTTTATTTTTCTTGTTTTGAAGGAAAAGAGAAAGGCCTCACCTGGTCTAAAGCAAAACAGAGAAAAGCACAAACTGCACAGGCAAAAAGTAAGCAAACAGAGGGACAGAGTTATAACTGTTGAATTTACGAAGGGGTTGCCCATTGCACACTTGTAGGCCTGTGAGTGTCTGAGCCATGATAGTGTGTGTGTTGTGTTCACACTTGTGCGTATGGCTTCACATACTACACCCACATGTATAGAACTGGGGAGGGTGTTGAATGTCCTGCTTTTCTCATTCTTTACTTTATTCCTTTGGTAATTGTCTGCAAACACCAGAGAGCTTCTTGTCGCCAGTCCCTTAACACTGGCATTACAGGTGCTCACATATGTATTCTTTACATGGATGCTAGTACCTGAACTCAGGTCCCCATGCTTGCACATTAGTTGCTCTTAACCACTGAGAAACCTCCCACTCCCATAAGAGTTTTATAGCTGCTGTAAGACATGGGTTAAGAGGCTGTAACAAAGGGCCCCGATACTACAATGTCTTTCACAAATCGTTTGTTTCTGGTGCATGTGGTCATCCAGAGGTAAGTGGTCCAGTGTAACAAGTACAGCTTTTCTGCCCGCCGCCTGGTCTTGTCCTGCCGCTGCACCAGCCCCAATTAACACACAGAGACTCTGTATTTGATATTATGCTGTTGGCCAGGTGCTAGTTTCTTATCGGCTAGCTCTGTCTTAATTATTAACCCATTTCTATGTATTTCCACGTGGTCTTACGGAGAGCGGAGGAATGGCGGTTCTGTTCTTTCCAGGCTCTCCATCCTGACCCTCCTTCCTACTTCCTATTTCCTCCTTGTCTCCTAGTCCCGCCTATCTTGCTTTCCTATTGGCCAACAGTGCTTTATTCATTAACCAGTATGAGAAACATATACAGAATAACATCTCCCATCAGTCCAGAGTTGAAAGGGAGGTGCTGTCATCCTTAATATGAAATTTTTATTGGTTTGGAAAATGTTGCAAGGAAGGATGAATGAAGCAAACAGGGTGCACGTGCATGTGTATGTAGAAATGTGTTTATGTGTGTGTGATAAGAAAGTGTATGTTCACATGTACCTATGAAACTGTAGTTTTTTGTTTTTATTCTTTTGGCTCTTTCTCTTTGGGGGGGGGGCCCACCACTCAGCTCCCAAATAATCACACAGAATCTTTTTATTACTTATAAGTGCCCAGCCTTAGCTTGACTTGTTTCTTGCCAGCTTTTCTTAACTAATTGTCCATCTACTTTTTGCCTCTGGGCTTTTACCTTTCTCTGTTTCTGTACATCTTTTCTTTCCTTCTTATTCCATGTCTGGCTGTGTGGCTGGGTGGCTGTGTGGCTGGGTGGCTGGACCCTTCTTTCCTTGCTGCTCAATCTCCCTTCTCTCTGTTTCTCCTTTTATTGATTCTCTCTGCCAGCCAGCCTCACCTAGCCTTTCTCCTGCCTTGCTACTGGCTATCCAGCTCTTTATTAGACCAATCAGATGTTTTAGACAGGCTAAGCAACACACCTTCACAGAGTTAAACAAACACAGCATAAAAGAATACAATACATCTTTGCATCGTTAAACATTCCGCAGCATAAACAAATGTAACACCTCTTAAAAATAATATTCCACAATGTAAAACCATTCATTTTTGTTTATAACTATACATCTGTCTAGAGAGGGAGATGTCCTTAGATATAGAAAAATGATTGACAGCCCATTTGCACAAATGTTCATTGAAGGTCTGGTGAGATGGCTCATTGGTAAAGTGCTTGCCCAAGGACCTGAGTTTGGATCCTTAGCACCCACATAACAAGTTGGACCTGATGTACACATCTGTAATTCCTCACTGGTTAATCCCTTGGATTTGTTGACCAGCAAACCTAGCCACCCAAATCGTGAGGTCTAGTTTTAGTGTCAGAGGTGGAGAGCTACTGGGGATCTCTGGCCTCTGCACACATTCAGGCACACCCACACACGTACATACAAAGAAACACAACAAAATGCAGTATGTGTGCATTAATTACATTTGGCGATTGGAGTAGAAGTGATGTCCACATTTTTATTTGTGTTTTTAAAATATTGAGCATGCTCAGCCTTTGTCATTAGAGCGGTGAGGGAGGGATCAATCTTAGAACATTTTTGAGCAAGTTAGTCACACACATATCTACATGGTAACATTTCATATAATCTTATTCCTGTAAATTGTGTATATTTACAAACAGCACCCTGACATCTTATTTTAGTAATGGTTTAAGGGATTCCTTCTTCCTGGACAAAAGCTAAATGTCTTTTTTTCTAAATGATTATCACTTTCGCATCAGATCTGTGGAGTAGTCTTTGAAATCCCACTCAATATTGATTTCACAAACTAAGAATCTTACATTATTGACAATGACCCAGCTGTGCTGTTGACTGATGTGTACATTTTTGTTTTGAAAGGAGAAAAAGGTAAAAGGTAGTTGTGTCCATTTTTAATGTATATTTTGAAAACCACATTACTCAGGCTGAGCATTTGAAAACATTTTCATTCAAGTCTCTGTGTGTAGACAGGTTTCTTTCTAAAGTGTCAACACAACAGACTCCTGCACAGGCTTTAACTCTGCCTCCTGACTGGTCGGTTGGACACGGCTCCTTGTCCACGAGCTCTCACCACCGTGTATGGAGAAAGTACCCTGATGTAACCAGGGTGCCTCCCTTGCTCCTACCCATTCTCAGCTGTAGTTTGCCTCAACTCTGTATTTGCCTGTGCCTCTCCTAGATAACAGCAGAGCTCGTGGCCAGGCAGCTGTCAAAAGAAGGAAAACAAAAAAGAAACCAGAAGGCTCTGCCAAGACTGTCAAGCGCAGGGGTAAGTAAGATGGCTTCCATAGATCTTTCCCTTTGCCCCCTGGGTTCTCACAGAGTTTTGCTAATGTTTGGGGGAATCTAAAACCTTAAAAAAAACTACTCAAGCTTACTTGTCAATTTGAGAGCAGCAAAATCTAAAAACAAAACTTGCAGCAGTTGTGAACTGTATTTATATCATCAATCTTATCTGTCCTAATTTCTTCCTTCCCTTTGAGTTGAACCTGGTTTTTATGGAAATGCTTTTCTCTTACACATTGTTTGTTAAATGTCTATATAGAGTGAATTGTAAACAGAAAGCAAATCTACTCTCTCATAGTCCTTTCCCTCCTCCCTTCCAGTGAGCTCTTTCTTGTCTTGAGTAGGCCTGTAGCTTTCCAGTTCCATTTTAGCAGCAACAGCATTCCACACCAGAAGCTGAGTGCCATTTCTGACCTGATGTTCAGTATTTGAGACATCAAGACCCTGTCTCCAATCTAAAGCACCTCCTCTCCTTCAGCCTGGGCAAGTCCTAGACTAGGACATGAAAAAGCAGGCCTGTAGCCACCTAGTCTTCAGTGTTCTCCTGCAGCTCTGCCTCTATTCAACAGCAGCTGGTATGGGCCCATCCAGGTAGGGGAGGTTGAGGAGAATCGCTATGACTGGGTGCTTGTGTAGTGTCTTGTTTGATGGGCCTAGCTGTGGAATGATGCTCGAAGTAGAGGATGCACTCTCTCCCATGGGATGCTTCCATCACATCCAAAGTAGGGAAGAGGAGGGCCAGATACCAGGTTGGCCTCATTAAAATAAATGCAACTTTTCTTTTGGGGCCTGGTGTAAGGGTCCTGTGCTGTCCTGATCCAATCCCACTAATGTGTTCTGTGGTCACAAGGATGGTTTGGCACTTTGCCTTAGGATGTGTATCTTTGGTCCTCAAGGCACCAAGTCAATATGGTTGTCTGAGCCTTTCCAATCTTTACCACCATAAGAACTATGTCCTTTGTTCTGAGGAAACTGACCTTATTTGGCATTTACTAAATGGATCCCAGTGATTGGACCTTCTATTATAATGCTGAAAAAACAACAGGGCATCAGTCATAGTTCTAAAGTTTAAGACTGACCAAAACAATTATTTTAAACTAACTTTAAATTGGGTTTTTGTAATGGATTTCATGGTATTACACGGGCAAAATAGCCTTTGGATGCAGCAAGAACAGAATTTTGCCTTGCTCAGCTATTCTGCTTGGAAGTAAAATGTAGTAGGAAATAAAATGTATCCATATCTAAACTCCAAATCTCCCTATACTAACTTACTATACTAACTATTCTAGTTACTATACTAATTAGAATAGATAACAGTGTGTTCCCTTTTTCTTCCCATAATGCAAGGCCTAAACATATTTGATGAAAGGTAATCCAACAGATCCTACAGTCCCAAAAAGAATATACACACAGAGTTAGGGAGAAAAGAATTCTGTATTTGCTGGACTGGCTGAGCCTGTCACCAGAGCTGGAACGGAGGAGGGGCAGATGCAGAAATAAGTCACATGAAATCTTCCCAGTGGGCTATCAGTGTGGACCGTCAGAAGAACAGGGAGGAAAGAGGTATTCTCAGGCATGCTTTACCCTTTCAGAGTTCTGGGAGCAGCTTGGGTGAGAGGGAAGTGGAGAGTCCCTTGGACAGTCATTTGTGAGTGGAAGACCTGCTTCTGGTGGTCTCACCATCCACAGGGAGGAAGCAAGAGTGTTAGCTTCCACAACAGCTTTATATAGCTGAATTAACAGCCAAGACACTTCCTGTTTACTCACTGTGTTTGAGAAACAAGAATCTCAGCGGTGCAGCTGAAATAAGATCCAGAGTCCTGGACCACTGCAGTGATGCCTCCATTGACCTGGAAGAGTGGAGACAACCCCTTCCATGCACAGTATCACCCACCAGTGATTGTGCATCAAGGTGACCCAGACAAGTGGGTTCAAGCCTTCTCTTCTATGACTACACAGACTTGGGCCCATCTCTTGGCTCTTACTTCAGTTTCTTTGTTTCTAAAGAGTAGGATTTATGTCAACCATCCTCAGCACAATGGACAGCCCTGCTCCTCCCCCACCCCCAACCCCAGGTCTCTGCACCGATAACAAGCAGGGGAAGCTTAGCTTCTCATCTCCCAGATACTTGGTTGGGAAATTTTCATCTCTACTTCCATAGAGTTGCAGCTCTACTCTACATAAGAGTTTTCAGATTATTCTAGAACTTTCTGGGATTCTCTGTTACAGGCAGAAAATGCTGTTGTGAGAGATGGAGCAGAGCAGATAAACAGAACGATGCCCACCCAACTCTGTTACTTTGCCCCTCACCTCTCCTTGCTTATCTAGTCAGTGCTCAAATGGGGAGACAAGAGGACTGTCTCTGGCTGCCATCTTTAGTAACATAGAGTTGCTAGTAACATAGAACAGGTCCTGTTCCGTGGTCATGTAGCAAACTGTGGTGGTCACTAGAGTGAGAATCAGCACAGTTTTACCAAGGTCAAAATTCTCTTCCAAAGTTTACTGTTAGTTCTTTATAAATTTAGAGGTAAATATTTGTCATTATGTATCCAACATGCCACTTTGAAGAAAGACTTAGAAGCAATAGATCTGAGCATCAAAATGTCGATAGTGTTAAAGGGATGACCCCAAAAGAGAGGAGAGGGCACGCCCACCTGCAGATGAGACAGAAGAAATCTTCTTTTTCAGTTCCGAGAAAGCAAGAACAAAATGAAGATTTCAGCGCTGCCTTGCTTCCTGTGACTTGTGGTGATGCGAAAGGGGTGTTATACAAGGACAAATTCAAGCAAGGTGGGTTTTATGGCTTTTAGTTTGCAAGTTCTATATTTAAAAAAAAACACAAGCAATAATGGAATTACTTAAGGAATTGGGGTGTGTGAATTGAAGACAGGAAGGGATCCTAACATGCTATTTTCACCCCTGAACAAACTATACTGTAGCAATAGGCAAGCTTCTGTTCAACAGTCTCATTCACTTGGGTAGACAATGAAGTCACAGAACTCCAGAGCTGCAGAAGCCAGCTGCAGGCTCAGCTGTGCGCTCAGGACCCCACCTCCACCTTGCCTGGGGTCTCCTGAGGTTGTTCTCCAGCCTGAGAGTCAACATCAGGTTGAAATCCACTCACCCTGTGCCCTGAGTCACGACCTTGTCCTATTCTAGGTGACCTTGAAGTAGTTTTAAAAGGCGTCTGTTGGTGCGGACTGCCATTTTCTTCATGTATAAAAATCAAATAAACATGCCTGGCTTCAGCAAAGCACTTTAGGGAACTCCAGGGCTGAGCTGGGACTCCTGAAGGCAGAGAGGAGACCCTACTCTTCCACTATGGACTCTGAGCACAGCTTGGGTGGCTCCAGCTCCAGTGTGGTGGGAAGACACAAATCTGAGCTCTAGGGACAAAGCAGACTCACAATCAGCCTACTGTGTTCTTACAGGGATCTCCATGAAGTCCATACAGAGTGAGGATGGGGACTGGCACACACCCCCAGAATTTGAAGTCTTGGGAGGCCATGGAGGATGGAAGAACTGGAAATTGAGTCTGCGCTGCTACAATAGACCCCTGAAATTGCTGATCCAGGTATTGCCGTGGAGGGGAGCGGGGTGCTGGTGCTTCTTGCACTCTTTACATATCAAATAGATATGAGATGTGTGAAAGCCCTGATGCTAAAGATGTTTTCCTGTCACTTAGGAGAGAAGCAGCCCACATCCATAGCCTCATTGCCATTTTTACTAAGTTTATCCTACCTATCCAAGGTACCATTCATCTGGTATTTAATTTCTTTTTTTAAAGACACACTGTTCTTGGTATATAAGTCTTTCACTTGTTTGGTAAGTGTTATGCCAAGATACTTTATGTTGTTTGTGGCTATTGTAAAGGGTGATGTTTCTCTGATTTCTTTCTCAGCCCCTTTATCGTCTGTATATAGTAGGGCTACTGATTATTTATTTATTTATTTATTTATTTATTTATTTTATTTGGGTTTATCTTGTATCCTGCTAATTTGCTGAAGGTGATTATCAGCTGTAGAGTTTTTCAGGACAGTTATATAAACTATAATGTCATCTGCAAATAGTGACAGTTTGACTTTGTCCTTCCCAATTTGTATCCCCTTAATATACTTTTGTTGTCTTATTGCTTTAGCTAGAACTTTAAGTACAATATTGAAGAGATATGGAGAGAGTGGGCAGCCTTGTCTTGTTCCTGATTTTAGAGGAATCGCCTTAAGCTTCTCTCCATTCAGTTTGATGTTGGCAGTTGGTTTGCTGTATATTGCTCTTATTATGTTTAGGTATGTTCCTGTTATCCCTGATCTCTCTAAGACCTTTATCATGAAAGGGTGTTGAATTTTGTTAAAGGCTTTTTCAGCATCTAGTGAGATGATCATGTGGTTTTTCTCTTTCATTTTGTTTATATGGTGGATCACATTGATAGATTTTCATCCCTGTATCCCTAGGATGAAGCTTACTTAGTTATGATAGATGATTTCTCTGATGTGTTTTGTATCCAATTTTCCAGTATTTTATTGAGTATTTTTCCATCAATGTTCATGAAGGATATTGGTTTGTAGTTCTCTTTCTTAGTTGTGTCTTTGTGTGTTGAAGTCTCCCACTATGAGTGTGTGAGGTTTTATGTAAGCTTTGAGTTTTAGTTTACTAATGTGGGTGCCTTTTTATTTGGAGCATAGATGTTCAGAATTGAGACTTTGTACTGAAGGATTTCTCCTATGATGAATGTGAAATGACCTTTTTCATCTCTTTTGATTGATTTTGGTTTGAAGTCTAACTTGCTAGGTATTAGGTTACCTACACCTGCCTGCTTCTTGGGTCCATTTGATTGGAAGATCTTTTCCCAACCCTTTCTCCTGAGGTAATGCCTGTCTTTGAAGCTTAGATGTGTTTTTTTGTATGCAGCAGAAGGATGGATTCTGTCTTCGTATCCATTCTGTTAGCCTGTGTCTTTTTATAGGCGAGTTAAGACCATTAATGTTGAGGGAAAGTAAGGACCATTAATTGTTGATTCTTGTTTGTTTTAGATTTGTTGTTGGCAGTAGTATTGTGAATATAGTTGCTCTGCTTTATCCTTTGGATTCTGGTGAAGTGGGACTATCTATTGCCTATGTCTTTGTGAGTGTAGATAACTTCCTTGGGTTGGATTTTTCCTTCCAGAACTTTCTGTAGGGCTGAATTTGTAGATACAGATTGTGAAACTCTGGCTTTGTCATTCAATACCTTGTTTTCTCTGTCTATAGTGATTGAGACTTTTGCTGGGTATAGTAGCCTGGGCTGGCATCCGTGGACTCTTAGTACTTGTAGAACATCTATCCAGGACCTTCTGGCCTTGAGAGTTTCCATGGAGAAGTCAGGTGTAATTTTGATAAGTCTGCCTTTATATGTTACCTCTCCTTTTTCTTTCGCTGCTCTTAATAGTCTTTCTTTATTCTGTATGTTAGGTGTTTTGATAATTATGTGTCAAGGGGTCTTTTTCCTTTAGTCCAGTCTGTTTGGTGTTTGGTATGCTTCTTGTACTTTCATGGGCATGTCCTTCTTCAGATTGGGAAAGTTTTGTTCAATGATTTTGTTGAATATGGTTTCTGCACCTTTGAGCTGAGCTTCTTCGCCTTCTTCTATGTCTGTTATTCTTAGGTTTGGCCTTTTCACGATGTTCCACATTTCCTGGATGTTTTGTGTTAATGATTTGTTGGATTTAAGATTTTTTCTGGTCGATGAATCTATTTCCTCTAGTTTATCTTCAGCACCTGAGATTCTCTCTTCCATCTCTTGTATTCTGTTGGTTATGTTTGCATCTGTAGTTCCTGATCGTTTGCCCAGTTTTCCTATTTCCAGCATTCCCTCAGTTTGTGTTTTCTTTACTGTCTCTATTTCAGTTTTCAAGCCTTGAACTGTTTGAGTTGTTTCCTTCATCTGTTTGATTGTTTTTTCTTGGCTTTCCTTACTTTCTTTAAGAGATTTGTTCATTTCTTGCCTTTTTTGCTTGGTCTTTTCCTCTATTTCTTTCAATTTTTTTTTTGTTTTTTCTTCCATTTCTTTAAGAGATTTCTCATATTTTCTTTGAGGGCCTCTATCATTTTTATGAAGTTACTTTTTAAGTCGTTCTCTTCTGCTTCATCTGCTTTGGTGTGTTCAGGTCTAGTTGGTGTAGAGTCCTGGATTCTGGTGGTGTCATACTGGTCTTTCTATTGTTGGGTGATTTCTTATATTGCCATCTTCCCATCACTTCTTCCAGTGGGTGCAGGTGGAGTCTTTCTCTCTCTACCCTACTTTCCTGGTGGGCATAGGTGGGCCAGGAGTTCCATGTCTGTATCCCTGGATGGTCCAAGCTCTCTAGGAAGTCTCTCCTCTGGTAGAGGACCAGTGATTGGGTCCAAAGATCAGGCAGGTGGGACTTCAGGGTAGTCCCACGTTCATAGGCAGGTCCAGTGTGCTCAGAGCAGACACAGGAAGTTCCACAGAGGTGGAGGGCTTGTTGGACCCACACTCTGGACCAATGCTTAACCAGAGCAGTGAAGCATGGGGCCCAATAGGACACAGGGTGGGGGGAGCAGGCTCTGGGTGGTATATGGAGCAGAGTACCAGGATTGTACTATCCAGGGCCAGGATATAGGGGAGAGTGAGATTCATGGCTAACCCAGGGAGTTCCCAGGGAAGAGTGTGGGGGAGATTTGGCCTGAACTGGTCCCAGACTCACCTCTGGCAGAGGCCTGGCGATGGGGTTCAAAGATCAGGCAGGTCGTTCTCTGTGTTTTTGGATGTGCTGTATGCCTTTAATCTAAGTACTGCTGACACAGAGGTGGGTAGATCCCTGAGTTCAAGAATAGCCTGGTCTACCATGCAAGTAGGATAGCCAGGGGTACACATAGAAACCCTGTCTCTAAAAGGAGAGAAAGACAGAGACAAAGAAAAAGACAAAGACAGAGAGGCAGAGTCTTTCTTCCATGAGCTTTCTCATCTACTCCACCACTTCCAGGTTTGTGTGCTCCAAATTCATCAGAGTATGTGACACCCTATATGCATGCAACAAGTCCTGGTATGGAAAGTCAAACTGAAGGGTATCAGGTGGCAACAGAGACATGTAATGGTTGAGTCAGTGATAGGGAGGGAAAATTTCAGTACTTCAGGAAGAGGGATGTAAGGAGGTCTTTCTGGCTTCCACAAGCCAGAAAGTCTGTAAGTTGTAGGTGATGAGAGGGAATTGGAGTCAGTCAGACAACGTGGATCTGAATAAGCCATAGACGATCCAGGCAGAACTTCTGGGAGGAGGTTGGCAATGCCAGACTCACACCATTGAAAATCAAATCAGATAATTACACACTTGGGTCCTTCTATCTTGCAGAGAAAAATTTTACCCTATCCTCCAAGAACAAATGGCAAGAGGAAAAAGGTGAGTTCTCAACTTAAACTTCTTATTTCATGGTGTCTCAGTTGGGTTGTCATACTTCAAATCACCTCTCATTCCTTTCTCCACGTTTTCCTTTTCTTGTTTCAGTCTGTGTTCCCACTCATGCTACTACTGCACTGTGTGCAAGGCTAGGTCTTCCTTCAGTGTTGGCTCCTTTGAGTTGGAGATGATAGAGAGCCACGAACACAGACTTCCTAGACTTCAAGATATCACTCCTAACTGGGCTTCATGGCTCACTGAGAATTTGGACTTTGGGCTTGTGTATTTATTACTTGTCATTTGCATACTTGTCTGGCTGGTTTGAACTCTAAACCTCAGTTTCCTAGAAGGAAACTACCACACAACCTGGTCAGTGAATACTGTCAAGCCCATTGTCTCTACCTTCCCCCAAATGCTAAGAGTATCTTGTACTGGATCACTCACATGAGGTAGATATGTCCAACCCACACAACCATCCTTATTCCTGGGTGCAGTGCTTCATAGTACAAGGCCCTCTTGCCTCTTATTTTGAGTCTCTGTTTCTAAGAACAGAATTCCCAGAGAAACAGAAGCCAAGGTCCATTTCCACTTTCATGAGTCTCTCAGGGCCTTTTCATCTGCTCAGAGCTATGGATTCTGGGAATTTCCATGTCACTGTCAGCATCCCATGACAACTTCCCAGCTCATGCAGGACCATTGAAGCTTCCTGGTGATGTCTGATGTGTGTCAGACCATCTGGTATGGTCACCAGAAGCATCATTCCTGTTTGCTGACACCTGGATTGAGACACCTGGATTCTCTTTCCAAGCAAAATATATTTACTCATCTGTGTAATACACAACCACCAAGTATACACAGAGCATCCAAGGATTCTAGAGAAGCTAGACATCAAGGGACATCAAGGACTGTGTCCAAGTCACTGTCTCCATATCAGAATAACCAACAGTGTGAAGTGGGAGATTCTAGAACAGTGGACAGTGACAGCACCCTTTCTCAGATTATTGTACTCCAGGTCATACTTGCCCTGGTCATCCGTGGCCCTGGACTGGAGTTAAGAGCTGAGACTGCATGGGCCAATGAAGGGAAGGGTGACTAGGTCATTCTGACGGACATGCAAAAGCAATGTGAAGTCCATCATTGCTTCTAAATGTGCAGCCAGCCTTGAATTGTGAGTAGAGTGGCAGAAGGCCATTAAAATGATGAGCTGCTGTAATGGGTGCCTTGAGGTCATTTAATTTTCAGGGCTATGGCTCCCAGAGAGCTTCAGAAGGTGATAGACTTCCTCTAGGTCACCGGTCTCTACACCTCTTTGTGCCCTATGTGTTCTGGGATATGATTGGCATGCCAGAGCTTCATTCTCACGGCAGTTACTCTGGGGTGCAGTGCTGGTGGTCATGGCTGATACACCCTGGGTTGCCAATTTGAAGGAGAATGGCTGAGGTCCATTAATGTTTGAGGACAGATAGAATTGTTCAAACCAGCCTGTAGAAACCAGACCCTGCTTATTTGTATGAGTCAACCAAGGCTTCCTGAGGACTGAGAGCCAGAAAGTAGAACTTGCTTTGGGTCCAACAGTTGTCTGATGACATCTCTCTGTAGGGATGCATAGGTCCATAAAAATATATATGGAAAAAAGTAGCTATGTTAAGAGAAGTCAAGAGTAAGTGCCTGTCAAGTGGGGTTCCTGGGGAACCTCTACAGGTGCATGAGGCTTCCAAAGGCTGAGGTAAAAATGAGGTTGAGAAACACATTTGAGTGGTCATGATGGAAAGCCCTTGTGTGAGAGAGATTAGGTGGTAGCTTTATGTGGCTGAAATAACCCCTTTGTTTTTGCTGCTGGCATTAGGCTTTAATTTGATAGATGGGAACTTGAAGCATGTGTGCTGTTCCTACCCAGTAGACTCTCAGTAATAATACTAATTTTAGCTAGGGATGATGGCACATGCTTGGAATCCCAGTCAGTACTCCATGCTCCATACAGAGAAACACAGGGTTCTCTAGAGTCACAGATCTTATAAGAAGGAATATCCCTCCTCCCTCTCTCCATATATATGTGAATAAATTTCATATATGTTTAATAAAATATATACGAATAGGTTTCAAATATATGAAATTTATTGCAATGACTTATGGACTGCAATCCAACTAACCCAACCAAGACTTGCCGTGAATGGAAAATCCAAGAATCTAGCAGTTGCTCAGTCCCATGAGGCTGGGTGTCTCAGCTGGTCTTTTCTATATGCTGGAATCTTTAAAAGAAGGGCTCCATTGCCAGTGCAGGAATGGATATGCTGGCAAGGCAAGGGCAAGCAGACAAAGAACAAAGCCTTCCTTGCTTCTTCCATTGTCCTTATATAGGCTCCAGCCGAAGGTGTGGCCCAGGTTAAGGGTGTGTCTTCTCACCTCAAGATCTGGGCCAAAGGCATGTTGTCTTGTTTCAAGATCTGGACCACAGGTGTGCCCTCCATTTCTGGATTGTAGTTCATCCCAGATATAGTCAAGTTGACAACCAAGAATAACCATCACAATCCATTCCTTGTCAACTGGACACACAATTATATCTCTTTATGTCATAATTAATTTCCAAATAAAAACATCAACCAGGTCATGATAGTGCCCAAAACACAATATAACTATGCCACATACAACTGTAAGCACAGTATATATTTATCTAGGTCATAATTACACATAACATGGTAAAACTATCTCCCATAAACCACAAATGAATAAGTGTCCCTTGAGGGATATCTTATTAGCATTCTCTTAATTGTTGTTTTAACACATGATGAGGAAATTGAGAGAAAACATGAGTATCTGTACAAACACATTTTTTTTTTTTTTTTTTGTTTTTGTTTTTTGTTTTTTCAAGAGAGGGTTTCTCTGTGGCTTTGGAGGCTGTCCTGGAACTAGCTCTTGTAGACCAGGTTGGTCTTGAACTCACAGAGATCCACCTTCCTCTGCCTCCCGAGTGCTGGAATTTTTTTTTTAAACAAACACATTCTTAACAAATATAGCAGAAGCACTCATGTCTGTTATAATGCTCATTTCTGCAACTGGTCCCGTGGCCTTAGATGGTCTTTAGAACTACCTGGCTCTACTGCCCATTCTCTATTTCCTCCACCCTAGGCAAGCACCCCAACATATCTTAGCTCTTGTCCAAGAGAAGCAACCCATACCTTCATTCCTGATGGACCTGTGCCCTTTGTCATCCTGTGTGGATTCAGCAGCTGTAGTTTCCCATTAATCACAGGCACAGTAGCACCAAGAGGCACCCTAAAGGCTCTCCTGCATTCCAGACATAATCTTCCTTACCTCCATTGTGGAGAGGCAATCCAATTTTCCCTTGGTAATCTGGATCAATTACCCCTCCTAACACTGTTAGTCCTTTCTTAGCCTATTGCTTTAAGGGCATTTGTAGCCCAAAGCAGCCAGGGAGAGTCTGAGTCTTCAGTTCAAAGGAATGTTTGTTATGGCTCCTGGCAGGGCACTCCCCACCCCTGGAACCAAAATGTCTAGACCAGCAGAACTTAGGGTTGTGGGTTACTAGCGGTGATAGTGAGTGGAACTATTCCATTTTCCATCCCTTGATACCTGGACTTGTGTATCCTGGCTATGGGAGAAACAGCACCATATATTGGGTGCTGATTCAGAGCATAATACTGCCTTCTAGAGACCCTGCCACAGCCCTTCATTCTTCTGCCAGCTAATTGGCACTGTGACTGTGTCTTTGAAAGGCCAATCCATCTTTCTATCAGATCAGGATGGTGGGAAAGATGGTAAGACCAGTGGATTTCACAATCATGGACCCACTGTCACATCTCTGGCTGTGAAGTGAGTTCCCTGGTCAGAAGCAATACTGTGTGGAATACCATGCTAGTGGATTGGGCATGTCAGCATGGATGGTGGTTTTGACAGAAGCATTAACAAGAATAAGTATCTACTCCATTAAGGACAAAGCATTGTCCCCTCTATGAAAGAAGTGATTCAATGTAGTCAACATGCCTCCAAGTTGCTGGTTGGTCACCCCAGGGAATGGTACCATATCTGGTGCTCAGTCCTGGTCTCTGCTGTTGGTAGATCTGGCACTCAGCAGCAGCTATAGCAAGGCCAGCTCTGGCAAGTGGAAGCCCATGTTGTTGAGTCCATGCATAACTCCCATCACAGCCACCATGGCCACTTTGTTCATGTTCCCATTGGGCAATGACAGTGATGGCAAGAGACTGACTGTCCATAGAAAGAAGAACTGGAGAAAGGTTAACTGGAGAAAGGTTAGGTATTTTATCATGATCCTTCCTCAAGGGAACCTGGCTATCCTTTCATTCAAGGGGTTCTGGGTCTGCAAACTAGCTCATCTGAAAACTGATTCACTAGCCAAGATTACCTTTTGCCATGATCCAATGGTGGCCTCTCTTTTATTTGTTTGAGAATCTTTCCGCTTATACAGGCCAAACAGAAAAGTAGGTTTCTTATCTATTTCACAACTGGAAACACCATGATTGATTAGCCAGGACCCAAAGTTCTATATCAATCATGTCACTATAAAATTCACCTTGTCTGACTGACCATTACAGGTTAGGCCATTATGAACATTGTTGGGTCTACAGTGCCCATTATGATAGCCACAGTCACCTGGGGATAGTCTCTGTTGATTCAATGCTGCGAACTGGCCCAATTAAACCCATTGCATTTAATTCATCCAATTAAGCACCAGCATCTCCAACCCATCTGGCACAAGGAAAAGGGCAGCAACAAAACTTTTCAAATGTGCTGGTGCTCCTCTCACCACGTTTTGTCTTATAGGATTAGTGAAGGGCATGTCTCTGGGCCTTCCCATTGTGGAGGATTATGTTTTACATTGCACTCTAGCATTGCAATCTCCCTGAGCCTTAAAATCCCCCCATCAACACTAAGCTAAGGGATATCAGGCATCTCCAGCTCCTTTTCAGTAGGCCATCTTTTGATAAATGCTTCAGCCAACCATTCAAACAAACTTTTCACAGATCTAGCTTTATGTTCCTTCCACCGTTATTCCACACCCTTAAATTCGATTCCCACACATATCCCCCAGACTTCTGTTTAAATGAAGTAGCGAACTCATTAAGCTCCTTAGTAGTGTAGCATCATACTTCCTCATGTACTACACTCTCTACCTCCCCTCCAGGAGCCTGCTTTGCCTTGAGACTAGTTACTGGTCAAGAGGCAACAATTGGCGGGCCTTGAGAGACATCAGTATTGTCTTGTCTGGCATGTCCTTCAGAAAAAGTCACTGCTGGTTCACCAGACACTGAAGGATTCATTTCTTCAGTGAAAGGTGAAAAGAGCAATGTGAAAGGGGTGGGGCTAGTGTGTTGGTGGCCACACACCATTAATCCCAGTACTCGGGAGGCAGAGGCAGGTGGATCTCTGTGAGTTCTAGGCCAAGATGGTTTACAGAGCAAGTTCCAGGACAGGTTCCAAAACAATAGAGAGAAATCCTGTATTTGTCAGGGTTCTTTATAGTCACAGAACTTATGGAATATCTATCTATCTATCTATCTATTGATCTATCTATTTTCATCATTGTCGTCTACAATCATCTATCTATGAATCATCTATCTATCTATCATGCATCTATCTATCATCTACCTACACATAAAGGAACTTTATTGGAATGACTTACGGACTGTAGTCCAACAAGGGCTAGCTGTGAATGGAAAGTCTAAGAATATAGTAGTTGTTCGGTCCCACGAGGCTGGGTGTCTCAGCTGGTCTTCTGTATATACTAGAATCCAGTACCAATGAAGGAATAGATGTGCTGGCAAGGCAAGGGCAAGCAAGCAAAGAAGAATGAATGAACCCTTCCTTCTTCCATTGTCCTTATATAGGATCCCAGAAGAAGGTGTGGCCCAGATAAAAGATGTGTCTTGCTGCCTCAAGATCTGGATTAAAGGCCTGTGTCATTCTGGATCAAAATCCTGATCAAAGGATCCTTGTCTTCCTGCTTCAAGATTGGAATCATTCATTTGCTTCTTTTCCAGAGTGTGGAAAGACTATAGTGCAGAAAGGCATTAGCCTGCCAGTTGATTTGAAATATTACCTCCTGTGCAGGGCTGTGTACATCCTGCTAAGTTGCATTCTATTCTGTACTGTGTACAATAAAGAAGCTTGCTTTTTTTAAAAAAAAAAAAAGATCTGGATCACAGATGTGCTCTCCTATTTTGAAGTATATAGTTCATCTCAGATAGTCAAGTTGACAACCAAGAATAGCCATCACATCATCCTAATTCTTCTGGTCCTGTGAATGTTCTATGCTCACCAGCATCCTTGTACTTTGTAGATCTTGCTAAGCAAAGCAAAATTTTAAATAAACTTAAAAATTAGTGTTCAGAGGACAAGGAATTAGATTTGGGAAATGAGAGATAACACAGAAGCATCCTACTAAGAAGCAGGATGAACTCCTAGGTTCATGTATGGAGCACATTATATAAAAAAGGAAGTGCAAAAGAAAGCAGGGTACAGTAGGTCTATGGGCTATAGTTCAACAGGATTCATTTGAAGTATATCTACAGGGCCCTAGAGGAGACACTGCTGAGCATTAGGACATGTAGGGATGCAGAGAAGTGATGAGGTACTCTGAGCTGAGAAGACAATGGGAAACCTTCCCCTGGAGAGTTACTCTGATCATGTGGACAGAATGTGGCTAAGGATGGCATCTGGAAGACGAGAAGGAGAAGGAACCAGAAAGGAAAGTGGTCCAGCAGTTTAGGTGATAGAGCAAAACCACCAAGAATGATGCCACAGGCCAGGCTTCTCCCAAAGGCAGAGATGATGGAGGACACAGAATGATTGACCCTATCACTTTATCTACTTTTCTGTTGGGCAGTCCTCAGGCCCATCTCATGTTTGTACCTTAGATAGTCACAAGAAGGTAGAATTTTCCCAACAGCTCATGGACTACATGGGAGTTTTTTCTTTCACATCATCCCTCCTCTTTCCCTCCATCTCTTCCTTCCTTAATGTTTTTGAGATAGTCTCATGAAGACCAAAATGACCTCAAACTTGCTATGTAGCCATTGAAGGCCTTGAACTCCTGGTCCTCCTGTCTTGTTTCCAGTGCTTACATTCCCGGAATGTGCCATCATGTTAGACTTAGGAGTTTTCTATATGGGTACAGGGTCACCACCCAGTTCTCACCGGTTAACCATTCTATCTGAAGGTGGCACCAGTAATGCATGTGTTCCTATACACAGGATACACTTTCTGGTTCCTGCGTTAACACTGATAATAGGAAAATCACACCAGCATCCCAAGGATTGTGAAGTTGTGAGGAACATCTCTGGGTGACAGTAAACTGAAAACTGCCAATCAAAGATGATAGGGGTTGTTAGTTGTGGGGCTTCACCCATAGGAGCAGAGTGATGCAGAGAACTTACAGACCACTTTAGCCCTTTCAGTTACCTGTTTTTGGTACAGAGGTTTCAAGTTGTCTTCAAACTCATGATTCTGCTGCCTTAATCTCCTGAGTGGGATGCCTTAAAGTACCCCACCTAAACCTTCCAACTTTTCTAGATATCCAAGCAGTATATGAAATTGAGCCTTAATTTTGGTGTTATGCCACTCTTCCCTCACAGCAGTGGCTCAGTCATACACCACGTATGCGCCTTGAACATACATGTGTTTGTATACCATGCAGTGGATGTGTATTGGTCTCTTCCTCGTTGCCCTATAATGTCTATTGGTTTTAATAAATAGACCTTACTCTATGGCAACAAGGCACAAATATTGTCAGAATTGAACTTCTCTAGGTGAAGACTAAATTTGACTTAAGGAACTCTGTGTTAGGCCTGGCAAGAAGCCCAATCTCTGTTAACTTAGGTGGATTTATCTCTTTCATAGAACAGAGCTGTCTTTTATGCTTCCAGAAAACGATGTCAGAGCTTTGGTCTCTCTGCCTCAGTTCCCTTTCCTTCCTGTGGCTGTGATAAAATACCCTGGCAGAGGCAGCTTAAGAGGGGATGGGCTAGACAGGCTCACAGTTCTAGGTTCCAGTTCATCCTTGTAGGGGTGTTGGGGGGGGGAGAAACATAAAACAAGTGGTCACATCACATCCACCATCAAGAGCATATAGCAATGAGTTAATGTGTGTGATCACAATTTCTCCACTCACACATTTCAGGAACCCACTGCGGATGGGTTGAACTATAATAACATAATCTCTAATTTCAGAGGTTCTTTATATCAAGTTTACAACTAAAACCATCTTTAATCTTGGGTGGTTGCCACGACTCTAGTCCTTGTGTTTTAGTGGCGGTGACTCCATTCCACACATGCCCATTTTCTTTGGTCATGTGGAATCTTCTACAAGATTCCAAGAGCCACAGAGTCTTTGCTTCTTTGTACCCACTTGGTTGTCATCTCAGAGGCCCCACCACAGGCTCAAGTTTCTCTAGGTACAGAACCCAATGTCCAAAAACTCCTCTTCAGACTTGTCAATTCATGGCTTGCTCATGGCTCAATTATAGAATGTGGTACTCTCTTAGTTTATTCCTTAAAATTGAATTCCCAGTACATCTCTCTATAATAAGTTGATGTCCTTGCTGTACAGGCAAATGAACTTAATATATTACTTCAGAAATTAATTTTATCTATATGATATAAATATTATTCAGATTATGTAAAACCTTGCTTTACTGCTGGTCTTTCTGTGTCAGGCTCTTTGGTTTTAAAGAAAGATTGGTTTGGGACTGGTTCATGGCCTTCTTCTCTCAAATATCACTGAAGGGCACAAAGACTTATTTTGCATTTGCATCAGATGTTATTCCTTAATATCCAAGAAAGAGGCATCCATGCCCCTGCAGATCCATGTAAAGGCCACTCCTTGAGGATTGCCACAGTGGTAGCTCTTTTTTTTGGGGGGGGGCGATGTCTCATCTTCCAGTGATGTAAATATTCTTCTTTGTAGATGCAGAACTCAGATGAATGTGAAGTGTGCCGGAAAGGAGGGACACTCTTCTCCTGTGATACTTGCTCCAGAGCCTTCCATGAGGAGTGTCACATCCAAACAGTGGAGGCTGAGAAGTGAGTGAGATGTGGTCCACGCTCTGCCTCCTCCTACACACCCTCCCCTTGTCAGACACATTACCCTTGGAGATTGTTAGCTTGTGCCTCAATGGGGGATGAGCAAGAGCTCTTCATAACAGACACCAAACAGGAAGATGCAGAAAGCTGGTTGTCAGCAAGAGGGTGCTGTTCTCTGTTAGGGGAGGCTTCTCTCCTGATACAAAGGCTGGGCCTTCTGTCTACACACTGCTACTGCCTTTTCCTCAAAGTTGTTCAGCAGAGCCTCTTGTCCAAAGCACTGAGAGGGGCATACGCCAAGCTCTTCCTTTTGTGTTTCCTCATGAAAGAAGGGAGCATGGGTGCTTTGTGCATTTCAGCAGGCCGTACTGGACCCATCGAGGTCCAAGGTTCCCAGAAGTTGTGGAGGACCATTTTCTGTGTGCAGACCTGATAGCCTGGCCTCTCTGTGCTCCCAGAACTCTCTGTTGGGAAATGTGGATCCCACCTCTCACTGTAAATTCCACTTTTTCCAAGGACTGGCTCCTGCCATGACCCTGATGGGAGTACTGGCAGCTTCGGATCTTACATGGGGTCCCTCAGAGCCTGGGGTCCTCTCCCTGAGGTGAGACTGTCAGCCATTCCTTAAATCACAGAGGCAGGTGTACAACTATGGCTGTTTTCAAGTCTTGTTAACTGCTCATTTCATGTCCAACCTTTCAGAACACTGTGGAGTTGCATTTTCTGTAGGATGCAGTCCTCAAGAAGCCAACAGAATCTCCCAGAATCTTTGTGAGCTCTTTCTGTTGGGTCAGGGGATCCAGTAGGAAGAGCAAGGAAATGCTCCAGTGGTTCTTTGTATGTGTGAGTGTATGTGTGTGTGTGTGTGTGTGTGTGTGTGTGTGTGTGTGTGTGTAATTGTCCCCAGCAAACACCCATTTATCATTTACCTTGGGTCCAGTGATATAATTACATCCTTGCCTTCACTCTCCCCAGATGAGACTGTCGGCCATTCCTGAAATCACAGAGGCAGGCATAGGATTGTGGCTAGTTTCAAGTCTTGTTCCCTGCTCACCCCATGTCTAACCTTTCAGAACACCATGGAGTTGCATCTTCTGTAGGATTCAGTCCTTAGAAAGCCAACAGAGTCTTCCAGAATCTGAGATACTACAGAGGGAGATGGTGCCGCAGGAACAGTTGGTGAGCTCTTGTGAACCCCTCACTTTCTCCTTTCCCCTGGAAGAGCACAAACAGCTTTGGAGCCACAAGAATAACACCCAAAGGGAGCCTGCTCCTCCAAGCCACGCTCCATCATGCTGCTATCACAGCATAACCCATTGACATAGAAACAAAGTCAGTAACCAAGAAACACTCAACTCCCAGATGGGTTTGAGTTGTTCTTTCCTCCTGGGCATGTGTACGGACTCTGCCTTTCCAAGTCACTTTGACTGGGTCTCTTTTTTCTTGCAGAAATGTGAGTTTGTCCTATTGAGTGTCTATTGCTGTTCTGAGAGCTCCTTTTTTTCCAAGATTCCATATTATTATTATGTGAGTATTGGTGGTGAACCCTCCATCACTGGCTGCCATGATGTCCTGTGACTGTGTGTGGGGGACATTTTTAGGATTGTGATTGACTCCCCCAGGACCACCAGCTCTGTTATATTTCTGCTGGACTTTCTGGGGTCCTGTGGAAGGTAAATGCTGAGCCATGCCAATCATTCTCTCAGAACTGCTATTTCTGTTACCAGTTTAGAGAGACGCCTATGGGTGTGAAGAAACCTATGTGGTTGGACTTGATCAAGAAAAAGCTGAGAGAGAGAGGTTACACCCATGTGGAAGAGTTTGTGCAAGACATGAGACTCATCTTCCACAATCACAGGAGCACATTTAAGGTCAGCATCCCTCTCTGGCTGCATCTCATCTTCTTTCCACTGGGTTACTCTTCCCTCATTTTCTGATACCTAAGAAGTCTAGTTTCCCCACATCTCCCCATAATGAAGTTGCATAAGCAAGAAGTCAGAGATTCCAGACACAGTGGTGCATGCCTGTGATTGCAGCCTTCAAAGGACTGACTGAGATAGAAGGGTTGTCTTGTGTTCAAAACATGCCTTATCTACAGTAGAAATTTTTTTTGGTTTAATATCTAAGGTGTTTCACTAACAGAAAGGACTCCAACACCACAGAGTTCATTTCCTCTTCATTCTATGAGGCCAAAGGGCAACACAAATGACAACGAAGCTACGGTTTTCAGTATAAGAGCATTTATTTTTTTGATTGCTTGATTTTTAAAACATATATGCATGTTCACTCTGGGTGTGTAGCTAGACTTTCTTCGGACCATTAGCTCCCAAATAATGACTTGGAGACTTATTATTAATTATGAAAGCTTGGCCTTAGGTTAGGCTTGATCCCACTAGCTCTTAAGACTTAAATTACCCACTTATGTTAATCTATGTTCTGCCATGTAGCTTGTTACCTCTCCTCAGTACAGTGAATCTGACTTCTCCTCATGTGGCTGATGTAATACTCCATTTCACCACTTAGATTCCTGTCCCATGTTCCTATCTCTACCTAGGTACCCACCAACCCTCTTCGGCCTATCTATTGGGTGTTCAGCTTTTTATTAAACCAATCAGAAGTCACCTTAGGCAGATGAAGTAATACAGAGACACATCTTCACAGTGTACAAAGAGATTCCCATAACACTGGCCATGGTGGCACAGGATTTTAATTCTACTGTGCCTGGGTGCTGAACCATTTCTTCAGCTCATAATTAAATATCTCTGTGTGTGTATATATGTGTGATGTGTATGTATACATGAGTGTGTGTATGTTCATGTATGAATGCAGATGCCTGTGTGTCATAGTATACATCAGGATCAAGTTAGAGCCCAACCATGGGTAGTATTCTTAACATTAAACCTTGTTTGAGACAAGGCAACCTGTTGATTATCACTGTGGAGTGCTGGGATTACAAATGTGCAGTTTTCCTTAGGTTTGGGGATCTGAACTCAGGTCCCCACACTTGTGAGGCAAACATGACTCACTGAGTCACCTCCCCAGTCTGAGAATTTTCTGCTTCTTACATTCTCCTAGGCACAATTCTCAGAAGTAGCCAAGTCTAAGCTTCCTTACATGTGATTGAACCATGAGGTTGAATGATTCCCCCAGAGGGTAGAAGTTTTGAGAAGGGGGAGATAATGAGTCCCATCATTCTTGTCTTTGTTATTTTATTTTTTATTTTTTATTTTTTTTATTTCTAGGACCTGAATTTTGGTCAAATGGGACTTAAGCTGGAGTCTGAGTTTGAGAAGAATTTTAAGGAAGTGTTTGCTATTCAGGACACAAATGAAAACAGTTGACAGATGTCACAGATGCTGCTGGTGTCCTGGCACCATGTCCTTTTCTGGCCAGGTCTTCCTACCTGAATCAACAGTGAGAGTTTTGTACTGACTCCATCAGCCCCAGAGGATCGCCCTGGGTCACATGGACACACTGACATCTTCTGGCTTTGTGGTTGTGCCTCCAGCTGCAACCAAGGGTGTGAGAGATGGCTTCTCTCTGTTCCCCAAGGGTCTAATCTGGAGTCTGTCTCCATCTGGCTTGGCTCCCTGTCCTCTGGGACAAACATGTGGCTGCCCGTGTCCCTCATGAGAGAGTAATTAACCACAAGCTTACAAGACTTCAATTCGTGTGGTGACACTCCTGTAGCCCCAGTCCTTGGGAGGCTGAAGAGGAGGGCAGCTACAAGTGTGATGCCTGCCTGGGCTACATTGTGAGTTTCAGCTACTCTGGCTTATAAAGTAAGATCCTGGTTCAAGAGCAAACAATTCGCCAAGTAAGACAAGAGAGGCCTCAACTCTGGGTCTTTCTCTAGGAACCTCACCCGAAGATGACAGTTCTGGAAGCAAAGCCTCAGGGTGGGATTCTAGAGTTGGGTCACTGTACAGCCAAAAGGTGATTGGTGGGAAGTCAGTAGGTCCTCAGGTGTTAGGCCAGCACAGGAACCAAATTTTAGCCTGTAGAAAGGCAAAGTGCTTCCACTGTAAGGATGATGGGATTTGGTGGCTGTTGGTACATTTTGCTAATAGATTGACAGCAGGTATTGACAGGCTTAGTGCTTCCACTGTAAGGATGATGGGATTTGGTGGCTGTTGGTACATTTTGCTAATAGATTGACAGCAGGTATTGACAGGCTTAGATGTAGAATCCCAAGTATTCTTGGGAGAGAGACACCCAGTCCTGTAGCTGTATTTTCAGATGGCAGCCAAGGCATGCCCCAGGCCCTTACATTCAGAAAGACAGAACTCCAGCAAGACTGGGTTCTAAGTTAGGAAATCTCTTGTGCCAAAGTCAGGTTCCTGACACTCAGACTGGGGGATTGAAATAGTTATTTGGGAGAACTGAAAACTGGGTTTCCCCTGAATCTACTTGCTTATTAAAGAATCCCTTCACTCTGTCTTGGAAAAAAAGAGTCACCTTGTTGCATGAACCAAAGATCCAGAGACTGATTTTTTGGGATCTGAATATCAGAAAAGCAAAGCAGTTGGCCACTATTTTCTTACCTCTACCTGAGACTGAATTGGCTGATCCCGTCTTTTTGAGTTCTTCCCTAGCCTCAGACTGTAACCTCTCCTCAGCATGCCTGGAGAATGAATGCCTCCTACTGACTACTGAAGACCCTGCTTCTGTCTTTTATATCCCTCTAGTGCTGGGATAAAGGCATGCGATCTGTGACTCTTTTAGATTGATTATTCCTGTGTATTCCTGGGTGACCTTGAAATCAGTGAGATCCATCTACCTCTTAATCCTGAGTCCTAGGATTAAAGGTGTGTATCACCACCTCCTAGCTTCTGGATTCTTGGATTAAGGGTGCCTGCCTGTCTTCTCTGGCTTGTGGCTGACTTTGCTTTCTGAATCCTCAGGCAGGCAAGCTTTAATAAATTGTAAATAATATAACACTGCACCACATCTGTCCCCTGTCTTGCTTGAATGAAGACTGTGTGGCCTTCTAGGAAGGCTCAAGTGGACAAGCCCTGGATGGGACTGGAAGCTGTGAGAGAGGGATTGCACATACACCAAAGGAATAGAAAGCTCAGCAGACAGGAGGGACAAAGAGGTTGTGTTTTGGGGGTGGACACTGAATAAAGAAAGCTGAAATACTAAACTGGCTAACAGAATTATCATATCAATACTGATGTGTTCTTTTTTATTTTAAATTTTTTATTCATTTTACATATCAAGCCCAATTCCCTCTCCCTCTCCTCTTTCTGCTCCCCTCCCAACTTCCCACCTCAGCCCATTCTCATCCACTCCTCAGAAAGGGTAAGGCCTCCCATGGAGAGTCAACAAAGCCTGGCACATTAAGTTGAGACAGGACCATGCCCTTCCTGCCCTGATTCAAGGCTAAGCAAGGCATCACCCCATAGGGAATGGGTAACCAAAAGACAGTTCATGAACCAGGGCAAGTCCTGGTCCCACTGCCAGGGCTGTCTCAAATAGATCAAGCTACACAAGTGTCACTCACATGCAGAGGGCCTGGGTCCCTTGCAGGCTTCCCTGTTGCCAATGTGTTCTTGTGTGCCAGAGTCCTATCCATCTGCTGATGTCTAAGGGTATTGATTCTAGGACGCCCCTGGTGGCTGCTGCAGGTTCAGCATAGCTTCAGAACATTCATGAAATGGATGTAGAGCTGCTGGAATGATGACAGCCGACTAAGGCTACAAACTGAATTGAAATGGTGAGATAGCTCTACTCTCCAATACTGGAAAGTGCCTGTGGTGCTCAGGGCTACTCAGAGGCACAGACTAGAGGAGGCGACAAGAAATACATTGCTGAGGCCAAGATCATTCTGGAGCAGCTCCTCAGTGACTGCTGTCTGTAGGATGGAATGATGGTAGGACCATTTCACAGTCCTGACCTCCATAGTAGCAATGGGAATGAGGTCTCAGAGTAGCAGAGACCAGGCGGAGGCTCACAGCTTCAGGAGCCAGACAAGGTAATTTCCTCTGAGAGACATCCGGAGACCTTGCTGGCAGGTGTCTGAGGAGACAGCTAATGGGATGAAATGTTCCTACAGTCAGGACAGTGGAGCAGCCTGTAGTCTACTCTTAATATTTCATCAAAAAGAACAGTGGAAATAGATGGGCCAAGCATTTATCCAATAAAATCTTGGGAGTCAGATGTTGGGGTAAGAATCTGAATGATCAGAGACGCAACCAGTACCCTCTCTTTCATTCCTCTGTACAAAAAGTGTGAGACCCTTCTCTCGGCTCCTTCCTACTTCTTCCTGTGTCTCTCTTTCCTCAGTCCTCCAAAAACTCTATTGCTAATTATGGTCAGCTAGTAGCTAGCTAAGCCCTATGTTTCAAAGTAAAGTTAATGTCAGTCTTGGGAGTGTCAGTGTGTGATCAAAATATCCCACAACACATGGACACATGGTGAAAGCCAACTTTCCCAATAAAAATTTAGATCCTTGTCATTTTCCCAATTTGAGTCAGTTGTAAATGGGACTCAGAACCCATTAAAGGAATGAGGTTCGTTTCTCAGTAGAAGAAACTTTGCAAATGTATATACAGTGGTTCACTTCTTTCCCCCTGAGGGATCTCAGAACATCTGTTCACATTGTCCTCTGCCCTTCTTGATTCTGTTTAATCCTCTGAAATGTTTTAAATCATCATGAGTAAGAACTATATTCTTGGAGGAGACTCCAGGTCACCCCACAAGTCTTCAGGGTGAGGGGCTCAATGATTTGTCCCCCTGATGCTCACAAGCAGAATGTAGGTCTCCAGGGATAAGGATGGGCTTTTCTAGGAGGTGAGGATGAGCCAGATTCACAGTACCTCCCTGACAATATGAACCATTAGTCTCTGTATAGGCCAAGATCTCATTT